ATTAACAAAACTATTTTTGAATTCCTGAGTAAATATATCCTTTATCCATTGTTTATACAATAATAATAAAAAAATCTTTCATTTGGTACCAGCTATGCCAAAACCATAGATCAACAAAACCCAATTTATAGAGCCCATGCTTTAAATGAAAAACCCGAAGTTTGCCCTACTATTGAGCTTCTTTGTATTTAGCTATAATAATTCGTTATAACACGCCTTCAATACACATTTATCAGTCTTTAAAACTTTCAACCTGTACCTTATGATACAAATTTTACACTGTATGTAATAAGGAAAATTACCAAGTCCGAATTAAACTATAAATTATTGACAATTTATTCAGAGCCAGTAGAAATGCATGATATGCAGGTATCAAACAATGCCAAATTGATCTTTTCGTTCAGGATAAATATTTTTCCCTTAAGACTGATAGATAATAAGCATTTTTTTCTTGTGTAGAAATATCATGTGCAACAACAACTTTCCCCTTATAATTCAATACCTAATCTACCACTTCTATGTCTTCTCCGTCAAATTTCCACTGGTCGTTCGGTAACAATCTCTTGCTTTTTCTAAATATCAATATTTTAGTTTTATCTTCATTCACAGTTAAATTCCAACGATCCGAATACCTCTTTAAAAAATCAGAAATATTTTGAAGCTCGTCGATATCTTCTTAAACACAGATTAAGTAGAAAAATGTGACAACTCTTACAATAAGATTCAATTAATTCTGGTTCCATGTCATTAATAAAAACAAAACATTATAAAGATTCCCCTTGTAACAAGCCGACCTGCAAGTCGACCATTGGAGAAAATTTAAACCATAATTTATTATGTAAAATGCTATCGAAAGCTTTTCTGAAGTCAACAAATACACAGTTAAGTCATTTCTTACTTTGCGAAGATTAATGGTGATTAAACATTAAGTTCGTTCAGAGTACAACTATTAACATTCTTTCTTCAGTCGTAATTTCTGTAAAATTCTTTAGGATGATTTTTCCTCGTCAAGTTTAACATGTAACCTTGGTGTGTTTTGTACTCTCGTGTCAACTTCAGATCCATTTTCCTATATCTACGGGTGTTTTTTTTTTATATAGAAACAAGGACTTTGTGAGTTTCCTCGTTCTTACACGAATTAAAAGTCAAATAAAGCTTTCTTATATTCATTGTAAACTAACAAAGATTATTGAACCATGGGTTATCGTCGATTTCTGTACAATTTTTTTTTCTTAAAATTACGTTGAGGATATGTAACAATACTTAGAGATTATAACAATTCTTTCAATGTATTGGTAAACTTGTCAACACACTCATCAACACTGATTTGACAAGAATAATTACAAAAACAGCAATTTATTAACTCATGTCTGTTACTTTATAATAAATGACATAAAGTTGCTGTGGGTCTCATAGTCTTGGGGGGGGGGGGCGGAGGGTGTCAGATAAAGACTTAAATACTCCACTATCTAAGTAAACAATATCTGTAAGAATATTTCTAAACGTTAAAACGTAATCTATACGACAAGATCCTCTACTGTTAAAGAATGTAACACTACTGTTTGGATAATCCTTATGCCTTCCATTAACAATTCGAAGGCCAGTAGTTTTTACCATATTGCACAGAGCACCCGCAGAAACTTCTGTAATACTATAATTACTAATATAATCGTTATAACACCCAGTTCTACAATTGAAATCACAAATATCAATATCGTTTTACTGACACGCCATTTCTTCCAGGCGGACGAATATGTCATTCTCACACTTTTCATAGAAAGTATTATTTACAGGCAAATATAAACAAATCAAGATTTTTCGTGAAACAAAGTCTGAGATAATTTCAGTAAGAGTAACAACCAGCTGTCGACGAACTGTCAACAGTACATAGTGGTAAATCGCAGGGATCAACGACTGGTAGAGTTTCAGGAAATATAATTTATGATGCACAATTTTGATTAATAAGGAATCTGTCAGCGATCAATTCAATATTCACTTTACAAGCATTGATCTATGGAACGTTGAACTTACACATATAGATGATATTGTGATTTTCGTGACTACAAAGAAGATTTTTGTAAATAGGCAGAATTTGTGATATAAACTGATAAGAGATGGTATAGATGAGAAAGGCTGTCAGATAGTATCAAATAGTGAACTGCGGTGTTAAATGCTATCAATATGTTACAGAAATCATTTAATATAAAAAAAGGACTGTTCCAAGTTGAAACACTATCGCCATTATTGTTCATGTTTTATTTATATGGCTGTAAAATGTAGCCTTCAACATATCAAAATGTTCCAAAACTTCAACATGCTATATGCTTAGAAAATATCATTGATCTTCATTTGATAAACATAACTGGTGTGCGCAAAAATTTCAGGTAGAATCCCTTTGATGATTGGTCGAAAGATTAGAATACATAAGCATTTGATTGAATTGATAAATACAGATAGCTGTTTATCAAAGCATAATATATATACTGGCATGTTACTTAACTTGAAAGAAACACGAGTACGCTGCTTACATCAATCGTGAAACCAGGGTCAGGGCTGTGGAGAGCGACAGTGATGGGGCAAATATCATGGTCAGCGGAGTGTTGTTAGAACGATTAAAGTCTGCCTCATTTTATATCAATTTTCATGATGCCATTAAATTTACCAACTATGTTTGTTTTTTTTTCTAGTTTTCTTTCAGGCATATTTGTTTTTATTTCCAATTCTCTAGTTTTATTTCAGATGCTTTTTAATATTGTATATTATCTATGATATATTACTTATTTCAATATTAGTTCTTTTACGGGTACTTTCCACTTCATGTTATGATTGTAGAAATATGTTATGGTGTAGTGCTAAATCATCATACAAAATTATTTTATTTATTTATATATGTTTAATGCTAAATGAAGTCAAACTTAATTTTTCAGTATTTAACATCAAATAAAATTTATATATCTAGTTTTATATCTTAATAATATGAAGACAGGTTGTAAGAAACACGGGTAAATCTTAGGTAAACATCCAGGAGAGAAAATGGCAGCTGATATGAAACGTATATACACTATCCTTTTGTTTACAAGAATGTTTGTAATCGGAGAACATCCCAGTTGGGGAACCACACAGCGATCGTAACCCCTGCAAATATGTTATCAGTCTAACAGATGAAGAAATAGACAATATCAAAGAAAAGTAAGGATGTTTAAAACACTGTCTGTTGTATAACAATTGCAAAACAAGTCACTCCAATTTACTACCGATGAAGGGAAGGTGTGAACGACACACTTACTATAGTATTGAACAAAGTATTGATACTATTGTATTGAAGTATTCAAATAATCGAGTCAAGTATACAACGACCTCTGTGATTGGTCGGGGGCGGAGTTTAGACAACCTGAATAGTTGATCTGACACCCAATTTGTTCCGGTAGGCGGAGTTATTGTACACTATCAGTTACATAACAATTACTAAGTAATCGCTGGAAACATGTCCGACGACGGCAACAGTAAGCAAAATTTTCTTCGACGAAATTATGTCCGATACGAACGATATGGGGAATCCTGTTTTTGTACAAGGCGATGTGGTTGTGATGGATAATTGTGGATTCCATCACCATAGACAGGGAGAGCGCATTTTAAGAAATATGCTGAAAGAATATGGCGTGTCCCTGGTTTTTCAGCCGCCTTATTCCCCGGAATACAACGTAACTGAATATGTATTCAATGTCATGAGACAGAGGCTTCGGGCAAATACCCGACTTGTGTCAGAATTTCTGGAACTTGCAGTAGTAAATGCTCTAGATATTCCGCCCAACCAACTTCAAAGTTTTTTCACATGTTGCGGATATGTATAATTTTCGATGGAAAGATCAAAAATAAAATAAAAAATATATGGGACCACAGAATTCCTTTATCTTTTAATGAAGTATGAATTATCGGCATATATCAGGAGGTCCCAGGTAATTCGTAATTCTTTGTTACATATAATAGAGCTTGGGCTTAAACCGAAATATTTTGAGCCAACCTCTCTCTCTCTCCCCCCCCCCCCCCCCCCCTTTCAAAAAAATAAATATATGAATAAAACTAGTACAGAATGACTATATGACTATATTCACTGTTAAGATGTTATGAATTCTCCGGTCCCAGTGATCTAACCTGTTGATATATATTTTGTACGTAAATTAGTTTAGTACTGAGTAACTTTCGTTTTCTCGTTGTACCATCGATGGAAAAGCAAGGTATCATTGGGTGTAGAACGAAAAAAATGGGACAACCCAATTAGGTCTGATCTGAAGCCACCTGTGACTTGGACTCTTCCAATTAACCTCTCGCGACAGTCGAGTGCTTGTAAAATGCCGATGTCTGCACAGTATTTTTTCACCTGGCTCCACCCACAATCGATCTAGACTTGGCTCTGCCAATCAGAGAGCTTGTTGCATAAATTTAAGGAATTCGATTGGTGAAGTACTTCAGTACAATACTATCAATACTTTGTTCAGTACTACAGTACTTGAAACGTTCACACCTTCCCTTCACCGGTAGTAAAGTAATAATCACTTCTATTCTGTTGGTCAGGAGGAAGACTTGCGAGGGGCCTTAATAAGGAAACCCGAGTCTGATAAAAACAGGTGTTTTATGGTCTTTCGACACAGGTGGTCATCATATATATTAAAGGTGGTCTTTATAGACAGGCAATCATTATGGTCTGATGATCTGTATCTTGGTCTGCATAACGCATGAGATCTTTATGGACAGGTTTTGTGAACTTGGAAACAATTGGGTTGGTTCAATTAAATTCTTTATTTATTATTTGTAATTCGTCAATTGACAAGTTTTCTGTCTCCTTAACACCTCCTGGTGTTGGGTATCGTCTAACCGACTAACGTCAGTGTTCTGGCAAGGTGCGTGGCACATTTTGTTTACCTCACGTGACCCACACCGGATATAGAGATGAGCGATGCGGGTAGTCGTGTGCTGATGACAGAATGTGTATTACGACATATGCACGCCCCTAGCTGGTGTAGGGGATAGCTACGTTTGTATTTCGCAACATCCGTTAAAATAAGCATCGACTCATCATTATTTGTTAGTATAAGTGCGGATATCTTGACGTCCTGAGCAACAAAGCAAGACATGGCTACGGCCTCGCCTTCTCGCAGGTATGTATTACTAGTAAATGTATTTCAGGTGTACAGTGTGTGTTGGAAGCGGATCCACTGTTCTTCAGGCCTACATATAGTTAGCTTGATAAGTTTTCATCTAAAAACACATTTCTCTCATCTTGGCCTGTATTTTTATATTTTAAATATGCTCAATGAAATTTGAGTAGAGAATTAAATTATTTAGCTTATGAAGACTCATCTTTTCATATTAGAACATGGTTCATTTGTTATTGAAACTAGTAACGCTGACAGATAATTAAGATGTCCAGACAGACATAATATGTGTCCGCCATATTTCGGTTTGGTAGATGTGATTGGGAGGGCATAGATGGATTGTGTTTCAAGAATTATGTTGGATTAAATAAAGAACAAATAATGTCATTTAAGGTTCCTAGATATCATGCATTATCATATGTTTAATACAGGTAACAGCGGTTGTGTATGTGTGTCAAGTTGATACCAACTAGAACTAATGATGGCGAGGCAATTTTAGAAGAATTTACAGGAAAAAATTGTTGGGTTGGATGAGTTAAAGAAAATTACATGTGACAAAAAGACTATTATATGACCATTTTGATATCACATCCATAGGGCCGATAAGGGGTGGGATGATAAAATGGTCATTTATAATAATCTCTAGTTCTTGGCAACTGTCATTCACAGCTCCACTGACTGTCAGCTTATGACTGTACAAAATATATTTTTAAGGAAGTGATTATAACTAAACTTATACGTACCTGCCCACATTTTGTTTGTGGGCATGCTTTTGAAGAAGGAAGGAGTCACCAGGTGATACGATACCACATGGGAATCGCTTGTCGGGGGGATCACTCTTTACATGTGTGTGAGGGAGTCTCTTTCAAGAAGGTAGTACAGTGTGTTGGAAAGTTTTGATGTTTTTGTTGACTGCCTTGTAATATAACCAAAACATGTATCCCATTTTGAAGATCAATACTGAAAAGTGATAAATAGATCTGAAATGCCAAGGAATTTTTAGTTTAAGTTAGAAACATTCTTCTAAAACTACCTTAAAGTTTCAAAACAAGTATAACGTAAGATACGTGATGCACATCCAATTATTTTTTTGACAATGAAACTTCATGAACCAAAGTTCCCAGAGAAAACCCCTGTTGTAGGGGAGGTTATATGATATTTTCCACATCCAGTCAGGAAAACCCCTGTTGCTGTTATGAAAGGTGAGTATGATACATTGTACTGCCAGCCAACTGATTTTAATAATTCAACTCACTCATTGAATTTCAGACAGATTAGGAGACAGCAATCCAGGGATGTTTGGAAATCAGATCTCCAGCAATTCTTCAGTTTTGTTCGTCGAGGCAATATTGCTGAAGTCGAGTGAGTGTAGTTACAGAAAAGATTAAAATAAAAATAATCTGAATGTGTAGGATTTTCAAAAAAAATTCCTATATTATAATTTGACTTCCGTAGATCCAGTCCCAGAATCATGGATTAAAGGTCCTCTCCCAAGATATACAAGTTTGTATTATATAAATAGATTGTTTACCAATTTAAACCAAATTTGGTATTTTAGAATCTTTGGTCCAAGTAAAAAATGTTTATTAAGTGAAATGTTGGTTCCCCAATGTTTTATCCAAAAGAAGGTAATTTGGGATTTCAGATATTCAAAAACCTACTTCTCTGGAACAGTTTATCATATTTTGACCTATTTCAATACATTTCATATTTTATGAGAAGATTTTGTAATGTTAACTCATAGTTTGTATGCCTTTAACATACATGCAGACTAAAGAAGTATAATTTCTTTCCTCTGTTGCAGTCGATATATAAAGAAAGGTGGAATAGATGTCAATGTTAAAGATCCCTGGGACAATTGTCCATTGTAAGTATGAGGAATGAAGTTGATAAGACACAATATCAGAATACTCAGGGTCAGATATGACAGAATGTTACAATTTTCAGGGATCATAGTGGACAGAATGTCAGAATACTCACGAGTCAGATTAGACAAGATGTCAGAATACTCAGGGATCATATTAGACGGGTTTGCAGGATTTTTTTTTATCCTGACAAACTGCAAATCACAAAAATAATGTTCATACATACAGACATGATGGCTTTACATTAGAATTCAATATAAGGTTTTTTAACTGATGACCCTTTACTACCGATGAAGGGAAGGTGTGAACGTTTCAAGTACTGTAGTACTGAACAAAGTATTGATAGTATTGTACTGAAGTACTTCACCAATCGAATTCCTTAAATTTATGCAACAAGCTCTCTGATTGGCAGAGCCAAGTCTAGATCGATTGTGGGTGGAGCCAGGTGAAAAAATACTGTGCAGACATCGGCATTTTACAAACACTCGACTGTCGCGAGAGGTTAATTGGAAGAGTCCAAGTCACAGGTGGCTTCAGATCAGACCTAATTGGGTTGTCCCATTTTTTTCGTTCTACACCCAATGATACCTTGCTTTTCCATCGATGGTACAACGAGAAAACGAAAGTTACTCAGTACTAAACTAATTTACATACAAAATATATATCAACAGGTTAGATCACTGGGACCGGAGAATTCATAACATCTTAACAGTGAATATAGTCATATAGTCATTCTGTACTAGTTTTATTCATATATTTATTTTTTTGAAAGGGGGGGGGAGAGGTTGGCTCAAAATATTTCGGTTTAAGCCCAAGCTCTATTATATGTAACAAAGAATTACGAATTACCTGGGACCTCCTGATATATGCCGATAATTCATACTGCATTAAAAGATAAAGGAATTCTGTGGTCCCATATATTTTTTATTTTATTTTTGATCTTTCCATCGAAAATTATACATATCCGCAACATGTGAAAAAACTTTGAAGTTGGTTGGGCGGAATATCTAGAGCATTTACTACTGCAAGTTCCAGAAATTCTGACACAAGTCGGGTATTTGCCCGAAGCCTCTGTCTCATGACATTGAATACATATTCAGTTACGTTGTATTCCGGGGAATAAGGCGGCTGAAAAACCAGGGACACGCCATATTCTTTCAACATATTTCTTAAAATGCGCTCTCCCTGTCTATGGTGATGGAATCCACAATTATCCATCACAACCACATCGCCTTGTACAAAAACAGGATTCCCATATCGTTCGTATCGGACATAATTTCGTCGAAGAAAATTTTGCGTACTGTTGCCGTCGTCGGACATGTTTCCAGCGATTACTTAGTAATTGTTATGTAACTGATAGTGTACAATAACTCCGCCTACCGGAACAAATTGGGTGTCAGATCAACTATTCAGGTTGTCTAAACTCCGCCCCCGACCAATCACAGAGGTCGTTGTATACTTGACTCGATTATTTGAATACTTCAATACAATAGTATCAATACTTTGTTCAATACTATAGTAAGTGTGTCGTTCACACCTTCCCTTCATCGGTAGTAAAACTCTCCTTCACCCCTGAATTTGAAGGGTTATGAACGTGGTATTAGCTGACTAGAAGTTGGTATGAGACACTGACCCTCCTGCGATATCTTTGAAAACTATTCCAAGACAAGTTGAGGATCTGTGCAGATAAAGTGTAAACCAGTTAACTTACGAAGTCTTAAACTTAAACTGCCTGTGGGCAGTTGGTCCAACTGTCTGTTTGACCATCATACATCATTCGTTGGTCTGTGTGATCAATACATATCTTTTATTGTACTGTGTTGCCAATAGGAATTGTCAATTGATTTGACTGGACGAGAGGAGTTGGAATGAGAACAGCTGAGTTACAGAGACTATATATACATACCATGCCATCAGTGATGCTGCAAAGTGCCCATTGGAAGCTACAGTGACTTTCTATACTTTTAGTGTCTATTTATCATTTCATTTGTATATATATATATATATCATTTATTACTGCTTGAGAGGTTGAGAGAGGGAGGGACAGAACCATCTCAAATGTGGATTTTGTATTGTGTATACTATAATTATGATATATTATAGATAAACTGTGCATATTTTATTATGGGTGAAGCTAACGTTTTAATGGGCAAATATGAAGTAATCCCGGTAGGTTTTTGCTACACTGAGTGTAATTGAGAAAATTGAAAATTGGTTGTATGATTTCAACTTTCTGCCAGTGTGTCTTTAGTCTACTTAATCGAAGGTGTCTCAATATGTTATTCACTTTGTTGTCATACAGGATAATTTCACAGCCATTAGGTACTGGACCTTGAACCATCCTCATGATATTGTATCCTTAGAATTTGTCTTTTCAGCAGGACATAGCCAGACCATGTATTGCATAAATGGATGTGGTCAGAGTTAATTGGTATTATCAGATCAGCTGAAGATGAACTTTCTTCTTTAATAAATCACACACCAGGTTTAAAAAGTTATTGTATTGTATTTTGTAGGTACCTGGCAAGTCTGTGTGGACACCTTCACATGGTGGAATACCTATTAAAAGCAGGTAAGATTTTTTCACATGATACTAAACATTGATATAGTGTACTACAGGTAGTATGTACTAATATACTCGTTTATTTGCGTTTATCAATCAATGGCCAAGGTCCTCATTTCATGGTGTCCTCTTTTAGGAGCGGGTGATGACCTCACTGAACAACATTTGGAAGGCCCATCATATAACCATAGACAGTCCATGATCTCAGTTTCCAGTGAGAAACACAAAAATTTACAAGCAGGGATCAATCTTGATGGCATACTTTGACCTGTAACCTCTGTTCATGAATTTAAAATTTGACCTATGACCTTTTATGTTAATTTAATGTTCAAAGTTCTATATATTGACAGGTGCCAGGTATGATGCTCAGAGTATAGAGGGGCAGAGGTGTTTCTTGTCAGCCCTGACAACAGACATCAGACAAGCTCTAAAAGCATACCATTCTGAATCCTCAAGTCATGTCTCGGAGAAACCTGAAGACAGTCCAGGTGTCTCTGACCTCACAGTATTCCTACAAAGGCAAGAATTTTGTCAATCTTTATTTTATTAGAAGATTATCTTTTGGCAAATTCTTTAATTATCCTCCAGCAATTTCTTCAGAATCAATTTCCACCTATATACATGTATTTCATTTAATATCAACGAAATCTTGATATTACAAAATGTAAGGATACCATTTTGTTACACAATTTTATATACAGGAAGTTTTTGTTTTCAAACCAGCATGTCATCACCACCTTCTTTATAATGCAGTAATGTCTTTAACAAAAGACGGTATTGTATGGAGGGTAAACATGTTATATCTGACACACAGAATGTAGCATGTGAGAAGTCTAAGCTTAATATTACCAAGAATTATCATATATATCCAACAATAAGCCCAGGTCTTGTAAATATCCCACTTGTTTCATTAACTGATTATATATATCATGACCAACAAACACTATTTCAGTATCATGTCATAAGCCCACTCAGAGGTAAAGTGTTTGCCCTCTGGGCTGATTGCATAATAGGGAGTATGTTTAATATATCTCCATGGTTACATTTTGTAAAATTATGCTGTTTTTCTCTCTACATAGTATGTATGAACGTACCCCAGACTTTGACCTTGAACTTGTGGTCGCTGACCAGACATTCTTAGGACACAAATGTATCCTTAGTGTCCGGTGTGATTACTTCTACAGAAGACTAACTGCTCCAGATGCATTTCAACTCAAGACTATAGAGCTGACAGACCCTGTGGTAAGGTTCAAAGGTCAAAGATATTTTCTCTGAATTTGTCTGCAATTTCTTTGAAGGTCATTGCAGTATTTGAATGCAAACTTTGGTTTCAAGCCAAGTAACTGCCAAATATTATTGCCCTGATATTAAAGAATAATATGGATGAAATTCTTGGACCATAGTTAGTGTTAATCTTTTCCTTGCCTGGTGTAAGAAATGCATATCTAAAATGTCCTATCTTCATTTTAGATGTTGTTGAACTGAAAGTGTATTACATAATGATTTCATGTATTATGTTACTTGATGGTTGTCTGCAAGGTACTTTCTTCATTTTCCAGTTTACTCCTGAGAGTATGCGAGCAATACTTCAGTTCCTTTACACTGGTAGGTAAATTGATATGTATCTACTTGCACAGATAAATATTGATCAATATCAACCTCACACAGATAAATGTAATCAGTATCTCCTTACACAGATAAATGTAATCAGTATCTCCATACACAGATAAATATAATCAATATCTCCATACAGATAAATATAATCAGTATCTCCATACACAGATAAATGTAATCAATATCTCCTTACACAGATAAATGTAATCAGTATCTCCTTACACAGATAAATGTAATCAGTATCTCCATACACAGATAAATATAATCAGTATCTCCATACACAGATAAATGTAATCAGTATCTCCTTACACAGATAAATGTAATCAGTATCTCCTTACACAGATAAATATATAATACACAGTATCTCCTTACACAGATCAAATGTAATCAGTATCTCCATACACAGATAAATATAATCAGTATCTCCTTACACAGATAAATGTAATCAGTATCTCCTTACACAGATAAATATAATCAGTATCTCCTTACACAGATAAATGTAATCAGTATCTCCTTACACAGATAAATGTAATCAGTATCTCCTTACACAGATAAATATAATCAGTATCTCCTTACACTCCTTACACAGATAAATGTAATCAGTATCTCCTTACACAGATAAATGTAATCAGTATCTCCTTACACAGATAAATGTAATCAGTATCTCCTTACACAGATAAATATAATCAGTATCTCCTTACACAGGAAAATATTGATCAATATCTCCTTACACAGATAAATGTATTCAGTATCTCCATACACAGATAAATGTAATCAGTATCTCCATACACAGATAAATATAATCAGTATCTCCTTACACAGATAAATATAATCAGTATCTCCTTACACAGATAAATGTAATCAGTATCTCCTTACACAGGAAAATATTGATCAATATCTCCTTACACAGATAAATGTATTCAGTATCTCCATACACAGATAAATGTAATCAATATCTCCTTACACAGATAAGTGTAACCAATTACTAGTTACAGTTAGGGTTATCTTTTCTTCACTGCATTTTCGTATTTTTCTTAGTGTTATTTTCATCTTCTTGATAATATCTGATTTGTTTAGGCAATATGTTTTTCATTAGAATGTTAAAATCAAATTTTCTGATAATGAAAATATTTATAATGGATGTATTTACACTGCAATAAGACAAAGGGACTAGCATGTTATTTAGGGGTAGACTTGCAGGATAATGGTTTGATACTTAGACTAAAAATGGGCTTATTACAGACATGGACTTATTGCTGAATAAATACAATATATCAGAACTTAACTATTTACCTTTTTATATGTATAAGAGGGCCTCAGATTTGTTTGTGAACTACAATTTCAACATTCATTTGCTCTATAGGGGCACTGGATATACCGGTAGAGGATGTGGAAGACACTCAGAGGCTTGCTGCTTATCTTGGATTTACAACGCTTGCAAACTGCATTGAAGCTGAACTAAAACAGAAAAAATCTGAACCCAGTAAGAAAGAATGATACTAAGGTGTTGAATTGCTGCATAGCACACATTGTTTCGACTTATTGATCTGTACCCATAGGGAAATCTTCCTATCACCTGTCTATAACCACATTCAAACCTGTTTTAGAGGCCACCTGTTTATATAACAACAGCCAAATCTGCCTTAGAGACCACCTGTATATATAACCACAGCCAAAGGTGTCTGGAAGACCACCTGTTTATAACTACTACTGCCTTAAGGGTCGCCTTCATGTAACTACAACCTTATCTACCTTAGAGACCAAACCTGTTTTAGAGGCCACCTGTTTATAAAACAACAGCCAAATCTGCCTTAGAGACCACCTGTATATATAACCACAGCCAAAGGTGTCTTGAAGACCACCTGTCTATAACTACTACAGCCTTAAGGATCACCTTCATGTAACTACAACCTTATCTACCTTAGAGATCACCTGTATATAACTACAGTAAAACCTGTCTTGGAGACTATTTGTCTGTAATTACAGTCTTATCTACCTTAGAAACCATCTGTTAGTAACTACAGCCAAATTTGTCTTGGAGACCACCTATCTATAACTACTACTGCCTTAAGGATCACCTTTACGTAACTACAGCCTTAGAGAACACCTGTCTATAACTAGAGCCAAATTTGTCTTTGAGACTAAGTACTGTCAAGTCTGCCTTAAAAATGTCACTCAATCTTCCATCACCTTACAAATCTCTATTTGTTTTTTTAAAACTCCATTGATTATGCACTACTTTATACACTTTGTAGAAAAGGCCAGGTATAGATCTAAACCTGATTGTTCAGTGATGGATGTAAACAGACAACAGATATTAGAACTGCTCCTGTCCGCCCAGTAATTCTTGTGTGGTTGAAATCGGTAATTAGATTTGATTAAAGAGATTTTTCTTATTTTGACAGCAGGAGAAGATCCTCCAGAGGTTGTGATCAGTGTACAGGATCCGATGTTAAGCTTGGATCTGATATATGACTTAAGGAGGCTCGCTACATCTGCTGTACCACAACAACTACACCACCTGGTGAGATTATCTGTACAATCCAATCAGAGCAGAATAAATCTACAATTTTAAACACTGACTTAACTTTAATTGTGGATTGAATGTGAAAATGAATAATAGATTAGTAAGATTGTAGCACCTGAAATCACGAATATTGAAGTTTTGGTGCTAAAATGTGTTTCATTGTCAGTATAACAAGGTTTGTCTGTAATACCGCTTTAACTTCTGTTTAACAAAGAACGTTCAAGTGTAATGCTGGTTTCATTTGCAGTATAACAATGTTATAACACTTTATTTTAATAGGTTGGGGGTAAAGTGGATTCCTCTACAGAGGCGAGCAAGAAGGACATTGCTAACACAGCTAACAATATTCCAATCTTCCCCGATATTTGTTTCTGTGTCGGAAATCAACAGTTTGAATGCCACAAGGTAAACAAAATAGGGTTATATAACACTGTAGATACTGTTAGATAGACAGTGACAGAAGTAGAAGTTGGTCTAAAGGATAGGTGTTAAGTTTAGTCATTTTTGCCTATTAACCAAAAACTTGAGACAAAAAGGAAATAAAACCCCTGTATAGGTCCGGGAAGCTTATAGTAATCACTTTGTTTGTGGGTGTGTCCGTGTATCTGTTATAACCTAATGTGTACAAGATATCTCATGGACCCCTAAACAGAGTTAGTTCATATTCACACCGTAGCATTACACAGCCAAGGTCTACAACAGTTTTGATTTTGGTGTTCATTGGTTAAGGTTAAAGGTCAATGGTCACACTTTTATTCAGTGATGGGGAGTATATCTTTTTGATCCTCTTTTCATAGTCTTGAAATGAACTATGAGTTTTGCTGCTATAAATCACCATTTGGTGTCAACACCAAATTTTAACTGTGTCAGACCCTACATGGTACTTTTGCCATTGAAAAGCAAGAACCAAAATTATATAGTTCAACATTTTACTCAAATAAAATTTCTTAGTTGGAGACTCAGTTTGCAGTTTTACAGCAAAAATAAAGACACCTGTGGAAAAACCATTATACAATATTAATTCTATTTTCAAGGTGTAATATATTTGTTTTAAATTTGTTGTTTCAATCCATGTTGAAAAATACAGTAAAAGATGTTATTTTTGCATAGTTCTAATTTTCATGATTTTCGTGGTTGAAGTTTAACTGCAAAAGATAGTTTGAATGAAAATTTTGTCCAATGTAGGTAACATATTTGTTATATCAACAGATTTTATGTTTGTCTACATACTGATTTGATTTTATTGAAAATTTTATTGCAAATTAATTTTTAAAGATATAATTTTCACTTACCAGTGGGGAAAGGAATTTGCCAGACAATGTGGAAGCAAAAAGTCAGTTTTTTAATATTTCATATCTCTCCATGTCAGTAGTGCAAAAATTCAATCCCATGAATATTGAAATTGACTTAATCTGCAAAAATTTAGTATAGCCAAAAAAAACCCACATTTTACAGTAACCGAAATGAGGAGCTCCCACAAATAAGAACATTTCCAGCAATGTATTCCAATTAAACAAAAAAAAACTTGCCATAAAAGTTAATGTAAGATAGTTCATTTTAGAAATAGATTGACTTGGAAAAAAATTGAGTATAATATTTTGTAGCATGTTCAAATGAACAAATCTACTTAGAAAATGAATTTTTGTGTAGATCACAGACTTTGAACAACCAGATCTTTTTTTTAAAAAAAAAAACGTTTTTTTCACAGATGTTTTTCTATGGGAGAAGTGAGTACTTCAGGATTATGTTAATTGAGAAACAAGATGACCAGCCACCAGCCTTAGAGGGATACAGGCCAATGGTCAAGCTGGATGACATTACAGTCGAGGACTTTGTTCATGTTATCTCCTATCTGTACCAGGATCAGTGCACAGTGAGTTACTGTATACAAGATAGATATGTTTTTGTCTTCATGTTGGAATTTGGCTAAGCATAGGACAGTTAAAGAACATTTTTAAAGATTTCTCTTACACTGAAATACAAAGATAAATTCTTATTATTATTAACAAGCATTGGTTTACTTGTGGACAAAGACATAGTGGACTATATACAGCATTTATAAAAGGTGCAATAACTCAGTCAGCAGAACATGGGCATCTTAATAACCTCTAATGAAGGTGTGTGGTTTGATAGTCTAACCAGTGGCAGTTTTTCTGATAAATCTGAAAAAAAAATCCTCAGTCCACGCTGACTTGGTTGTTTTTTGGGCAAGGCACTTTACCGTAATTAATTAGAATGTCATGTGATGGATATCCCCTATGATGTTTATCTAGGAGGCCCTGCGACAAAATGACTGGTCGTTCATGAGTGATATAAAAAAAATGCAAGTGAGCAAGCTGAAAAACCTCTGTAATAAATGATGTTTGATATTCAAGGGATACATATGATAATAGGTAATTTTATCAATAGATTAGGTGTGAAATATTTGACAAAATCATATTTATATATCTACATTAATTTTTCTTAGTTTTGTAAAAACTTTCCTTTCACAATCTTTGATCAGATGTGAAATGTTTTGTGAGACTTTTGCTCACATTGTAAGGTTACTTGGGTATCGTGTAGTTAATTGTTATTATTTATTTTTTTAGGTCATCTGACCCGAAGGGTCCGATGACCTATAGTCATCATGCTTCGTCCGTCGTCGTCCGCTGTGCGCCGTGCGCCGTCCGCCGTGCGCCGTCCGTAAACTTTTCATTCAAACGACTTCTTCTCAAATACTAGAAGGTCTAGGGGGCTAATACTTGGCACAGAGGATACTGGCATGGAGCTCTACCAAGTTTGTTCAAATGAATGACCTTGACCCACTTTAAAGGTCACAGGGGTCAAATATGTTAAAATCTTTAAACAACTTCTTCTCAATAACCAAAAGGCTCAGATTGCTGATATTGTGCCTGTGGCATGCTGGGATGAAGGGCTATCAAGTTTGTTTAAATGAATGACCTTGAACAACTTTCAAGGTCACAGGGGTCAAATATGTCAAAATCTTTAAATAACTTCTTCTCAAATACTAGAAGGCCTAGGGGGCTAATACTTGGCCCATAGCATGCTGGCATGGAGCCCTACAAAGTTTGTTCAAATGAATGACCTTGGCCCACTTTCAAGGTCACAGGGGTCAAATATGTTAAAATATACAAAGGACTTCATCTCAATAAGCAAAAGTCTATGAGTGCCAATATTGGGTCTGTAGCATGCTGGGAGGAAAGGCTACCAAGTTTATTTAAATGAATGACCTTGAACAACTTTCAAGGTCGCAGGGGTCAAATATGTCAAAATCTTTAAATAACTTCTTCTCAAATACTAGAAGGCCTAGGGGGCTAATACTTGGCCCATAGCATGCTGGCATGGAGCCCTACAAAGTTTGTTCAAATGAATAACCTTGGCCCACTTTCAAGGTCACAGGGGTCAAATATGTTAAAATATACAAAGGACTTCATCTCAATAAGCAAAAGTCTATGAGTGCCGATATTGGGTCTGTAGCATGCTGGGAGGAAAGGCTACCAAGTTTATTTAAATGAATGACCTTGAACAACTTTCAAGGTCGCAGGGGTCAAATATGTCAAAATCTTTAAATAACTTCTTCTCAAATACTAGAAGGCCTAGGGGGCTAATACTTGGCCCATAGCATGCTGGCATGGAGCCCTACAAAGTTTGTTCAAATGAATGACCTTGGCCCACTTTCAAGGTCACAGGGGTCAAATATGTTAAAATATACAAAGGACTTCATCTCAATAAGCAAAAGTCTATGAGTGCCGATATTGGGTCTGTAGCATGCTGGGAGGAAAGGCTACCAAGTTTATTCAAATGAATGACCTCAACCCACTTTCAAGGTCACAGGGGTCAAATATGTTAAAATATACAAACGACTTCTTCTCAACAAGCAAAAGTCCATGAGTGCTGATATTGGGCCTGTAAGATGCTTGGAGGAGAGGCTACCAAGTTTGTTCAAATGAATGACCTCAACCCACTTTCTAGGTTTGGCTTGCTTTTTGTCAGATGACCGTTAAGGCCCATGGGCCTCTTGTTTTGGTTCAGGTTGATGCTGCAACTCAGGACAGTCTGTTAGAAATTTGTGACCGATGGACACTACCTGAGCTGAAGTTACAACTGAGCAATGATGTCGGAGAGGTGACCGTGGACAACGTCATGCAGATATATAAAGAAACCAGACAAGAAAACATCCGTGAGAAATGTTACCAGTGCATTGTTGAAAACTTCATGAAGGTATGTTGTTTTTAGGTGAATACCGTTCTCACGGAACAGATGGTTGGTTTGCACACTTTCCATCGGTATTTTTTTTTCGCTTCTTAGGTCAATATGCGGTTTTATTTAAAACCTTTGATGATCAAGATGCTGGCCATTAATTTTGTTGCTTATTAGTGTAGCTACATAAAGTTTCAATCAAGCTGTGAATTGATTTCATACAAATTGCATGTTTAAAGCAAATATGATACAAGTCTGAGCACACAAAGCCAAAGAATGAATACCACAGGGGTCAAATATGTTAAAATCTTTAAACAACTTCTTCTCATTAACCAAAAAAGTGTAGAACTGGCTGTAAAAAGCAATCACAAGTACAGAATGAAACATAGAATATTTTGGAATCCTGTCACACTAAGACACTTCGAATACTTCCATTAGGACCAATAAGAGTGATTACTAGAAGTATGAATAGTTTGTTTATACAATCATAGCTAAATAAATAAAGTTTACTTTTTAAAACATTATCAAAGTAAAACAAAGAAGTTTTTTGATCAAATCTGTCATATTTGACTATGGACTAACAATACTAAAGATTTGTTATATGTTTTTTGTATTTCCTGTTTACTGATGTAAACATATATATAAAATTTGGTGTAATTATTGACTTCTGTACACTGCAACGTATTTTGTTTACAGTTAGCTTCAAAGCACGAGTTCCACCAGTTTATAAAGAGAGAGTTACCTGCTCCTGGTAAAGAGACAAAAGTAGTGAAGACATCTCTGATATCAAGGCTTCTATATCATATGCGTATCATGGCACACACGTGGCATGAAAAGAGGACTGCTAATGAGAAAATAAAGAGACTGAACTACATCATATCTAACAGACTTGGCTACCAAGCGGAGTTTACTTTGTTTGATGTTTCACCTGTACCGCCTGAGAGTATGAGAAGAGAGAATCACTCACACGACACCCCAAAACCTGTTAAAGAAAAAAACAACTCTTGCACTATATCATAAAGTTTTTGACCTGCTAGTATGAAGATAAGATATCACAGTGGGCACTTCCAATGTTATCATTAACTAGCTTTATGGCTACATTTGAACAACTAATTCTTCATATTTAAAAATCTCAAAGTTCTTAAACTTGGAACTTTTAGTTAAAGATACCAAATCACCATTCTTGGTCAGTTTAATTTTGTTTGATTCAAACCACTTTTGTTTCATAATGTCATAAAAAAGTGTTTACTAATTAAGAAGTACAAAATTGACCTTTAGCCTTTGACATTCTTACAGTGACCTTTAGTCAGTTGATTTTCGATTGAATTCTGGTAGAATATTTACTTTGTGATATCACATGAATATGTTTATCAATTTAAGAAATAAGAAGTGTTTTACTTAGACTTTTGACCTGTTGACCTTGACATTGGTCTGTAGACTTGACTTGTAGAGTATTTGACACCTAAATGTAATGTAACAATTTTACACTTTGGCTCTTGCGGGTGATATGTGTGGAACCATTGTTTTAGAAAAGGAATTTTGATATTAGTGCTATATTTGAATACTATATTTCTATGCATATTTGTAGTTTGTCTGAAGTTGTTTTGGAATACTTGTTTCTTGCTAATATACACCTTGCTCTATTTGTACACAAATTAACATGTATGTAATTAAAAGTGATCACACTTTAAAATGTTGCAGTTAAGTGATATTGTCTGTGAAATTTAGCATCCATTCTCTGTTGTATGATCTATGTATGAATTACTTTCATCCAAATTATGTTTAGCTCGGTAGTAACTACAGCTATTTACCTGGGTTACATACTCCCCCTCCAGGACCTCATCCTCAAGTTTTCCAGAGGAAACAGTAATTTTTAGCTGCTATTTTTTTTACATATACCTTCTTTGTTGTCTTTACATGTGTACCTATGTAGAAGAGGTCAGTATTTATGTCAATGTCCCCGAACTACGGAACTCTTGCTTATTAGTCTTACTCATAACACACTTTCGTTTCACTTGGACAAGAGAGTTACATTTTCTGAATGGATATTAAAAGGTGTAGGGTTACCTGCCCAACCTTGTGGGTATCCTGATTACCCTCAACAATAAGACCCATTTCACTACAATCTGGGCTACAGGGACTTCCCAACCCATATTCACTATAATACATACTGCCAGACATTATATGGATGATGGGTTGGGAATTCATACGAAGGCCTTGTGATCGAGGCCAACAAGAGTGAATCAACTTTCTTGAGCTTGTGCTGTAAAATAAATAAAATTCATCAAAGTGATTAATCTAAAGAGAATGAACTTTTTAATTTCGAAGTTTACAGTATTAGTTTTCAACATATCAATACCATTAGTTGCTTCAGTATGCTGTCAGATAATGTGGAAGATTTTATCAATATTGCTGTATTTCCAGTGTTGTTTGTTGTCTTTTAGGAAACAGTCTGTGAACATCAATCTGTGACAATATTTTAGTCTGTGATAATTTGATATTTAAAGTGTAACCATTATTTTATATAAAATTTACATGCATATTATGATGAATTGTAAGAAATTATGTAAAGTTTGGCTTTGGAAGTTAGGATCGTTTCCATTGTTCTTAGCTCCCAAGGTTGAGGTCCAGGGTATTTGACATGCAGCTTTTGAACCTGACTGTAGTGTTACTGTCGCTGTGATAGGTTTTAGCTGTTTATACATGTGAAGATATTATTTTTTAATCCACTCACAAAAAAGTTTTTAAGTACTTTTTGCAAAACTTGCATTTGTATGAAAATATTTTACTTTTAATCACATAATTTATTACTTAGAACAGTGTTACCGACTTTGGTTATGTTATCTTTCTTTTTACAAAATAATTTGTATAGATTTTTTATGGTAAAAGAAAAATTAAAGCACATTTCAGATGTTTATAAATTTTCATGAATTTTACCCACAACAAAAGAATTTAAAGATTCTGAATTAGGAGGTGTGGGGAGAAAAGGAAGCACATACTTCAGTTGACTATTTAATTTGATGGGTTGATTGCTATATATACACACATATTATAATTATTTACAGTTAAAGTAGTTAACCCAGAGGTAATAAAATATGACTGGTACCTGCAATTTATTGTTAATATCATATCACAAGGATTCAGGAAATAAAAATGATGTCATTTTCTGTATTTTTTATACTCTAGACCATTTCGTTATTTCCTATCCATTATAATTTTGTTTCCACTCTTGTACAGATACAGATATAGAACTGTTATATATAGGTCAAGTATTCATTTGGTTATGGTTACCAATTTTTTTCAGAAGTTGAGGGACATTTAAATGTGAGAATTTTAATTCAAAATTTCACAAAAATGGTAAAACTAATATTTCAGAGCCTTGATTAATTCCAGTGGCCAAAAAAAAAAAGATGCTGGCAGAACTCCAATTTTATTTCAGATTCTTAACCATTGATTCTCTAGGTAGGACTTGCTTTTGTAGTATACATATATATAACTAAAACAATGAATAAACATGCTTGAATAAAAAGAGAAACAACTCAGTTTTACTTAAGAAATAATTTTATTTCAATAAAACTGTTACTGTGTAAAAGTCTTAGAATCTTTTTCTTTTTTCAAATACTGCAGTAAAAATACTGATATTGAATGTAAAATCTGTTCTTGATAAACATTAATAATAATTACCCCGGTGTATTTATTTTCCACCCCAGTGTATTTATTTTCCACTATACTCCCATTTATTTCATTGTTGTCTATTTTATATTGTCAATTTAAGTATATTGTCAAATAAAATTGATAAGATAGTTTTAAATGATGTTGTTTTCTATCATTATGTTTTAACTACCCTAGTAGGAAGCATAAAAATAAGAAATAACACATGTTCCATATTCCATAAAGAACATTCTCTGGGCCCAGACTCAAAAAAAAAAAACTGAGTCTCAGTTTTCAAAAGCTGATCTTACTGATGAATGTTTCTCAACATGCTGATTGCAGTAAAACATCAACTTTATTTAGAAACCCTTGGTGAATATAATAATGCAATACATTTTTTCATGATTCAACACCAACAATGTTGATAAGTAATTTATAACATGGAACATTGTAGCAAAATAAAAAATGGTCAAAACAAACCCTAATTCAGCAGTATTACACACAGCAGTATGTTTAATATGGCTTCAATAATTCAATACACAAATTGGTATAAATTCAATATGTATGTGTATTGCATATTCAAGTAATATTTTATAACAGACATATATATGTATATATATAAACAATAGGACAATTCCAGAATTAATTGAACAGTTCAGAGGCAAATTTTTAGAGGCCCTGCATCCTATATATCATGATTGACCACTTGTATAACTTGTGTACCAAATCTGATGAGGTCAAAATTTAGTTCCAAGTGACCTACCACTTAGACACCACACACCAACTCCTCAAGGTGAACCCATACCCCAAGTATAGAGTGAAGTGACAAATGGTGAATGGGATCAATCCCAAACAAAATCAAAATTTTGCTTTGAAGTAAGTCAAAGACCGAAATGTAGATCAGACTGACCTGTTTTTGAAGTACAGCATACCACCTCACCCATACCCAAGTATGAAGTTTACATGACAATAAGTGTAAGAGACGGCGCTTGAACAAGAAAGCGGAAGGATAGAAATGAATTATTAAAGCCCCCTCCCCCACTCTTGTTCTTGGTGGGGAACTAGTTATAGAATAATAACCCCCAAAACATCTTTGTAGCACTCACTTTTCTTTAGTATCTAAGTCAGCTGTGAGTATCGACACTCTTAGCTAAAAAAATTAAAATAAATACAAGGTAAATAAAAATCACTAGCACAACCTAGTGTATGTATTCATTTTAATTTGTTTTGTCATGACGACTTCCAGAAACGTTTTGGGACTTTTTTGTCAAAGGGGGAGGGGCTACAATAATTCATTGTTCATTTCTATCCATTCCTTCTGCTTTCTTGTTCAAGCTCCGTCTCAAACACTACTTGTCATGTCAACTTCATACTTGGGTATGGGTTCACCTTGGTGAGGTGGTGTGCTGTACATCAACTTCTGACACATAACTTTGGTTCAAAGATGAAGGTATTTTAAGTAGTTTGAATTCTTAGCAACATTTTATGAAAAAACATATACTTTGTATATATATCAATGCTTAACAGAATATGGAGTACAGCATAATTCAACTTTAATAAATATATTTATTTTTCTTCGCCATTCAACGTAATAAATATCTTAACATCTACAACCAAGTAAGGTAGTACTGTCTTTAATTTTCCAATATCAATCCCACTTATCATCTATACACGTGAGTTATCAACTCTGGGGAATCAAATGGTTTGTCTGACTGTCTTCGTTCTTCTATACGCGGAACTTTGGCCCAATCAAACGTTGTATAAACAATTAGGGATTTCTTCATGCGCCGGGCAGCAATCGCATCTTCCTCTGTCTCAAAGGGTGGACTGAAGAAAAAGATATATGTGCATATTTATTCCAAATCTAAAAAGAGTTCAATGATATAGGTTAATAACAAACTCTGATATTAGTTCTCGACATAAAAAAAAATTAATAAGAAATAACTGGAAATTTTTCCAATGTTTTAAAATTTGACTAAACAAAGAATAGAATATCGAATGCATCCTACATGATACTGGACATTTATGTATGATAACTACCTGTCAGTCTATGACCCACCTCTGATTACTCCAACACCCAGTATTCCTGGAACTATTAACAAGGCTATAAGGAATTCAGCAAAGAGTTTCAATTTATCTCTCCTTTGCTAGAAATGATGTACAGATGTTTCTTCATTATTGTCAGACTAGCTCTTGCTCTCTGTATATGGATTCAGTTTTTTCAATTAAACGATGATGTAATTAATTATCAGTATCTTACGATTAATTGGTGCATATTTATCTAAAGTAGATACTTTACTTACTTATCTCTCATAAAACTGTTTCCTATCAGCTTGGAATCTGAAAATTAGATTAATGTGTTGGTATATCAAACCTTCAAATCAGATTTGGATGTTAAAGATGATAGTGTAATAAATGTTCAATGAGTTGAAATATACTGTAACATTTGTTAGTATTGTACAGACTACAACGTGTTGCCACTAGACCTTATCACAACATGTGCCCCTTTTTGATTGGTCATTGAGTCACATACTTGTATTTCACCTATCTTGCAATATTGTTCATGATCTCTCTCTATCGCAAACAGCGATGAAGTCAAACAAAAAGCAAAACAATTCTATTGCAATTGTCCATCTACATCTACAAAAGAAGCTTTCATATGCTACCTTACGGTTTGTCTCGATTTATAGAAATGCTACAATGCATTATTAGATGTAACTACAGCATTCACATAACCAGTATGTATACTCATTGAATTTTCACTGGAGAAAAACCAATATACCACTAATGATTCCTAGTCCCATTCAATTTTGACTACCAACCTGTAGAAGGCTGGTTCCTCTGGTTGCTTTCTGCCGGATAGTATATTGAGGGCGGGCCTTCCGATCTTCTCCCAAAGGCAACGGTGTCCCGGATTTTCTCTTTGTCCTGGTCATATATCCTATTGGAGAGCTCACGCTCAGATTTAGCTACCTCTGATGTAAAAAGAATTATCACTTAAACTCACAACATTGAAGAGAAAATCAGATTTGTAAAATACTTCTTTTTTTTAAATTTCCCAAAACTTTAATTCAGCTCAAAATAAATTTTACTGTACAATATATATCTTTTGCATTAAATGCAAGAAAAGTTGAAAATACTTGTTTTGAAATGCAGTTTAAAACATTTTTCTATGTAATTTTATTTTCATGAAATAATTCAGTTTAAAAACTATGATAAGGCAACAGAATTATATGACATTAATGTTACCTACCCTGTCTGTCGAGGAGTGTGACAGAGGGCACTGACTGGATCACAAAAAGGCGATAATCCTTCTCCTGAGCAACAGGATTGTTGAATAAATCTGTAAAATAGATATGTGTAACTTTCCCGAACCAGAAGAAATCTCTTTCTTACAGATACTTGGGTACAGATTTCTGTAATGACTTATGTTATCATTGTTTTATAATTTCATACTTTTCTTTGTCAGATTATTTCACACAGAGAAGCATTTGCATATGGATTGCTTTTTGAAGGTTTTTTGGTCTTGTTTTATTTCGCCCTTGTCCTCACCTAACCACTGTTGAATTTGTATTAAAATACACCTCAATATGAAAATTTATATTCAACCTTTTACAATTTATTTTTTCTTTTTGACAAAACAAGAAGGATGAGATTGATGAAAGTAAAATTGACATAAGCGTCCCCATATATGTTCATGTACTTTTTACATAGATCTTGCTATTTCTTCAAAACAAAGCTATCCTGAAGAAAATGAGTTGTCTCCCTTAGGTAACATAATGCCTGCCACTGGTTTCATTCTTTTCAATTCTATGACAAAACTATTTTATTTTTGCTTCCAAATGCTAAACCACAAAAATTGATGAAAATTGTTTGAACCATTTTGGTTTTTGTTGAGAATCGTGATTATTGTATATTGTATATATATTATAACCTCTGACACAAAGCTGTGAGGTGGGCTTATCACAGGACCATGATTTATAACATTTTTTGGTATTTTCTACTGAATCTGCAATAAATATGGGTGGGTTTATTCCCAGGCAAGGGCTTACTAATTATTTAGTGTGCTTATGGGTACCTCTCTCCATTAAACAATCACCATGGACATAAAATGGGTCTAGATATCTTGATCAGAACAGACAGAATGTCATATATATAGAGATGCTTTTCGTAACAGGATGCATTATTGGTCTCAATTTCTGTGTCAGAATAGGCAAGATGTCAGACTATACAGGATGCATGTGCTAAATTTAAACAGAATCAACTTCATTGTTATATTGAGTTAGGAAAATATTGGTAAACATAGGCCACTTCAGATTGCTTAAAGAGGTTTGGTCATACATAGAAGCAGATGTTTAAGTGAAATGTTCCAAAAAGAAGAAAGAAAGCTCTATAAAATATGAAACAGTAATATCATAATGAAATTTAACTGTATCATATTAATGAAGGGCATTATATTGAGGTTTTATGGTATAATATAAATGAAGGGCGTTATATTGAGGTTTTATGGTATAATATAAATGATGGACATTATATCGAGGTTTTATGGTATAATATAAATGAAGGGTATTATATTGAGGTTTCATGGTATAATATAAATGAAGGACATTATATTGAGGTTTTACAGTATAATATAAATGAAGGGCAATTTATTGAGGTTTTATGGTATAATATAAATGAAGGACATTATATTGAAGTTTTAAAGTATAATATAAATGAAGGGCATTATATTGAGGTTTTATGGTATGATATAAATGAAGGACATTATATTGAGGTTTTACAGTATAATATAAATGAAGGGCATTATATTGAGGTTTTATGGTATAATATATATGAAGGGCATTATATTGAAGTTTTATGGTATAATATAAATGATGGACATTATATCGAGGTTTTATGGTATAATATAAATGAAGGGCATTATATTGAGGTTTTATGGTATAATATAAATGAAGGGCATTATATTGAGGTTTTATGGTATAATATAAATGAAGGGCATTATATTGAGGTTTTATGGTATAATATAAATGAAGGGCATTATATTGAGGTTTTATAGTATAATATAAATGAAGGGCATTATATTGAGGTTTTATAGTATAATATAAATGAAGGACATTATATTGAAGTTTTAAAGTATAATATAAATGAAGGATATTATTTTGTAAAGTGTTGTCCATACAAGTTTAAGCAGACTGATGGATAGACTGAAAGACAGATTATCAAACTATTATCAAGGGGTAATATGTAGAGGTTTTGATGTATCAGCATCAGGGCAAAGTTAGTGAGGAAATATTGTAATCATTTCGAACATATATCAGTAGTCATACAGAATTACAATTAATAAGGTATTGGTATTAGTATGATAAAGTTGGATCCAGTTTCATACTTAGTGTATGGAGGGACTGCATCCTCGAGAACTCACGAACAACCCTTTCAAGCTTGGTCAGTTGGTTGTTCTGAAGCATGAGAACTTTGAGACAAGTGAGATGTCGTAAGGCACCGGTGATCTCTATCAACTCATTGTTGTGTAAATGGAGCTCCTCAATCATGTAGTTCTGATGTAGACAATTCAACCTCCGTAACTGTAACAACACAAATACGCAAAATTACCTCAAACCAGTTTTGTAAGGTCTAAATATGTGAACATTGGATGCACCTACTACTGTATTTATCTGCAAACAAGCCTCTGTCCACCAATAAGCGCCCCTCCCCTTATGTATTAATAGAATTGATATAAGAGTAGTTCACATACACTCCTCCCTAAACTTTAATAATATATTTTCCAATAGGGTAGTGGGCTGATTTGAGGATAAATACTGAAGGTACAAATTTTCATTTCTAGTAATTTGATTGACATCAGAAGTGCATGGTAGAGAGGCCTGCCCTCTAAATGAACCTGGCTGTGCAATATGCTATAACTAAATCCAACAAACCCAACAACCCTCTAGCAATGACTTGACAATATTGTTCAAAACCATTGTATGTTAAGGCAAAGGTTAACAGTAAATTATTTTTAGATGTAGATTAGCCAGGTCAGTACTTCCATGTGACAAGATTACAGTGTCTTTAATCATATATCTCAATGATCTGAACAATTGTTTTTCTATTTGGAATAAAATTAAATTAAGTTAAATTCAATGAGTAAAATTAATCTGTATAAAGGGACCATTAACCTGGATAAAGAGATCATTGATATGAAACAACATCGTAGCACAGGTGGTCTCCTTACACAGGTTCATTAATATCATATCATTACAAAGGAGAATTTTGAATGTGGTATCTGTATATTATAGCAGACTACTTACTCTGTTCCCATTCAGCCACAGTATCCGAAGGTAGGCAAACCGTGACAAGTCAGTGACATGTGTGAGGCTCCTAAGGGAAGATAACCATAAATTGATAAACATGAATTTTAAACCATCCCTTTAAAACTCTGAAACACAGTCTGTTTGATAAACTTACATAAATATATGTATTTCAGCAAATCAATTGATACAATTTCTACAAAGTTATTATATATGTGACAGGCAGGTAATGGGGCCAAGTAAAATTCATTTTCATGCAAAATTCAAAGCTGTGTATCAAGTTAACAGAAGTGATGAGTAAATATTACTATAATCGTAAAGTGTTGGACAAAAGTTGAATGACAGAAATATTTTTCTGGGCCAGAAATGTTGAAGACCTTAATGATAAAACCTTATTTTCATGAAAAGAGTTAGTCTTGACAATTTAAAATACCTACTTGTCTGCCAGATATAGCTGATCTACATCCTTGTTCTTCTTGATTCCTCTTTGTTTTAACAGCTGGGATATTGTCTGTTGTACACCAAACAACAATTAAAACTACAGTCAAACTTGCCTATGCAGGCCACCGGTTTTGAGTCCCAGTATTATACAAATAATTGTAATAGAACCACTACATAAAGACTACCTGCATGAAAAGGGCATTTTTCTCTCCTTCCTTGATTGACCTTTATAGACAGGTTATACTGTAAAGCTTGTTTTTGGAAATAATCTGAATACAAAACTAACTGACATGAACCCATGACACTCACAAGGGTTGTGTATGGGGAGTATTTGGACCCAATATTTTGTCCCATTCCCAAATGGAATCTTTGTATATATTTTTACATAACACCAAAAATTTGCATTTTATCACTGAAAAATTGTTTTCAAATCAATAGATAAATCAAAACCAAAATGCCTTTCCCGAAATGATAAGAAAGTAACCTATGGTATCAGCTGTTCTGTTGACACATGTAGTATTTTGAAAAATTGCAACAAAAACTGATGATGAACTTCATGCTGATTTAACTTATAGACATACACACATACTGACTGAATTATCAATAAACTTTTTGCACACATTACTGACCTACTAAATTCCAAAAGGAATCCATCCATGGAAGGAAGAAAAGGTTTAGTGATTTATATCAAATAAACATTATTCTTACACTCCAAAACATTTCATTTGTTAAAACACTTCAAGTTATTGTTGATTTTTTTTTTTTTTAAACACACTTCTTTTAATAATTCAAACATTAAGAAATTCAAACATTTTCCATAATGTTAAAATAAAACACAAACTCAGAAACAAACAGAAATCATTTACCTATTCACCATAATTAACCCTTGTCAATACATATATTCAATAATTATACAAAAGAAAGTACAGTAACATGTATTAACAAAAGGAATTGGACAACAGGCTTATAGCCTTTATAAGTCTTTCAACAATTTTTACATGATCTTATTTAACAAATCTCTACACAGATCACTTACTTTGATGCTGAATCAGAAAATCAGTCTGGAGTTTGGTTTTCATTGATTAAAGAAAATAAATAAATGACCACTGATTCTCAGGTGGAGTGTAGTGATGGAAGAATGTGGGGATGTAAATAATGGTGGTAATAATATATAATATGATTTAAGAATACCTGATTTTTTTTCTATGAAAAAATTATTTTGGTTGGGCTGCTTACTACACAATCAATTACAAATGTGTAGTAAATGACTGTAAATAACGTTTTGTCAGTAAGGTTGATACAGTCTTACTTGTTACTTTCCTCATTTCTTTCACTATATCAAGAAATAATGTAAAAAAAAAGCGATGTATATTTATTTTTATATCTGATTTCTACATTTTATGCCTGTGTTTTTAATCAAGTAAAATATTACTCAATATAACTTTTTAAGTCCCAGTGAGGACATATAATATAGCTAGTTCATGTTAGATATTTTCAAAAAATTAACTCTCACACAAAACACAAACATGTACCCAGTACTGATTTCCCCAACATCCAGTAAGAACACAGTATCAATAAATCAAATTTGACATGGCCTATAAGGACAAAAGCAGTACAACCATCACCGACATTTAGACATTAACTCAGGATAACATCTTACATATTGGATTATTTTCTGGCTGTATGCAAAGCTTATTAACTGAAGAAATAAGAAAATACAAAACAAAAGATTATTTTCGTAGACAACTTCAAGAAATCGTACACATCAAGTGTTGAAAAGTATAATATCAACGTTACATAGTGTACATGTATGTTTCACTATAATGACAAAAACCTATTTCAAGTTTATCGTTTGACAGATATACATATCGGTCTGTTGATATATATAGATAGAATATAGTTTGAACTTGACCAGCTGAGTCGATCTTGCAGAAGAACTATGTGTACAATATATTTACAAAACTCAAAACTTATATGATACGGAACACGACAATTGAACTGGCATGCACTCACATAGTCACAGAGTTACTTATCAGTTAGATTTATAACATGCGATTCAGTGAACATAAAATATTACACATATCATCCTTGATAAAAATTGGTATCACATTCATGCTGTTATGCGAATACCTAAATAGGTCAAAAAATAAGCAAACAACAAAAAGTTTACCTCGTCCGGAGACGGTCCGTCGTCGGGGTCGGCCATCTTGCTCGTTGCTAAAATAACAAAGGTAAAGCTAGCATTATACGAAAATAAACGGACGTTTCAGATGCTATTGTGTTTTGAGCTATGCTTAGAATTTATAAGATTTTTTTTCTTTTTTTCTCAGAACCGTTTTTCAGATTCTTCAACAAAATGTGACGATATCATTAATTAGAAATAGCGACATTTCGTTTTGCACAGTTTATCTTCGTAGTCCTAGGTTCGACGCTCGGCTGGGATCAAATTATTATTTTTTTTTTCGAAGTTATTTTTTCCATCATATTATAATTCTAATATATCAAACATTAACCAGAATTTAACTTTTATACAAAAACAGTATTTTTACGAAAAGTATTTAACCTAGGACACTTTTGACATCCAGGCGCCATTGTAGACTTGAAAATAAACCTACAAAATCTTGTAACTTCTTGCATACCAGAAAACTTTTCTTTCTAGAAATTAAAACAATTTAGACACTCTGATGTCATGGTGAAAGAAAATGAAACCATTGTTTGTTACCAGTCATCAATGTTTTATTTTTTATGTAAATGTGACTAAAATACACTGTGTAAAGCTAGTCATTTTATTATCATTATTTTTTTTATATTTTTCTAAAATCCGTTTCCCTTGGATATGCGTATAAAAAAATTAAATCACGTAGCTCTAAGAGGACAACAGGTTTTGATGGCGTTCTCTTATAAACTTTTGAAAGCCTTCAGTGATCATCATCAATCCATGAAGTAATGTGACGTCAGGCGTTAATGCTAAATACCTTTCCTAGTCAACTCAAGGTAGACTTGGTCGTTCAGGTTTTTAATAAAAATGATGCCTAAGATAAGCAAAACTATCTGTAAATATTCTACCTAGTGTCTCCAAACTATTTGAAAGAGGTATGGATGATCAAATTTGAGAATATTTCATTCGTATCTTTAATCCCTTTTTAGCACCTGTCAGTCAAGGTTTTGGCTGTCAGCCTAACGTTCTAAGATTAGCTGAGGACTGGCGCGAGGCCTTAGCCAATCGTGGGGATGTCGCTACAATTTTTTGCGGATCTCTCCAAGATATCGGTCTGCCTTCCTCACGATCTTTTGTTTAGAAAGCTGGATGCCTGTGGTTGAAATGTAGGCTCTGTGGAACTGGTATCGAGTTATATGGGTAACGGATTACAACTGGTCAAGTTCTGCTCCAAATGCAGTGACTGGTTGAAAGTGCTCAAAAAAGGCTTCCCCAGGGCTTAATTATGGGGCCTTTTAAATCTTTTTGAATAACCTTCTGTGTCAATTCATCTATACTCCAGAAATATGCGGATGTCACCACAATGAGATCATCGAACAAAAACCTTGATATTATTCAGCAGTATATTGAACAGACTGTTCAATCTTGGTAAAGTGGTTGAAACCAGTGCAGATATTTGCTTGAAATTTATCAAGAATTCTATATCATACAACATTGAAAATATACTAAAGAATACATAATGTTAGCGCCTAAAATGAAAGGATAGGATTGGGTAGGATAAGCTATATGGATAGAATAGATATAGGACAGAGAATAAATCAATTGATACGACACTCTCCAGTATATGTTATTTGTGTGTATGGTGTAAAACTAATAATGAAATGTATGCAATGCTTATTATAAACGTGGTTTACATGTACTGTTTGCAAAGTTGTATGTTATATATACTTGTGTTTGTAATGTTTAGTCTTCAGCTAATAAAGAAACTGAAAGTGCACAAAAGTGAAAGACAGATCTGTCATACCCAAAGCTTCTATACTGTTTTAGTGTTGCTTTCTGTTTATGTTTAGTGTTTCTTCCGTGTGTATTTCACATCCATTATATCTCAATCGGTGTAAGGGGTTTGTTGATTGGTTGGGATACTCGATCCATGGAGGACAACCTGGAGGACAACCTGTTAGTTGGAGGAATCCTACATGGTGACCGTGCTGAAGGTACAGAGTCCGTGGTCGAGGAATTCATCAGGACGGAACTCGGTATCGATGAGGACATTCAGCTTCATGTTGCCTACAGACTGTGTTCAAAATATTTATTCATTTATTCTATTTATTTATAATTCATTTTAAGTATGCTTTTACTGTTTGGTGGAATTTATCTGTTTTCAGTAACACTATATACACAACTAGATAACAGCATTCTATACAGAACCTTTAGACATTAGGACCAATCAATTAATTAAACTGCATTATACATCCGTTTCATCCTCCCAGGAATCGTCAGTGATGATACATCATACAGTTGTTTCATCCCACCAGGAATCGTCAGTGATGCTACATCATACAGTTGTTTCATCCTCCCAGGTATCGTCAGTGATGCTAAGGATATATAACTGGGTAGTTATCTAAAATTCTTTTAATCAGCATAAAAATGGTCTCTTGTCCTACGTGCGGGCGTGATTTATTTTAGTTTTCTACAGAAAAAAATCTTTCAAAATTTTTGCGCAGCCACATTTCTAGTTCTAATTCCACATCTCAGTTCTGATGTAAACCGCGATTTGTCATCTGATCTAATTGTCATACACGGAATTTGTATGCAATCATAGACGTATTCCAAGACCATATCTGTAAAAAAATGAACACATTTCACCACACGTCGAAACATTCCTACATTTAAATTACCAGTTGGTGTTTTGAAACAGGTTATTGAATTTGTAGTAATCATCGTTTTTATAACACCAGAGCATGCGTTTAATAGCAAGATATTCAGTTTGATTTTAACAATAGTGGTCCGAAATGTCCCTGTCGATTTCGATAACATCAGAAAAACCAACCACGCGGAAAATTACTCATTAGCACGGGTCTAGGCGAGAAGCACGTGTATCGCCTACCCGGGTAGGTCGGACTAGTACTTTAGATTACGAGTAAGTGCGGATTATATTAAGTTTATGACTAGTTTCGATTAGAGGATCTACGTCTATTTCAATAACTGTAATTCCATAAGGAATTTCATCACGTGCAGTCTCTATGGAGTTTTCATATTGTTCACAGAATGGATTTACACAATCGTTAGACATATGTACTGTACAAAGCAGCTGATACGAGGTAAAACGACGCTGAGCGTAAATATAAATAACACTTCCACCCTGTGAGTGTTCACGACCTTTCCGGCAATGATGACTTATTAAATCAGAAAGTGTCTTCATCAGAAATACTGTTGTCTAGATGGGCTTCCGTGATACATACTACGCGAATTTCGTCTGCAATGCTTTCCAATGTGAGTCGATTAATTTCTTAGATTGTGTATGTGTGGAAAGTGCTATGGTCTATTCGTCTGAGGATACATATAGTAAATATATGTTAGACGAGGGTCTAGGTTGGATTGCGACAAAATGAAAGTACAAAGCGAAACTAGACACAATCATGTATGTAACAAGAAATATGATTGGATACAAGAAATCACTCCAACCAATTAAACTACATCTTACATCTCGATATTGAACATTGTTTACAAAACATGGCGTCCGGAGTGATGTGTTTGTAATGTTCTGCATCTGAAAGGTAAGTCAAAGTTTACTTAAATGAGTTTGCTTTATGAAAAGGTGCGACTATCTTAAAAGAATATTTGAACTTTGATTTTATGTAGTTTAGTTAACCATATCATGATGATTTATTACTTGTCATCGTGCTCGAAACCACTGCAACAAGTTAGGGTTTAACTGTTACATTCCAAATGCCGACTCTAAATTCGTCAGATCCTTTATTTGGAATAATTACATATACTGTGAAGAATTGTCTCCAAAGTAAGGGGATTTCTTACCAACCGTGAGTAGATGCTTGTTATTTAAGAACTGTCGTGTAAGTGAGGAGGCCCATAAAGAAACCAAAGCATATACCGTGTGTTATAAAAAAAAGGACCTATACATTCTGGTACCCATCGTCCTTATAATCTCTTTGAGTTATATATACGATATTGTGTAGTTTTCTGCATTGTATGTTTCATGGCACAAATGTTCATCAGCGTCGTCTATGCGAAAGGTAAAAAATGGGCATTGAAATTGGTGTAATATTAATCTCAGTGTTGATTTTAACTTAGACTTTGATGCAGGTACATGAAGAGTGGAAGGAATAAATATTTATCTTCTAGTTGTATTTCTCCTGTGGTACACATTCACTGTATCTCATTGACAGCTGTACATTAACTTTGTTTTGGTTTAAAACTGTGAAGGGGACATTTCAACAGAAATTAAAAATATTGGCAGCCTGTATTACATGTGTAGTGTCCTTTTCATTGACTAAATACTTGATATCAACATTTAATTAATCGAACAAATATTACAGATATTACAGCATTCATCAAACATAGGACTATATTTACATTTTGCATGATTGCCTCCCATTAACTCGGTGTTAATCAGGATCGTATTTAGATGCAGTGTGGACCATTTATATGATAAGATCATGATATCATTTCAGTGCCATCTTGACTGAATTTTTGTCAATGCTGTGCAGTTTGCCCTAGATAATACACATTATAGCTTTACTTAAATCATTTAGCTGACTATAATTTTCAAAAAGCTTTTTCAGCATGTTAACATATAGCAAGGAAAACCAAAGACATCAATCTACCTTTCTGTCACCCAGATGCATTCATATTGACTATAAATGCAATCTGACCTGACATGTCTTATGACATTTCTATGTATCTTCACATCTATAACACATTTACATTTTTGAGAAAGTCATTGCTTCAATGTCAGATTTCAGATGAATGCGAGTTTAAAATGAACAATTATTCCATTTTCAATTCAAATATTTAACTACACAGTAGGTATTTATGTGCTGATGTTGAACAAAGCTTAAGCTTACAATTTCTGTGATGATCAGCGTTTCAGAACAATTATCTCAGAAAGCCTGATAAAGGCATTGAAATCCAGTAGCTGTTCAGTTGTTTACATAATTTCATCTTAATACATCTCTTGTAGATAACAAAAATGACAGCAATATGGTAACCTTCAGCTTATTTCAACTTTCACGTTCTGCCTGAAATCTAGTGTCTGGATAGAAAATTAATTTTTTACATATTGAAATGATACTGATCATTTAAACAGATGAGGATATGTGGTATTAAGGCCTGAGAAAATTTGGGTGATCCTTACAGGTCCACAGTGTAGTCTGGTGTCCAGTGGTGATAGTTATGGAGCGCTATGACACTGTCCACAGACTAGGGTCTGGAGGCTGTGGGTCAGTGTATCTGGTCAGACACAGAGACAATAAGAGGTCAGTATGTAAGGTCTTTTACAGAAACTGCATGCATTGGTCTGCCCTTAAAGATATTCTTTAAACAAAATTTAAGTTGCTGAAGTGTCATGTATACTATTCATGTGGAACCATCATTTCAATGATGTTATATATTCTGTTTGTATTTAACTAAATTCTAACTGTGCATTTTTTATTTTTCTTAAATAGCTTTCACAGATCCATGGTCTTTTGGATACACTGCTTTTAGATAATAACGACTCTCATGGCCATTACAAAATGCAGACAAAGTTTTTATGAATTGTTCTTGAATAAGCCTCAACTGCAGAGAGCACATGTAATATATCTTACAGCATGATATAAAGAGCTCATACATTACAGCATGATACAAAGAGCTTATATCTTACAGCATGATACAAAGAGCTCATATCTTACAGCACGATATAAAGAGCTCATATCTTACATCATGATATAAAGAGCTCATATCTTACAGCATGATATAAAGAGCTCATACCTTACAGCATGATATAAAGAGCTCATACCTTACAACATGATATAAAGAGCTCATACCTTACAGCATGATATAAAGAGCTCATACCTTACAGTATGATTCAAAGAGCTTATATGTTACAGCATGATAAATGTATAAAGATATTATCTCATACAGCATGATATAAAGAGCTTATATCAATATAAAGCATGATATTTGTATAAAGAGCTCATATATTACAACATTATAATGGTAATTTAATGTCTGAAAACAACATAAAATGAGGTGCTGATACAAATGCATTTTACAACATGGTGAAAAGATGAGCTCTTATCATACAACATATAAAGAGGAACTATTGTTTTACAACATGATATAAAGAGGAACTATTGTTTTATAGTATGATATAAAGAGGAGCTTATGTCTTATAATATGGCATAAAGAAGAGCTCAAATCTTACCAGATAATATTAGAGGAACTCATATCATGCAACATGATATAACACAAACATGTATTCATTTGTAATCAGTTGCCATGTTTCAAATATTTAATTTCACATCTTCTTTTGAAATAAAAAAAAAGATAGAAACTCATGATAAAGATATTGTGAAAGACCTAAAATAATGAATTTCATTGTGTTGTTTACATGTACATGAATGTAGATGATGTCTATGACAGGTTATATGCCTTGAAAAAAATTGAACTTGATGAAAGGAAAAAGACCAGAACCAAAGAATTTGTACAGAAAGAAGCAAAGTAAGTAGTTTCACCATGGATGATTAAAGTAAATTGTACACCTGTACATCTTTCCATTTGATCTATATACTGTATTTATCTACCAATAAGGCATTGTCTGGTAACAAGCTCACACTTATTCATTGCAGTGTGACAGAATTACAAACAACTGTTTTTTATATAGTCCTGTAATAAGTCCACCTCCTGACTTTGACAAATTGTGATGTAAAATTGATATCATTACTGTAAATTTAATTTTTGTTGGGGTTTTATTTTCATAGATTTCATTGGTACTCTTAATCCATGAATTTATTTGTCCATGAACTGTAAGAATTAGTATAAGGTGATTTATTGGGCTATATTTATCAATGAAGTTAATCGTCCATATAACAGTATTTAAAAAAATAAATATCTATATATGAATTGCACTCTACAAAAATATATTGCAAGTGTAGTTCAAGATAAAGCCAGGATAATAAACCTCAAAAGATTACTACACCAGAGAAAGCAAAGACATTGTATGAATAAGGAACACATCGTCAGCCAATTATATAATCATTTAGCTATACGAAAAGGCTCTCTTGGATACATGGATAATTGATTATAAATTTGTTACTTATAACCCATCATTAATGTTTATATCCTGTAAATATTTTTCCTGGGTACTTACTTACTTACTTATTTTCACACTTAAATTATAAATAACCATAGATGTAATTTGAGAAGATCTTTATCTTTAATGCAAACAGTGATTGAAAATAGAATTTGTGAGCTTTAAAAAATGTCCATTTTCTTTATCAAACAAGCAGTGAAAATAGCTGGGTTCTCAAACATTCACTGGTCCAGCAATTAGATGAAAAAGTGTGTCAGCTGTCATATTTTCATGACACATTTTCATCTACTCTTATGTTGCAGTTAGTCTTCAGGAGTGTTTGTGTTTCATCCATTTTGGCCCCATGTTGACCACAAATATGGCTTAAGTAAATTACTAACAAGACACAGCCTCTGTCTACTAATAACTGTAAAGTCAATGATTTTTGTTTGAACTCTTAATTCACAAAGTCATATGCCCACAAACTATTGAAATTAGTATAAGTACATATATTGATATATATTCATGCATGAAATCAAATATCATTGAAATAGTGATTATTTTTCAATCACAAAAATTGAGGCTGACAAAAATTTATGATTTCAGAGTATTTGTATTTTTTGTTTATTTCAGTATCCTATCTCAACTAAAACATCCACATATAGTAGCTTACTATGACTCGTTTTACGAGGGCGATGAATTTCTCTACATTATCCAGGTAAGAAACCACTTACTCATTCTCAAACCCTGACAAGTTCAATGATATACAATATACTAGTACTGAAGAGTGAACCAAAGGGAAGTAATTTACTCTGGGAGGTCCGAAAGGAATTTACACTGGCTTCAGTTCCTCATAATTAAATATTCAAGCTGAAATTTAAAAAAAAAATAAATCAATAAAATGCTTAGCATTTATCAATTTCATGGTTACTTTTCATAGGAATATGAAAGGTTGAATTAGATTTGTAAATAAAAACTTTTTATAATCTATATGAGTTGTTAAACATAGATTTACTATATATTGTTTTGGTGTCAGAAAGTTAAGTCTGATGTCCTGTGCAAATTTTTTTGTTCATATATAAACTTTCTCACTTAGTATTGTTATATGTTGATAAAACTGACCCATACAAGGCTTAAACCTTTTTTACCATCGATATGACTTAGGCCAGTAATGTAGAAGATTACGGCTTGGCTACTTACTTTCATGAAGAAGATATTTTTGCTATTTTGCAGTACATAAACATGACTGCTAAAATTCAGTCCCTGTTACAAGTGTGTGTTAGATATTCTTTTACATCCAAGTCACAAAATTTTCATTTGGTATTATATAATTCAACAGTTTTATTAGAAAATTGTAAATATTTTGACTCTGGAAAATTACCAGCTATATGGTATTTCTTCATTATTAATCAGTTTTAATTATTGGGATTCAAGATTTTACATTTACATCTTAAATCATGACCTCCTATTAACTCAAAGTTAGTCTGGATGTCATCTACAGGAGGAAGTCATAAAAACATTCTAGATCATGTGATAAAATATGATGTCATTTTGCCGTCATAGTGACTTATATTTGTTACATAGTGCTCTGCGCATCACCTCAGGTAACACACATCATAGCTTTATACTTAATTAATCGTTCAAATGATTTTCAGAACTCTCCCAGTAACTAAACATACAGAGGAAAACTTTATAGTTTATATTAATAGACATTTTAAAGACCCCAGTATATGCATCATTTGACAAATTTACATGATCCAAAAAGTTTTTGAGAAAACTTTTTTATAAAGATAACTTTAAAGAATACTTAAACTGACTGATATTTATTACAAAGCACTTGTTGGGGATATCAAAACAAATAGAATTTGATAAAAGTTGGTCCGGTTTAAAATACAAACCAATGTGATATGATATTTCAAAGGCCATAATCATTTGAGGACTCGCTTTGTAGTGTGAATAGGACATATATGTGTTTATAGTAAATACAAACCTCTAACAGAAGCATGTTTTGAATTTCAAAGAATTTTAACAGCTTTTATGTCAATACCAACATACAGTATTGTCTTGTGTATTTCTCAGATAAGTTAACTTTTATTATATCTATATAGATAGATAAATTTTTATCTTCAATTTTATAGCAAAAGTTGTGTTTATTGGGGTTTAAACAGTTTAAGATAATATCAGAGATGTAAACATATCTATTGAACGGTCATCAGATGGAATTTATTTTCAATATGAATGTAACCTGGGTGACAGAGATAAATAATCATGACATCTGTTGTCATCCTTAAAGACGTAAATGTTAGATCTGGGAGGCAATCAAGGAAATTCAGTTGAAAGTGATTGAAAGAAATGTAAAAATCATGATTAAGAGGTACACTAGCCCCATGAAAAATTATCTCAATAATGAAGACAAGAAATCTGAGGCATTTGTATTACCTGTACTCTGATAGTTTACAAACGAAATATTTGAAATTTGACATTTAATTATCGGTTATCTTTTTAAGCCAAACAGCTGGGTTCGGGATGGAGTTCAAAGTAATCAATTTCATTTAATAAATCTAATTTTTCTTTATTTGTAACAGGACTTCTGTGATGGAGGCACAATGGATGACAAAATTACAGATGTTGCAAAAGTGAGTGATGATGAATATTTAAATAAAATACACTGATACACTGCTGTTCTGAAGCCAAGCGAGTTGTTAGCAATATAACAAAATTTTAGTGACAGAATTATGAAGGAACTATTTTGACTGGATACATGTACATATTTCAGGATAAGTTTCAAATGAAAATATTTAATGGTAGAAAAAACTCAACTCTGAAATAATTTTTCTGGCAAGTAATTACATGTATTTATAATCTCACTTTTACCAACTTTTGGCACCTAAACTTTGCTTTTCTTGTCAATCTTTTTAAGCAGTCATCTATTCAATAAGCAGTCAACTGTTTTAAGTGGTCAACTATTTAAGCAGTTTGCTGTTTTATGCAGTCATCAGATTTAAGCAAGCAGTCACCTGTCTAAGCAGTTACCTGTTTTAAGCAGTCACCTGTTTCAAGCAGTCACCTGTTTAAGCAGTTACCTGTTTTAAGCAGTCACCTGTTTCAAGCAGTCACCTGTTTAAGCAGTTACCTGTTTTAAGCAGTCACCTGTTTAAGTAGTTACCTGTTTAAAGCAGACACCTGTTTAAGCAGTTACCTGTTAAAGTAATCACCTGTTTAAAGCTGTCACCTGTTTAAAGCAGTCACCTGTCCTCAACGGTCACTTTCAGTCATTCCCTTTTATGAAAGTATTAAGACCATTGTATGACATGTAAAATGGTCAAGGTGATGTAGAATGAAACTCCCCTCAAGACAATAAATAGTGGATCACATGTAGTATTTATATATATCACGAGAACATTAAAGTATCAATGACAGGTATCATACAGTTAATATGGTACCTTTGATGCTGTTGTGTTTTAAGGTTCTAAAACCAAGCTCAAAGTTGTAATTCATAGCAATTTTTGTATCATATTTGTAAACCTGTTGACAATTAATTAACACAAATTTCTGTTTCAGAAAAACCAATACTTTGAAGAAGCTGTTATTATGGGTGTAAGTACATGTACCACATTTATAAAGAAAGTTTAGTCTTAATTTATCAAAGGATCATCGAAGGATAAATGAAGCAGAACCAAGATACATTTTTTTTTATTTATGCCTACTACAGCGTGATCCAGCACCAAGTGGGAGAGGGTCTAGCTATGTGAAGACAACCTGTACATGTATTTATACAAAATGATTTTTGAGTTTTGTACAATAGTAACAAAGCTCCACATACTCTGCCCAATATCAACATGCAGTCTAATGTATATGTTGACCTTTGAACCTTGATATATGAAACATCAAAGATGCTTCAGAAGCTTTTGATGAAGATTCAAATCTAAAACTGATTTTGTTTCAAAAGAGGAGAAAAACTTTAAATCAGAGTTGTCAAATAATGATATGACTTCAGTCATGTATTTACTTTGATGTGGTTTTATTGTGATAATTATAAATTAATCAGGGTAATGCACAAATTACAATTAATTTTAATTTGAAATATTATTCCACAGAATAGCTTGGATTACAATAATAATTTTGTTTTGATAAGTCACTGGAGCTTAGTCAAGTCATTCTCAAATTAGGCTTCTAAAATCTGAAAAATTAAAAATTGAAGCACTTAATAAGTAGATATGATGTAGATCAGAAAGAGAACATAGATTAATGTTATTTGTTTGTCAAAAAGAAACTTATCAAGTAATTTTCCCTTGGCTTGGAATTTTTAGTGGCATGAAAAATTAGATACCGTACTTTTCCAGGGGTAAGTCCAAGTCTGGTAATAATCCAATTCATATCTACGGCTATTTATTAGAATTTTCTACAAATGCTCATTCAATGTCTATCAATATGCACAAACCTGATATTATGTCAGAAGTATTGTTTTAGACCCCCAGTATTACTGTATAGCTAACAATATTTGAGAGGGGGGGGAGGAGGCTGGATTTAATTGAGGCAACCATGAAATATTAGTCCCACAAAGTTCATACTGTAACTGCAGGGAGATTTAGGTATATGTACATTAACTAAAATTTTGGTGATTATTTATACTTTTTTTTTGTTTTTATTACAGTGGTTTGTCCAGCTCATCATGGCTGTTCAGTACATACACTCACAGAAAATTCTTCACAGGTATGTACATACGTGCTAACCACACAAATCTGTTAACTAGTTTGCTACACATAGGTATGTACTTACATGCTAACCACAGAAATCTGTTAACTAGTTTGCTAACATACAGGTATGTACATACATGCTAACCACACAAATCTGTTAACTAGTTTGCTACACATAGGTATGTACTTACATGCTAACCACAGAAATCTGTTAACTAGTTTGCTAACACACAGGTATGTACATACATGCTAACCACACAAATCTGTTAACTAGTTTGCTAACATACAGGTATGTACATACATGTTTACTAGGTTATCCTCAGTAGTGCTAACTTATCTGTTAATTTCAACATGTATACATGCAAGCTCACTAAATAGATTCTGCTAACTGAAAACTGTATAACGTTTACTTATAGGTTCATCTACCAACTCGAAATTTGTTAAGTTTTCTACTTACCTTACAGGTGAATTATAATGCTCGCTTACAGGACTGGTTTTCTGCTAATTTAAGGAAAGCTAATATGTCTTCTGACTTCACAGATAAGTTATAAAGCTCCCCTATAGGTTCATCTGATAACTTTAAATATCTTAAGTTCTTCACAATACAAACCTCACAGTAAGTTATACTGCTAACTTAAATATTCATTCACTTATTCAAAACCTTCAAAGACATCTCCTAACCTCATTATATTATATCATTAGTTTTCATTTAAGGAGTTATTTTCTTTGATTTTGTCTGTACACATCAATCAATTCATATTTTAAGTGTTGTTTATCTATGAAATAAATTGTCAAGAAATAGGCATTTTTATGGAAAACCATGAAATTTGAGCCCCATGAAAATATACAGTTTTAGTGTAGGTAAGTTATACTTACTTCTTACATGTCTGTTTGCTAAATTTGCTCAGTTGCCAATCAAATGTCAAATGCACCATTGTTTCTTGCATTGTTTTTTTTACAGCTTAAGATTATATCTATATTGTCCAAGGAAAATCTAATATTTTATCAATTGGAATACATTGAATTGTGATTGATATAAAAGTAGTGTTTCTTATTAATGCATAATTGTAAATTTGTTTGTTGTTCAGAAATATTTAGTTAATTCTAGTTGTGACTAGCCTCTTAATTTATATAATTTGATGTAACTCATTATTAAGGTTTTTATTTCTAATATTTTATAGGGACCTGAAAACAGAAAATGTGTTCCTCACTAAAAGAAATGTTGTAAAGATTGGTAAGTTTAGACGTCTTTCCTGTTGTATCAAATAGTATCTACTTTTATAAAAGAAACACAATCTGTTCATTTCTGTATACTGGTCTTTCTGGCGGGTTACTGTCACTCAGTCTGGCATTGGTTGTACTGCAAGTCCTTGGGTAAAGGACCAGATATGTGATTCAGTGCCTACGGAAGAGTTATTATTGCTCTGTCAGTAGTGATTTGGTTTATTTAACCTCAGGTGAAGAAGCAAAGTGGTAATTGTTCAGTAAATAAAGGGTTGGACTACACAGTGTCAGGTAAAGATCCTAGGTGTATAGGTTCGATTTCTGTTTGGGTGAAGATCCGAGGTGCATATGTTGGATCTCTGTTTGGGTGAAGATGCAAGGTGTATAGGTTCAATCTCTGTTTGGGTGAAGATCCTAGGTGTATAGGTTCAATCTCTGTTTGGGTGAAGATCCGAGATGGGTAGGTTTGATCTCTGTTTGGGTGAATCTCTGTTAGGGTGAAGATCCTAGGTGTATAGGTTAAATCTCTGTTAGGGTGAAGGTCGGAGATGGGTAGGTTTGATCCCTGCTTGGAATGCTTTGTATTCCTCAGAAGCTGGAATCACATATCACATTGATCTTGATGTGATCTTTTTGTGCTGTTGTTGTTTTGTCCTTGGGTAATGTAACCTCAGTATACCCTGGATTGAATGTAACACACCTCAAATTGTAGAGGGATAGCCAAGAGCGACTTTGAAGTAATACTGAGGAGACTCTATCTCCAAGTGACCCTGGCTGTAGACAGGGTGATAAAACACTGACGAGACCCTACCTCCAAATGTCCCTGGCTGTAGTAAATGGGCATGTCTATAGTAAATGGTTATGTCTGTGGTAACTGGGTATGTGGCAAATGGGCATGTCTGTGGTAAATGGGTATGTCTGTGGGAAATTGACTTTTCTGTAGTGATTGGGTATGTCTATGGTAAATGGGCGGGCCTGTGGTAAATGTGTATGTCTGTGGGAAATTGACTTTTCTGTAGTGATTGGGTATGTCTATGGTAAATGGGCGGGCCTGTGGTAAATGTATATGGTATATGACCATGGGTATGGAAAATGAGTTTGTCTACAGTAAGACTGCCTTTCTTTTGATACTATGTAGTTGTGAGTATACCAAAGATTATCTGTCAGCTCTTTATTTTTTTTTTAAACTGCTTCTTCTTTTGAATGTAATAATGACTTAATACCTACAGATTTTATCCTTCAATAAGCTGTAGGATGAACCATCACTTCTTACATGATGGTTTGTTTAAAATTTCCAGAACAGCAACAGAAATAGTTGGGCTTATCACCAGACATAGGGTCATTACTGGATGAACTCAGCAAATTAATTATTTTTAATTCATTTATGTAAGAATTCTTCAATGTTGAATGGTATGGATGCTGCTTGAAAAAATCTTTTAAAAGATTTTCAGATTTTCAAAAGGCCAAAAATCATGATATATCAGTGGTTTTATTTTTACCTAAATTGTTTTTAATTTGTTTATGTAAGAATTCTACAATGTTGAATGGTATGGATGCTGCTTGCAAAAAAAAATTCAAATCATTATAAAATCTTTTTCTCTTAAACATTTCTAAAAGTCACTTATCTCCATAAAGGAGCAAAGAAGTATGAAAATTTGAAAACAACTTCTTCTGAAGAACTGTAATTACTAGACTCACATGCACATTTGAATTGGTCTTACAAGTTGGTAATGTTGAGCTTATGCTTAAAATATACAGGTGACTTTGGAATATCTAAGGTACTAGATCACACTATAGACCTTGCGAAAACAGTTGTGGGCACTCCAACATACCTCAGTCCTGAATTGTGTCAAGATATCCCTTACAGTTCAAAGTCAGATGTATGGGTAAGTAATGGTGACAAATGTTTTATATTATAGTGATCTCATAGTCAAAAAGAAGATCCACTTTTCCTTGAATGTTTTTAAAGTCCATATTAGCAGTTTTGTTTACCTTGAGTGAAAGGAATGGCCTTACTTTTTTTCTTAGAATTAGTAGAGATAAACTGTCTATGATAACATTTTGCCTTAGATGCTGGTCTTATGAACACAAGCAGTATGTGTCAATAAATCGTGTCTGTTACATGTGAGTGTATATCACAACCGCTTTTTTGGGGATAAAAATCCAGTATTTGAGTAAATTGAAAATTAAATAGTTTACAAGCTTTAAAGTTCATGTTTGATAATAGATTAACATAAATAATTGACAACAACATATCTATGGTATATACAAATTCTAAAAAACAATTAATTTGGAAATTAAGTATATTGGGGTTGGGAGAGGGCGATATTAATTTGGTATATTGGGGTTTAGAGAGAGCGATATAAATTTTAGTGTCTTTTACATTTGCCTAGTTATCAATTAAAATGACCTTACTAACAAAGAGATAAATGTATGATGAAAATTAACATACCAGTAGTTTTACTTCTGGAGATGTAGTTTGTTTTCTAACTGATTTTGTTTTTTGTTAAAGGCTTTGGGATGTGTTCTTTATGAGATGTGTGCACTGAAGCCTCCATTTGATGCACAGAATCTAATCAGCCTCTTTATGAAAATCATCAAAGCAGAATATGAGGTAATTTTGATTACTTTTAATTTTAACTGTTAATTGATGTTTCTCTTATTTTTTTTAAATCACCTGAGTTAAAAAAAATCAGCATTTTATTTATGTACAACTGATGTTTATGCTGGTAACAAAATACTGTATATAGGAAAATTTTCTTCTTTTGTAATTTTTGCCTATTATGCAAAAATTGAAAAGAGGCTACATTTTTTATCAAGGGAAAACATATGTTTTAAATGTGTCTTATTTGATTTAAGATGAATTTAACACAAACAAAAAATAACAAGACCAAAAGCAAAAATCAAGGCAATTTTTTTTATATGGGATATTTATCATTTCAAAATTACAATTCTCTTCTGTGTGGACTTAAATTGTAATTAACTGATATTTACCTCCACACTGTAAAGTTATAAAATAAATACAAATTATTGTTATTTAATAAACTATAAATGACATTGATTGTATATTCATCATCATCACATTGTAATTTTATACAGCAAGAGGCAACAGTACATTTGACAAAACAACCACTTCATCTTAAAGATGATGGTGACAGTCATAAATTAAGCTATTTTTGTTAAAATCTAATCCGTTTAGTATAATATAATGAGATAGAAAATAAAAAAGGCAAGCAATCAACAGCTTTCCTGTAGTATTCATTGTAATCAGTATGATAGAAATATCACAACTTACATGCCATGAATCACGATATCTTTACTGTAGATTTATTTCATTTTGTAGAGAATTCCTGATCGTTATTCTGATGATCTTCACGGGGTAGTGACAGCATTGCTGGTGAAAACACCGGACGATCGTCCCAGGTAACATGTACTGTTAATATGGTGGTTGTGGGTGGTGTGCAGTAGTAACACACTTTCACTTAGCCTTCCGGCGTTTGATTCCCCAAAATTGATGTTAAAAGATATGGAGTCACCTACCTGACCATGTAGCTTTTCCTGGGTACTCTGGTTTCCTCCTCAGGCACTTCCATTTGGGCCAACAAGAGTGATTAGTATAAGTTGAAATAACTTCTCATGCAATTGTTATTAAATAACTAATGTTTGTATCATAATATGTGTAAGCATTAACAGTTTTCATATCTAATTTGCATTATGCCAAGAAGGCTAACTTACGAATTTTATTTCAAAGTGAGTGGGGTGGGCTTATTACAGGACACTGAAATTGGGGGCAAAACAACTCAGCACTCCTTATCCAGGGCCATTTGTGTTTTTCGTGAAGATGAGAAATGAAGTGGTCTATGTGGTTGAGTCCATAGGCAAAATCCTTTACCTTAATTGATCTAGATGACAGGTAACGGGGCCATTGTCTGTTGTTCAGTAAGGTGGTCACCAGTTACTAGAAAGAAGACCTCACCTTAAAATGACTCTGGCTGTTCACAAGGCAATAAACCCATCATACAAGCAATTCAACAACAACGATAAACAAGGGTGTCTTAATATTCTTAATTTTCACAAGGATTTCTGTTTCTTGCTTCAGTGCCAGTGTGATTGTAAACATGCCTTACGTACAGCGACACCTAGCAACATTTATAGAGGCAAATGAGTTGTTACGACTACAGAAAGGAGTCCGAGAAACGCACAACAGGTAGTTTTCCCACCTAATTACTTACGATAGTGTCTCTTCTAAAAACCCTCAGAACAGGTCTGTAGGATAAAGGAATGAAGGAATTATAATTTTTTTAAATACAGAATTAGAGATTGGTGTTGACAGTTACGAAAACATTTCTATTCTTGGAATAAGATTTCCTAAGAGGGAAGTTTTAGGGGTACAAATTCAAGGTTATTGAGATTTTGTGAACAAAGTCCTGTCTCCATTTATATGTTTTTGACAAATTATGCGTTCCAATTGATTTCTTTCAAACTTGGTAAAATATTATAATTATTACATGAAATGATGTTATCAGCAATGACAGTTTGATTTTACAAATTTTTTGAGAAGCTCTTTCTCTGTTTTAAACTAATTTTGTTCAAACGTAGTTGACTTTATGATAATGACAAGAAATGATGATTTCTTTATGGCATTTTGATTTAACAGTACCTGGTAGTTGTTTTATTTCCTGTTTGTATTCATTATGGTATAATGATTGGCATTGAACAGCCATTCTGCCTAGCACACTCTTGTTTAAAGAAATTATGACGAAATAATGTTTAAGGATTTGTGTCAAGAACCAGTAATGATTGTTTCTTAATTTCGACTTTTGAATAAATAAATGTAAGTGTGAAAGGAAGAAAAAAAGAAAGAAAGAAAGAAAGAAAGAAAGAAAAAAGAAAGGAAGTCCAAACTCTTTTCCTAACATTAATATGTATAAAATTATTAATGTGTTATTTTTAAAAACTTTTGTATATATCCTTGAACTTCATCTTTTATCAATCTGTTTGTTATCAGTGGAAATGTGACTCCTGTTGTGAAGAGTAAGTTCAACAGATCACCTAGAAAAGCTGAAGGAAGATCACCAAAACAACAAGACAGTGGAGTGAGCTGTAATGGTAGGACTGAGTCAAACTTGTAATTCTTGTTATAGACAACAAGACAGTGGAGTGAGCTGTAATGGTAGGACTGAGTCAAACTTGTAATTCTTGTTATAGACAACAAGACAGTGGAGTGAGCTGTAATGGTAGGACTGAGTCAAACTTGTAATTCTTGTTATAGACAACAAGACAGTGGAGTGAGCTGTAATGGTAGGACTGAGTCAAACTTGTAATTCTTGTTATAGACAACAAGACAGTGGAGTGAGCTGTAATGGTAGGACTGAGTCAAACTTGTAATTCTTGTTATAGACAACAAGACAGTGGAGTGAGCTGTAATGGTAGGACTGAGTCAAACTTGTAATTCTTGTTATAGACAACAAGACAGTGGAGTGAGCTGTAATGGTAGGACTGAGTCAAACTTGTAATTCTTGTTATACACAACAAGACAGTGGAGTGAGCTGTAATTGTAGGACTGAGTCAAACATCAATGATCATAGTAAATGTATGATAACATCAAATACTACATCTTATCATATTGTGGGGGTCAGAAGTCAACTTAAAAGGGTCAAAAGTCAAAATTTAAGTGTCAAAGGTTACATTATGCATTCACGCCTAACAACCATTTTCTAATTTACTCTTACCCATACTGACCAAGGTTTTAAGAGTTGAAAATGTGTTATCTGTTCATATTCTAGTAATCACAGAGATTACTGACAAGCTTGTCTGAGAGACATGAAGCTGCTTCACAACCCGATGTGTAGTTCGGAGATGTGTGATTTGATCTGTATCCAGAGCAGTTTGTATTCCTCAGGAAGCTGATATTGTTGTGTCTACAGTTTAACCCCATTGTTTTGGATTTTATGAAATGGACTTCTTGCATGATGTACAGTAACATAATTACAGGCTACAGTTACACTTCAGGAATATTCAACCTCAAAATGACCCTGGATATTTTAATTTTTCATCAGCAATCAGCCTAGCAAACAAAGTGAAATGTTTCCTGATTGAAGAGGCCACTTCATATAAGCTTTCCAAATTGTCTCTTCTGAAGTTTTGTCTTTATAGCATGTTTTTTGAATTTATCTTTATATCCTGTTGTTATGGATTCAGATGCTGCGGAAGTCCAATCTGACTATTCTGATGATTTTGATGAATCTTCACACTCAGATTTAGAAGAAGGTAAATTATTTATTTTTGCAATATTCCCATATGTCAAGTCCACCCATATCTAATTTTGTTTGATAGGATCACCTATCACATTCAATTTCAGATTGACCTGATTAGTGATTGTTGAGTAAGAGAGTGGTGTCCCTGTGGACTTCTTGGGCGATAAATGAAGTGTTGTATGTGTGATATGCAATATGTTAACTGTTGGATTACATCAAAACTTTGGGGATACTTGCTTTTTGTCCTTTTAATAATTCTTGATTTTAATGGGGATTTTTATCACATATTTGGCCTGTTATATGATGAATTCTTGTATATATATGTCACTTGTGTAATATACCCTAAAGTGTTTTTCATTGGCTGCATCTGCCAGTAATCAATTCTGATGTCATAATATGGACAATAATGTTATGTCATATTGAAAATGGTGCAAGGCTGCCCCCATTTGATTTTGTTCTCCACATTTTGATTTTGAAGCTTGTTGAAATGAACTTTTCTGAGTTTTATAAAAGGTATCTTGAAGTTTTCATTTCATACAAGACTACATAAAACTTGTCTCAAAGTTCTAATTTTTGCTTGCCAAAGCTGACTAGAATGAAAACTTCTTAGACTTGTTTCATAAAATCTCATATGAAATGAAAACTTGTGTAAGATTATATATGTTGTATTTGAAAACATTAATCATATTCATTAAAAAAATGTATCATATATGCAAAATACAGAACACTTCAATAATAACAGTTTTAACAATCACTATTTTCTATAAGGTTTTTTATATTTAACCTGTGTAGTTGTAATGCCAACTTGATTGGTACACCTGCCTTTAGACAAATTAAACACAAAGGCATGAGGGTGACATTTTGCAAATGTAAATATTCTTGACATGGTGTGTTTTAGATATTCCAGAAGATATTCAAGAAGATACGTCAATGCCTTCTGTGGACAAGTCAGAAGTACAATACCCTGGGTTGGTTTCAAATATACCAGATGATGTTTCAAAGTTATCTGAAGATGCACTGGAAGTTCAATATGCCGACGATTTTGAGGAGTATGATTCTAGTGAGGTAATAGTCAACATTCAGGGATGAATTATCTCCCCTTTGATTCCTGTTATGAAATTCATTGACAGTTCCTCATGTCAATTTTATAGAGATGTAACTGTACAATCATGTTTTGAAAAATTGTTTTCACTCACATATTCAACACTTTTTTCATATTACTATTACAATTTCTCCATCTGGGGACGCCATTGTATTATGTTATCTTAAATTACAAAAAAAAAGGGTGTTTTCACATTCTGACAGCAGTTACAAGAGGTAATATGTTTCTATAGCATACTTTCTATTTCCCATGATGCTTCATTCAAAATGGCTATCTATCAGCTGTTTAACTGTTGGGAATCTTTCTATCAGTCTGTACTTACTAACTTATCTAATACTGGAGGGAGGAAGGGGATGGAGTGTTGTCCATTTGACCATTTGACCAATCATATTTGGATTTTGGAAGAGTCTCTACTAAGCCATTCAAGGCTTGCATGAATATCTGCAGGCTGGAAATGTTGATTTACTGGTTTGTGTGCTGAAATTAAAGCTGTCTTAATTACACTGAAGTTCTCCTGAGTGAATGCACTAACTTTGTTTATTGTTGAATTCTGTTTATTTAAGGATTTAGACCAGATTGTGACGCAGGCTAAAGTAGCACAAGAAGTTGCTCCTGATGATGAATTCTTCTCAGATGATAAAATGCTGGATCACCATCTCACACATACCAGATTCTTCAAAAAGTGAGTACCTGACAGGTCTTTCAAGCTTTTTAACTGAGATTTCTTTTTATTTGGCTATGATGAGGTGTTGAAGCTGGGACAGTAAAATATTATAAAGGGTACGAAGTCACAGAACTGTCTTTTTCATTTGGTGTTTTTCACCAGGAAGTTTAATAAGAGCTTGTTTGCCCATGGCAAGCAAAATGAAATGTTCTATTTATTGTTCCTGGCAGTGTGATGCATCGTCACCTCACACATTCTACATACCACAACATCTTTTGACACTATTGCTTGTTGTCGTCTTTCGTTAGCTGGAATTTCAACTTTTTTCGAAATGCTTGACCAGAGTTATGCTTGTGCTATCAATATACCAGTGACAATGGTTCATGATTTTTTACCTTTTGCATAAGAGTTCCAAATTTTATATGAATGATGATGATGCATAAACACTTGGAAAAATAGAAGACATGAATACATTTTAAAAAAATTAATCTGCTGCAGTATGAACTTTAAAGCATTTAACGTTTCAATTTACAGACAGTGTATAGATGCCTTAGGGGGTCGCAAAATAAGCAACGTAGGAAAATTGATCCAGAATGGCACCTTGACAGAGTCTGATTTCAGGTGAGAAATTTATAGAATTTCATTATTGTATTTTAATGCAGAGAATATTATTTCATATGAACATCAAAAACTTTGAAGTACCAGGCCCCACTTGTATAAAACATTATTATAATTCTTGAAAATATATGAACTCAAGGAATTTCAAAAACTTTGAAAATTTTATACAAGCCGGAAGTATCAAGTATTATGGCTATTTCAATTAACTATGGCAATCACCATGACTCGAAATTGTTTTTGCCAAAACAACACTCTTGTAAGATTGTATTTTGAAGAGTTATTGCCCTTTGATTATTTTGTTATCTTAATTTCCTACCACAGTTTTTGACCGATTTCTTTCAAACTTAGAAGGCTTAATAACCATTCATATACTTCCAGTTGTCTCTAATATTAGATAAACATAACATCCATTTGACTACAATAAGATGCTTCTGCGATATCAGCATGTCTTTGAACGAGTCCCTAGTTGAAATTGGTCGCAAGTCCAGGAAATGTTTGTAGTTCCTTGCCAGTTGAAGGGATTTTTGAATATCAGTTTGCGGTTTGGCACTTCTGGTTTTTTTACTCACTACATGCCCCAGAAATAGAACTCCTGAAGAAGATGTCACTCCTGTGGCTTGAGTTTTGGTTTAATGTGCTGTACTGAGAAATACTTGGAACAACAAGAGTACTTTTTTCTGAATGGTTTCAAACCCATGATTCATGATAACATCCTAATAAAACAGAAATATGTTTTACTCTAGTCCCTCTAGAACTAATTTCATTGCCTGCTGAATAAAATTTGATCTTGAGATAGCCCATATGAAACATGAGTGTATCTTTCTATCTGGTTCTTCAAGCTCAATTGGGTAGAATTCTATTTGAATGGTTAGTGATTTTTTTTCAGAAGATCTTAGCCAATAGCAAGGTATTAAGACATTATTTTATGTTTTGTAGTAGAAAAGAATCTTTCTCGGTAATGTCAAAGATTTTCCTATAACGATACACCACCGAATACGCCATCTTTTTCACTCTCAGTGATGACTTGGACTGCATAAGTAGATTTTAATTCCATCACAGTAACATTTCTAAGAAGTTACACAAGATGCTCCTGTTCCACATCGGTAGTTTTCTTAATCAATGACTGATAGGTTTTGAGGTATTGAATGGAATCGTCTATTTCATGTGTGTAGAACAGACTAATTTTAGCAGTTATAGGAGAGTAATAGTAATCATGAAAACATATCTGAAGCAGGCAACGGCATTTTGATTTTTGGTGTGTGTACAATATTCAAAGTCACATATGATCCCTTCATTGAGAATGGGTAGGTCTGTTAGCAATAGATGGTTATCCTTGATAGGGCAAGGCATACTTGCCGATCAATTGTGTTTTTTCTTTATCTGGCTTCAGCTGGAATGTTTCACCATGTCGTCCCAACGGAATCTTTTTACATCAGCTACTTATCTCAGATCTTTTCCTACAATGAACTAACACGAACAACTTTCCATCAAGTTGCTTGTATGATAAGTTTGATGATTTCAGTTTCTCTGTTGTGGTTACATGTCATATGTGATTCAATATTCAAGGCCAGTCCCCACCAAACTATACATAAATGTATTGACTTTAAAGGAATCAATATGAATAATAAGAATCCTTAGAGTAAAACCATCCCTGTTACTGTCATCAGTAAATGGAAAAAGAACTCTTTTTCATATAGTTGTTCGGATGGCACAGTGATAACTCACTCGCCTTTCACCTAAGCGTCCCGGGTTTGATTTCCGGAATGGAAAAGGTATAGGGTCACCTGCCTGACCATGTGGGTTTTCCCTGGGTAATCCAGTTTCCTCCCACAGAAAGACCCCTTGCATGCTTCCATCCAGGCCAAACAAGAATGATTAATATAAGCTTAAAGATTGTTTCGTAATTGTTGTAAAATAAATTTATAAGTTTATATCTATATTTATATTCATTTATCATAGTACATTTAGATTTATTGACTTATTTATGGTATTCCCAGAAGAGAACTTCGCCACACTGTTGGGGACTCCACAGAAATCTGCCATCTTGATATTGGAGAGCTTGATGAAGGATGATTGATGGATTTTGTGTTGCCATGGAAACCTAGTGGATGTTGATAAGCAACCATTGGAAGTTGATCTGTGATATTTGATGACAGTGGATAAAATTTCTTGTTGTGATATTCATAAATATTTAACAGATTTGTATAGAAAAAAATTGTACTACTTCCAAACTTTAGTGAAGCTTTGTTAGACTGCCTTAATGTCTTTGAGCTGTTGTCAAGGTGAGGCATCCCATTATGTCAATGCCATACATCCAGTATCATTTTTTAAGCGACTTCCTCACAATCACCAAGAAGCATAGGGTCTTGATACTAAGCCAGAAGAATCCAGGATGGAAAGTCACCACATTTGTTTAAATTAATGACCTTGACCTCCATTCAAGGTTACTAAAGTTGAAAGTATTAAAAGCCATGAATGACTTCTCAAAATCCATGGGGCCAGAAATTAAGATATTTTGTGTTTGTTCAAATGAAATGTGCATACATTTTCATTCATATCTAGGTGTGAAACAGTGATAGGAAACAAGGGACAGATTCAATTTGGCTGTATCTAAAACATATCTGTTAACAAAAACCACAAAGTCATACTGAATTAATTATTTGTTACAAACAAAGTGTTTTTTGGTACTATAGACCTCCAGCACAGAATTTTCACAGAATTTTCTCATATGTATGAAATATGGACAGATGTTTACGTTAATTTCAGCTCCAAAATGAACTTGGAAAATTGCATAGGTGCACACATTACACAGGTTTTCAATGTATTCTTTATCCATTTAAATTGTGAGTCTTACATCTATAATCCAGCATGTTCATTTTCATTTTTAAGATATATTATATTACCTGTATTATAAATGGTTACCTGTTCTTTCAATAGATACCTGTATGTTCATTTTTTGTGGATTTGAAGATCTTTTCTATATTCATTATTTGATACATTATCATATTTGTGTTTATTTTTTATCATATCTTGTTCCCCAAAGTTTGCGTAATGTTTGTGTTTACCTATAATATACACAGAATGACACAGGTCTGAATGTAATGAGGATTTACTACCAAATGCTTTCTGTTCGAAAAGAAAAAAATTGCCATTTGCTATCTTGAAATTAATATGCACTTCATAGTCTAGTCCCATTAAATGCTGACACGACTTTATTCTAAGGCTATATGAAATAATTCCATTTTGAATCATTTTTATCTTTATATATAGTATTTAACTCTATTTAATATTATGGGTTGTAAATATTTTGTTTCATTAAATTTTAAAATTTGTAAAGATTACCATAGATAAGCTTATCTAAAAATGTCCTTAAGTGACCTATAACGGAACCAAGATCATGTCCATAACATTTCGGCTATACTGGACTGTTAGAATAAATGAAATGATAAAAAGTCCTGAAAGTGTTAAATCAGGAGAAAACCACCAGTTGCTTGTCATCCTGTATCAGGGGGTTTCAGGTGCAATATAGTTGCAAGTAATTATGGACCTATTCATCATTATTACAAGGGTACTTGTAGTGTAATTAGTGTAGAAGGCATGCTTTAAATACGTTGCAGTAACAGTGTGTTCTACATGAAATTGGTTCTAAGTATATGTGTTATGTAAACATTTATCAATTTTATATTTTCCTCAATAAGTCAAGGGGACCAATCTACAATCTCAAGCTTTATGTCAGGGGATGGGCTTATTGCATTAGAATGATTAAGCAATAGATATATGTGTGCTTATCTTTATGCCTTTATACAGCCAGTCAGGGGCCATGTTGGCTGCGCGGTTAAGGCATCTGACCATCTTCATCACTTGCCCTCCACCTCTGGGTCATGGGTTTGAGGTCTTCATGGGGTGGTAGCTAGGTACTTGCCACAGATCACTATTTTTTCTGCAGGAACTATGACATTTTTCTACCACCCAAACCTGGCACATCCTGAAGTGTCTCTGACTGTTAATAGGTTGTAAAGCAACAATAAACCAAACATCATGTATGGACATATTACCAGATACATATCATATGTTAAAATTAATCAATTTTCCCGGTGTTTGTATAGTGTATGAATTTAACACTGACATTTAAACGAGGCCATATCCAGGTACATATGATACAGGGACTGGAAACGAGGCCCAGTGAAGACTTCTCTGATGTTGGCCCTGTGTTGGTTGGTGAAGTCACTGAAGCCCCTCTTCACACAGTTGTTATCTTGTCTTATCTGCTTGTATCTCATCACTTCTAGGCTATAATTAGTGTCGATGTAGCACTGTCTGTCCTGATCAGAGACAGTGAACCAGTAAGGAGTGAACTTCATTTTCATAACAACAAATAACACAAATGAATTAAAATGGTTGATCATAGTAATTTTTTTTATGTCAAGTGCAAAAGCAATCCGTTTTTTAATGCCATTAAATTAGAAACAATTTTTTTCATATTTCGGGCTGAAACTTGCATACAATATAGATAATGTTCCATTTATTTACAAATTAATAAACAAACATATTTTTAGTTTGAATCAATTAGAAATAAAAAGATTTTTTGTCACAGATATAACTTAGAATGATCAATTTGAAAATTATGCAGTTTTCTGCAACTATTCACTTTGAAAATATCAGTAATGTGCTTTTTTGAGAAAATTGGTATATGAACACATCAGTTCTAGTGAATTCCAATTTATTTATTATATCAAGCTTACCAGTTTCGTAAGAAATGCTATGACCACTACTGGCATCTGTACACTTATGATAGTCTCCATTATATAGCAAATATAGAATTCACTGGTAGAAGAGCTAGAAAAACCATACCTGGATTAAAACAACCTGTTTACAGAGATGCAGCTTTCCAAGCTTGAAACATCTTTCACAAGACCAGATTTTATCAACATGTTTTTTTTTTTTTTTTTTTTTTTAATATATGCAATGAAATGATCACCAGGAACTTTTTTGATGTCTATAGCACTGGTAGGAAAAAGAGACATTCATTGAAAGTTTATAAAAAGTGTTGGAAGAAAAAAAACTTTTTTTAGTTTATGAGTAATTTGGAATAGTTTGCCTCTGCACATTGTCAATTATTCTACTGAAAAGCAGTTTGAAATCTCGTCAAGTGAGCACTGGATAAATGGTAATAGTGCTTATGAACGATTACTTGAAACTTGGCACCTGAAGTCATTTTTTAAATGTATCTCATATGAACAAGCAATACTACCACAAATATGAATAAGCTATCCTAGTGAAGCCTGATCATGTTGGTACTACCACAAATATGAATTAGCAATCCTGATGAAACCTAAAGGTGTTGGTACTACTGTGAATATTTTGTAAACATTTAATAATGTATGTTTGTTGCCATATAGATTTTTTGTTTTTCGTTTATTGTGATACATTTGTATGATGAAACATGTTTTTGTTGAAATATTCAAAGTTTATATTTTTGTATGCCTCTGATTTCTTAATATAATATTTATTGCTTATAGGAGATGAAATAAAATACTTACGATAAATGACTCTGATCTGTGAAATGTTTCACACATCCAATAAGATCTAACTTGAGGTAAGGCTTCAAATTTTTGTTGTTGTTTTAATTTTGTTTCTTTGTCTTTTTTTGTTTTTTCGTTTGAAACTTCACAAATTATAAACCTACACATATAGTGATTTAAAGTTTCAATAAATGTTATATCAATGTAAATTTTTTGCTGATATTTGATATTTTTATATTATTGTGTTCAATATTTAATCAAATTGTGTGTGTTTTAATTTTTTGTAAATATAACTGTTTATTATGTATGTATTTAGAATAATATAATCAAAAAGGCCAATAAACCTCATTGTGAGTTTCCCATTAAGATTTGTTTCTCTTTGTTGAGTCTTCTATTTCCTCTTTGAAATTGTTGTCTACTGATACAAGCTTGCTCATATGTAGACAAGCTGTAATTGTAATATCTAGACTCCATCAATTAATCATTATAAAAATGACTTGATAAAAGGCATTGGTGTGTTTGATTTTCATGTCACCTGCACAACATTCAAATGATTTTATGCCATGATACCGCTTTCATTGTCTGTCTCATCCTTGTCATTTTTTTATTCTTCCCAAAACTTTTACTGAAGTTTCAAAGTATATTCGCCACTTTGTCTTTCTGTCTGTTATTAAGTGTCCAGAGCATAACATTGCCCACAATTATGCAAGAACCATGCAACTTGATGTTTACATTTGTCATATTAACACAATGTGACCTTCAACCCCTCTATTATAGTTATTCCCCATTGTTGATTTTTTTTTGTGTCCAGAGCATAACTTGGAATGCATTTGAATTAGAATAATGACACTTGGTGTTTACATTGGTCATACAAAAGCAATGTGCCAGGTACCAAAGTATGGACACTCGATTACAGAGTTATTGCCCTTTGTTAAAATTGCATGTCCAGAGCATTTAAGCAACGATAATAAAAATTTGGTGTTTATATTCATCATACTAAGAGGATGTGCAACCCTTTAATTATGAAGTTATTGCCCTTTTCTAAAATTTTATGTCTGGAGCATAAAATGCTTAAAAGTATTTAAAGTAGTATAATGAAACTGGGTAAACATTTGTCATACTAAGAGGATGTAGAGTGTACAAAATTCAGAACCAGAAACCCCATTATTACAGAATTATTGCCCTTTGTTGACATTTTTGTCCAATGATTTTTTTTTTGCAGGGGGCATTCATCCATACTCTTATCTTAAATTGAAATCCTCTCCATAACAAAGATGCCTGGAGTATTTGGGTTAAGTGTTTTTAGCTTTGTTTAAGTAAATGAGCCACAATTAAAATAGATAGAACCAGAAATGTGAAAGAATTGTAAACAATCTCTTCAAAAAAGCTAGCAAATCTGGAAATACCAAGTTTCAATATCGTTTTTGGATTTGCATTTCTGGATAGCAACACCCTAACATCCCCAACCTATGGTGTATATACATGTCGGTTGGTTAAACATTCCAGGACCTTTTCGAACTCCCAATATCACGATTTAATGATCTCATTGAGAACTGTTTTTATTTCTTTGTGTGACATGCAGCTGGACATGTTTGATTTGATTCTCGCTAGTATGCCTGTTGGTTCTGTTGTTGATCTTATTCATGATTGTTACATTACTTACTTCTGATTGACCACACTTTACATGGTGAGTGTCGCCAATGAAGCATAAGAGACTTACTCTTCAGACACACCTGGTCTTATTCTCCTTGTAACTTTTTGAAAGTCGCCTTTAAATCTTCCTTTTATTTTTGTCCAAGTTCCATCGAATTTGTGTTTGATTTAAGATTCTGTTAACATGTATATTCTTTGTTGTTTTTGTGAGCCAGATATAATCCATCATTTAACCCATGTCTTCATCAACAACAGATGAATATGTCCTCTTCTGAGAAGTCCCCAGAAATTAGAAATGAAATAACTGATACAGGCCCATTTGGCATTTTCAGATGAAAATCTTACATTTGTTAAAACAGATCAGCGGTGAGAAGCACCAGAACAGTTATCATAGATCGATGTCAGAGCATGTCACTCTATCGCGTTTGTCACGTCTTCTGTCTGTTGAACTTTTATGCACATCCAACTTGACGTAGGCCATATCTGAGCAATGGCGATCATCAACTATAACTGTTACTATACACAAATGTCACGTTCTCAATGAGGACAGTGAATACAGCAACAGAACAAACATGCAAATATATATATATATACATGTAAGATATGACCTACGTCAACACGTCCAGCTTCTCAAAGAAACAGAGTATTTCTGAATGAGATCTCTATGACGACCTTCAAACCCTCTGTTTTGAGTTAGTCTTTCAGTTGACGAAAATCATGATATTGGGAGCAAGCCATTGATGGTCAAATTATCAAATTAACTGCGATATGGTTGGGATGCAGGTATGTTCCCACATTAAACATATTTGATTGCAAAATACTATAAATGTATCAATTCCTTGCATCGCCAATGTTTTCCAACGTATGAAAAAGGCAGGATCGCCATCATTTCACACCAAAAACAACCATTTTCCAATAAGCATGAACAGTTGAAATACGACAAGCCGAACAACAAGCTAGATATTTTTAGCTGAACTCTTCATATTGCTTTCCTGATTCGTGCCTCGTTTCATCTTAAAGATGTAATTTCCTCAGAATTGTTCGAGGAGATTATTTCTATTCAATTTAGTTGTCTGAAGTGTTCTCTTGTTACGATCGGCTTTCAAACTTACCCCCCCCCCCCCAAACACCACTCGATCAATGTGTGTGTTTGATCTCTCCGAATTCTGATATCAGGACTAACCATTTCCCTAAGCCTTTATTTATTTCATATATATATATATATATTTACAGTTCTTTACATTTCTAACCCATCGTTAAGGACGCCGCCTGCTGGACTTATGAGTCGAGATGAACTGTCGCTGCGCCATTTTGTTTGTCAGGTGACATTTTTCGGCAATGTGCTGATGATTTTACAAATAACAAACATTATACGTGAATAGTACCTTTTAATACAAGTTTTGAGATAGATACAGTGGGCCAAACTATGAATAAAACTGCATCATACAGCTGTGTTGTCCTTCTAGGACTCGTCGGTGATGCTACATCACACAGCTGTTTTGTCCTTCTAGAACTCGACAGTGATGCTAAGGACCGAATATTGAAGCCTAGCATACATACATCTTTCTCTCCAAGAATCACCGTGACATCACATGCTCATCAGTGACGTTGTTTCGGAAACGCGGAAAGTTATGAAATGCCTGATTTCCGGACAATGGATTGAGGATTCTGTGAGAAGTTATTCTCATAATAGGTCAACTGATCAGAAATAAAGTAGCTTATCTTAGCAGCATGGACAACACCTTCCAAGGATACTCGAACAGGCACAGCGCCCTCTTCTATCTGGTGCATTACCAGTATTCATATTCGCTGTTTATTTCAAATATCAGTATCATTCTGAACTTTATCCCTTGATTAAACCGCTATGAAGACACTTAAATACAATGAAGTTTTTTCACATCGGCTTTGCTGTTGCTCACTGACTGAAAAAGGAAGTCTAATTAAGACGAAAAAAATGAAATTACCAAATAGTCTTTTATTAACAATATGACACGTGAATTTACTTGATACGTTCAAGCTAATAAGGATATACGAAAGTTGAAGGAACCGAATCACATACAGTATCTTGATGGAACGCAAGTTGATAACACTTTTGATGATTTCAGTCAAATAGCTATTTATATCTTAAACTGAGTGGTTTCCCTGCGCAACAATTATTATTTAAGCAAACCTTGGTAGAATCTAAATATTTTTTTTATGTGTCTGACCTAAAACTTCAGTAAAAAATCTTATATTTTAATTGTTTTGATTTTTAAATATCCCTAGTTTGAATAAAACGATAACAATATTATGTATATTCTGTTACGCTATTTTTGTGCGAGACTTTTTCTAGTAACTTATCTTGCAGTAACGTAAGGTTTTGGTGTTGGACCTAGTGCTTTGATCCCCAAAATATGTCACCATGGCATAACGTATGTTCCGGATTTCTCGGACCGTTTTCGTTTTTTTTTTTTTTTATCTCACACCAGGAAAAACAAACATGGCGACTATGGAGGAGCTTGATCCAACTTGCAATCCAATGCAACCCCTTTTGGAGGAGGTAACGCGGATTATATTATTCATATTCTGTAAATGCAATCTTCATATCAATAAAACACTTATTTCCGTTAATCTTATCCGTTGATAATTTCGATAATTTAGCCAGTTAAGTTGTATGACACACCTCAAAAATATTAATCCCCTCTCCTCTGGGTGCATACTTGAAGCTTGGATACAGTCATAATAACGATTACGACGACATGTTGATTTTTAGTTGAAAAAACTAAGAAAGCTGATCGTAAGAAAGTTTTAAAAGAAAAAATAAAAAAAAACGTCTGTCATTATAATACGGAAACAGTTCGACCGGTTTTGAAATTAAAACCTTAGCGACTAATTGAAAGCGTTGCTTCAAGCTTATTAAAAGTTCGATACGAACCGAACAAGGTTATAAATATTCGGAGATATTTTTTGTCTGAATTTTTGTATGGGAAAGTTATGAAAGAGAAAGCAAATTTTCAGCGTTTTTAACCCCAAAAATTACCAGCACAAACTACATTGGTGTGCAGATTATGCAATTTTAAAGACAATATGAATATGTTATTTGTGTTTGTAACATGCTAAAAAAAACATGCCTTAATATTGACACTTTTTCAGGTATCATTAGGTAGGCCATATTATCTGACGATCCGTCAACTTTTATAAATCAGCCTGGTAAAACATAACATATCAAAACTAACATAATATTATTTCCCGTTAACAGTAATTGTACCAATGCACCCTAAACATTTAAAGGCAATTTTTCAAAGAAGAATAGTCAAGATCGCTCTCCTATATAAACTATATAAAATTATTTCTTGAAATAAAAAAGATATTTGCCCAACTACCCAATTTTTTCCCAACATTTTAAGGAAATGTATGAATGTTTTTGTCTGGCTTTCTTCTATAATAAGACAGTAATACTTATAACCCATACATATGTATTGAATATCTGGGTACATTATCAAAACATTTTTCACTAGATTTCTGCTTCTAATATTGGTATAAAACCACAGACTACACTTTTTGGTATATATATCAGGGCTCTCGATCTGCCAAATTTGGGGCCAATATTCTGCCCCATTCCCAATGCAAAATAGTATCTTTTTTCTCAATTTAGACCCCAAGTTTTCCCAATTCTAAGGAAAACACCAGGCCCCAGTCCCAAAATGGGGTGTGAGAGCCCTGTATATACATCACACATGCACGTATATGTTGCTGCTATAGATATAGAGCTGTTTGCTGTTTTTCTGTTTACAACTGATGAACATTTGATGATTTCATGACAGTAAAATAAGATGATCAGCCATTTTGTTTTAATGATTTCCAAAACTAAAATTGATGAAAAAAATACCTCTTTTAGCTAATTTATTAATTACCATTGTTTCATTAGCGATCCACAAGTCATTCTGACCAGTCTCTGAGATCAGAGAAGGTGGATAATGCTATACCACAGCAACCAGGGCATGATGATTATCGTAACTACGATATTGTACGAGCAACACAGTATGGTGTATTTGAGCGTGTACAGGAACTCATTGAGGGAGGTTTCGATGTCAATGAGAATGATCGAGAGAATGTGAGTCTCCTCCACTGGGCTGCCATCAACAACAGGACAGAAATTGTAAAGTTAGTATTTTTGTGGCGTGATCATATATATCTTGATAACAGGCACAATTCTTCTCATTCCTAGTACTGCTATGCTAGATTCATTCATTCATTTATCTGTTTCTGGCTCTAAGTCTCATATATTTCTTTTGTTGTTTCCATGACAGAAAAGAAATGGTAGATCAGTCAGAAAATGTTTTTTTTATTTTCTAAATAGTTTTTACCAAAGAAAGGTCAAGACAGAATGGTGAATTTAATGCTTAATTCCATCTTTCCACAATGTACTTTTGTACTGAGCAGATATTGATTGTTACTTCATTACATTACATGACATTATATTTCTTTCATAAACAAATGTTGTTAAATCAATTCCAGCTCACAAGAGCAGATAACTCTGCATTATGGAAAGACGGAATATCCTACCTCAAAAATATCAGGTAGTCTACCAACTTCAGTTGGTATAGCAATAAGCTTGACAGCTGATATGGGCTAAGAATGATCACTGTCAGCTATTATTGTCGACAATGCTAGATGAAAACGCTCTTCAGAACACATTTGATCAAAGTTACAGAGATACACATGATATATGTGTGAACTGTGCAATGATGTCCTATTATGAAGCCTCCACAGTAGTAGATACATGAATTATGTGGCAGTATATCAGCTGATGACACTGTAATGTTGCATACAAATTTCACCATGTGTAAACTATAGATATGACTTGATCATTCACGTTGATTTACCATAGTAGGTGTGATATTTCAAAGAATCAATAAACAAAACTAAAGGAAAATCAGTGTGCTAATTGGAAAAACAAAGCAAATAACAAATTTATCCATTAACAACTTCTGTAAGAATCAAGTCAGTTTTAGCGCATCAGAAAGTTAACTTCGGTGTTTAGACGTGCAAAAAAACTTGTAACATGTTAATGTCATGTTTGGCTTGATATCACATTTTATTCTGACAAAATGGAACATGATATTAAGCAGTTATCACTGTTTTCTTATTCTGTCAGTATACAATCCTGAACTATATTAGAGCACTACAGTAGAGACCTCAATTTTATACCAAAACTTCAAGCACAATATCATTAGACACTGCAAGACAAAACCCTCTCAAGGTGAGAGAGGAGGTATCTTTTAATAATAAGAAATTCAGTGGAACTTTGATTTTACAGATATTTTGTGAGAAAAGGGGCTGTTGTGGACAAGTTCGGAGGTGACCTCAACTCAACACCGCTTCACTGGGCAACAAGGTATCAATTAGAATCTTTTTGTCAAAATTGAATGCAGTTCTGTTTTATTCCGTGTTTTATTTAAGGGTGTATGCCATCTTACACACTAGATCAGTCTGCAGGATTCACAGTTTTCTTTACCAGTTTTCAATTACAGTATTGCTTTAATTTTTTTTCTTTGTGATGAATCAAATTTTTTATGTTTACTTAAATTTTGAAGTCAAAATGATAAACTATTTGCATTTACCGAAATAATGGAAAGCAAAATGAATTGAGTATTTGAATTGTAATCCTCTTCTTCTAATTGTAGTCAGTTGGTTCATTACAATGGTAAGAAAATATATTGACATCTCCCCATATATTTGTTAGATATTGCAAAGTAAATGGAGAAATGTAGAACCATTTTGTTTACTGTCTATCATGTCAGTTAATGATGATGTCAACCAGGAACAAAAAAGTAGCTGTTCTGTCAGTTGATCATGGTTCCAACATAGGTGTTAAAGGATTTTTATGCCCCCGCCGTTTATGGCCGGGGGCATATAGCGTTGCCCATGTCCGTCCGTCCCGTCCCGTTGCGTCGCGTCCCAAATCAGTATATACCACCTAACAACTTCATTCGGAAGGCAATTTTCATGAAACTTCATACAAATATCAAGTATGGAAAGACCTCATGCAGTGTTGAATTTCTCGGCATTCTGAAAAAAAGATGGCCACCAGGGGGAGATAACTCAAAAAAGAGGAACATCATCTTATTTCTACATAATTTGGTACTTGTGGGTTTTAAGGCATAAGGAACTAATATACTCCCTCATTTTTTCCAGAGAACAAAATTCCAAATTCATGTACGTTAAATCAACTTGTCAATTTAAGTATGAAACTTAAATTGTACATAGTTGCATACAAATTAACAAAATCATCTCTTTCTGACCTTTCACTATTATTTCACATGGTGGGGGGTGGGGGGGGGCGGAGGCATTCATGTCTTACAGACATTTTCTAGTTTTAAAAACTTTTATTCGTAATTAGAAAACTCTATTTGATTGTAAAATGGAAATATGATGTATATTGATTGGGTGGTTGTCTAATGCTTTAAACTCACTGGTGTGTAACATGTATTGACTTGCCTACATGATTAAAATGGTGCACTAAAACAATTAAGTAGCAACTATTTTTTCAGTCAAAGAGATCATAGTTTTATTATGCAACCATTGTTCTTTTTACTTCAGACAAGGTCATCTAAAAATGATTGTGTTATTGATGTCCCTGGGAGCAGATCCAACCCTGAGGGATGGAGAAGGTAGGCACTGCTAATGTCATGATTTTAAGGTATTTTGTCTACTTACATACAAAAACATTAACATACTTTTTTGGACTTCTCTATTTTTTCATGCAAAAATGCCAGAACATGACTTACATTTAGTTGGTTGTCTGATTACATGACAATGGATACAATATTTGTTTGTAATCTTTCTGATCAGTAATCGACGATAATTTTTGTAGCATTTTTCAGGCGAGTTCACAACAATTTTGATGAGTCCTATTACTAACAGATAGAATAGGTCCTTAAAATTTGAACAAGTCCCACAGAAAAATCATGAGTTCAGGGCTCAAATGTCCAAATCACAAAAAACATTGGTTGAATTGGTGTATAGATGGGCTTTTTACCAATCATGAGATTATTGTCAGATAAATAGAACAGTCAAGATGTTACATTGGGATCTTTCCTTGAGGTTGTGATGGTGGATACTCTGATCTACTCCTTAAGATATACCTAAAACGACTCTCTACAAAACTTCTACACTTTTTTCTTCTTTTCAACTTTTTTAAAAAGTAAAGAGAAAAACTCAGTTGAGTTTAGCCTTACATGAAGATATGATTGTTGATGCAGGTTGTAGTTGTATACACCTAGCTGCTCAGTTTGGACACACAGCCATTGTGGCCTACCTCATAGCCAAGGGTCATGATGTGGACATGGTTGACCAACATGGAATGACGGCACTCATGTATGCTTCTTACAGAATATTTGCGTAAGTACTGATTGCCACTTGACACTTAAACTCAAATTTGTGTTTTAAAAAAAATGAAAAAAAATAATACTAATAGCCTCAGAGTAGCAATGTGTTCAAATTCTCCCTACCTCAGTGGTTACCAAATGTCTAGGACCAATGTCTTCAATTATCTATTGATGAAGTGACTCACTGTATAGTGTGCTTATAGCAGAGATTTTTTCTCCTTATCATATTGGACTTGCATGAATATGTTGATGGATTTTAAATAGAATTCTTTGCTATAGGTAATCTGCCAGCAACTACAGGTTAATAAAATATTGAATAAATTTGAAGAATTTAGGAATCAGTCTCAATGATAACTTGCAATTGCCACCTTACTTGTACATTTTGTATATTGTGTATCCACATCTATGAAAACATTGTCTACAAGTTCATGAACCCATAACAGGGTTTTCCATAAGAGCCTGCCAATTTGACCGGCTACTTTGATCATTTGGCCGCCTACACCAATATAGTTCCGTAATAATGTTTCGTACACGACTACATGTACACAGCAGGCCAGCCTCCTACTTTCACTACACAGCCTACTACTAACAAAATTATGGAAAACCCTGCCATAAGTAAATTTAGTTTATATGAATACCACAGCATCACCCCACCAAGGTCTACACCTGCTTAGATTTTTGGTGGTGGTCATTTAAGGTTAAAGGTCTAAGGTCATCCTTAACAATAGATATAGATCAGAAAAAAATGCATGAGGGATGGGAGTATATGTGAGCCTGTGCTTATTCTGCTTTCTAATCTTTAAAGATTGGAAATGCATTGTTCCTATAAACAGTCTGAAATGTATTTTTTTTACTTCTATGTCAATCAACAAGATTTAATTCTCAGGTATATGATGAAGTCTGATTGTATCACTGTAAATTGAGGTCCAATCACTTTTTTTGTGAAATCTGACAACCTTGAGACTGATGTTGTTTTTTATCTTCATAGTTATGATCCTGTACGGATGTTGTTGACATTCAATGCCTCTATGGACAAGACGGATAAGATGCAGGGCAACACTCCACTACATTTCGCCTGCCAGTCAGGCAACACAGTCATCATCAAGACACTTATAACAGCCGGGGCCAATCTTGACGCTCTTAACGCCAAGGTCATTTTTCATTGTAGTATTTGATAGCTTTACATCTTTGTCTTGTGAGAAGCACAGAGAAGCAACACAGACTCAAATGAGAGGGTGGGCTTATTACAGGACTAAGATATGACTTGTGTGAGCACTTCTACCGAATAGATTTGACAGGGTTTAAAAAAGGACTTATTGACAGACATGTAGGATCTGTTGTGGAGTCTTCAAGTTCCGCAATTATTTGAACTAAAAAGAAAAAATAGGTTTCTCTTATTGTTATAATGGTAAGTTGGTTTCTCCTGTTAGTGCACAAAAGATTCAAAACTATCTAAAGAAACACTTGATTGAACACTTTGTTACTTGTAATGCTTAGAGCTTAGTCACTGAGAGACAATTGTCTGAATACCTCACTTAAAGAACGTTTTTAATCCTGACAAAATTGAATACATATCAAAATGATATGATAATATGGAGATGGTTTTAGCAGTAACAAGTAGTTTGTTATTTGCCGCAATGTTTGCATGTTAACAGAACTGTCCAATTGACATGTTTAAAATTTTCTTCTTTTAAAAAGATTTTTTGCTTCTGATCAATGCAATTTTACCACATCAGATAAACTATGAAATTTTAATGAATAAGTAATTATTGTTACCACTTGCATTTTGAAACTAGGAGTATAGATTACCACTTACAATTCATTCATAAAGGAGAGTCCTCAAAAACCAAGGATACAGGTCTTGAATTTCACCAATTTGGGAGGGGATTTAAACTCTCACTCAAGGGTAATGGAGAACACTGAATCTGGTGTCCGATAAGTCAGCACTTTTCTGACATTGTTTTTTAAATTGGTCTTGTGTCAACTCTCAACTAATTTTCAAAAAACTGATGGAAAAGAATAATTCAGACTGGTGTTAGATATGATCTGAATAAGTGGTAGGATTGGTATCAGTGTTGTGTTGTATGATTGGTTAGGTTGCAAAGTCTGTTGTCCAATGAAAAGTGTTTTACAACATCTTTGTATGTTGATATACTGTAATGTAGTTGATAATATTTGCAAGGGATTGAATTTACAATACAAAATTAAATGCTTAGCAAATTTCCTTTACAGTGAATGAAAACCTCAGAAAATATATATTGTATACCTGTATACATGGATACCAATGTATAGGCATGCTTTACTGTTTACTGCTAAGGGGTTAATGGGACGATGATCAAATATAATTGATTAAATTGCCTAACATCATCAGATGTGATGATCGATGGTAATTTCGTATTGGTACATTAATTTTTCCTTGTTTTTTAAGGAAATAATTTTTCCTTGTGTTTTAGTGAAATAAAATTCATACTTGATATGCAAATTAGAGATGCTAATTGCCAGTATTATTCATTCAGATGCAAATTCTAGGTAATTTAGGTATTTTAGATTAAAGTTTACAACAGAAAATACTTTCACTTTCTCTGAATATTAAATATAGTCAGATAATTATGTAATATATTTACTACATTGAATAGCCAATCAGATTTTAAAAGATAATCAATTATGGGTTTTAACGATTTCCCATCACAATCTTCAGGCAAATTAAGTAATGCAAAATGTCATTTTTGTCAAATATTCTCAACCAGGTCAAATAGGAAATATTAACAATGTGAAATTATATAACTACAGTATTAACAGTAGTTAAAAAAACCATTCTACCCAGACAGACTCAATGTGATACATCAATTTTTATATCCTAAAAAAATGGTAATAGAGAAATCTAAATGTATTAGTCTGTCAAACAGTTTTAACTTTAACATCAGCTGTCAAATATGACATGTGGTACAGTGTCAATGAAAAGAATTTTCCTTTGTGTTCCAGATCTTTGATTCTTTTTTTTTTCATTTGAGATTTTTTGAACAAGTCTAAAAATGTTTGAATAAAATCTATATGTAATTCTATCATTTAACCAGACTCTTGACAAGTTAAAATGAAAAACTTGATAGCTTCATAATTCTATTATCTATTGTAAACAAAGTTATGTTGCCCTTTATGTGTCGTCGTATTATGATTATCATGTGTTTATAGATGAATATGTTTGTGATTTACTTACTCTAGGGCCAGACACCCATTGATGTGGCAGCCATGCATAAACACACCCAGATTGTGAAGCGTTTACACGAAATGAGGATAGAGCTGGGATATGACACAAGACATTGTCTACAAAAATACACAAATGACAAGGTAAGGGTATTAGGTGATGATGGAGCAAGGATATGATTCAAGGTTTTGTCTTTAAAAAAACACCAGCTACAAAGCTAAGTCAGTGCTCCCTACCTATGCTGGTTTGTGTTTCTCTGTAAGCTTAAACATGGACTTAATAGTGTTGACGTGTCCATGGGCAAGATGCTTTGCCCTCAAGCATGTAATGGGCCTCTCATATAATGTTCAGTGAGGTAGTCATCACCTACTATAAGGAGACCCCACCTCAAAATATGTCTGGCTGTTCACAGGGCAACTTTCTTGTCATTTACAAATTGGACTAAAGATTTCATATAGTGTGTATTGCATATTTTTCTTGACTCAAAGTATTTCTTTTACTTCTAACAGGAACAATGGACCTACTAGTTCTAATAGCCAGAATAGACAATAAAATGATTATCTTGAGACAATATTACTGCACAATTATTATGTTTAACAAAGGTTGGCATACAAAATGGATGTACCAGATGAAAATCATATATTCTGGAGGTAGCACTTTCTTTAGGTGGTACACGAGATAGGGATGTTGGTGTATCTTTATATTGTAAAAAAAAATATTTTTGTTTAAATAGTACATAAGGTGATGTTGACGAGTGTTTATAAAGAATAATTTATTTTTTTTAGAAGGTACGTAGGAAGGTCATGCTAGTGTTTCCATTCATTGCGCTGTGGGCCATAGGTGCCATCCCGGAGATGGAATCAGACTGGTATATCAAGCTTGCCTTGGCTGTGGTTGGGATCATTCTCTGGAAACTAACAGCACAGTGAGTTATTCTTTGTTACAGTGTCGGTCATCTGGTGAAATTGACAGAAACTACTTATTTTTCAGCAAATTAAAAACATGTTTTGTTTATTTTTTTTTTTATGATTGGAGTGGGCAACTGTAATCAAACACCAGCTTAAGTATTGAGATTGAGGATGTGATTTTCATTTATATGTACATTATGATATAAAGTCAAGTCCTTGTGAGTTGGACTTAGATCTATAAAGATAGTTCTACTCTTAAATATTATGTTTTTCCCTGCCAGTTTCTTCTTTGACGACAAGATGATGACTGTGATGCCTATCAGTATTTATTTGGCCACCAAGCTTTGGATGTATTACACCTGGATTGTCTACCTAGTGCCTTGTATCCTTTTCACTGAACCAGTACGAGGGGAACACCACAGCTCAGTCAGTAGAATTACAGAGTATCAGTGTTATGTTACACGATATGGGTGGATCTATACCTACGGCAGGTTTGGGTTTCTCGGGTAACTGAGATCACAAATCACCCTTTACTGTTGTGTTCTTGGAAAAATATTTTCACTCTATTGCTATAGATCGTGTGCAACAGGTTTTTTGCTTGTTTTTCATTAAGATAGCCACCAGCTCCTACAAGGAGTTCCGCTCCTCAAAATGACCTTGGCTGTTAACAGGATGATGAACCTAACAAACACTTCATGGTCTTTACAGCAGATGTGAAAAGTGATAAAGTAAGCAATCCTACGAATGCAGGAGGGGGTACTGTTTTGGGCCATTCTTGGGTTATTCGGTGATAAGTTTCATTTTGAATATTGTATGCTATTCAAAACATCAGATTTTATGGGGTTCAATTAAAAAAAAAACAAGGCTGTAGGATGTAAAAAGAAAAAAAGTGATAATTGTCTTTTCTTGTGTTTTTTTATCCTCATCTTTGTTAAGTACCAGATTTGAAGAAATCAGGTGGTTGAAAAAAGTCAAGAATTGAATTACTGTTGCCTTACATATAATTACATATTTTACATTATTTCCAAAAAAATAACCTTGAAAAATTGTGGGGTTGCTGACTTTGAGATATCTGTGGGAGTGCTGACTTTGAAATATCTATGGGAGTGTTGACTTTGAGATATCAGTGGGAGTGTCGACTTTGAGATATCTGTGAGAGTACTGACTTTTAGATATCTGTGAGAGTACTGACTTTTAGATATCTGTGGGAGAGATGACTTTGAGATATCTGTGGGAGTGTTGACTTTAAGATATCTGTGGGAGTGTTGACTTTGAGATACAGGTGGGGGTACTGACTTTGAGATATCTGTGGGAGTGCTGACTTTGAGATATCTGTGGAAGTGCATATATTAAGAAACTGCCATAGCATCTATTAGCAGATTATCCTTAACCACTGTCCAGATGTACAGAGTACTGAAAAGAATATTCTGTTCACTCTCAACACCATACTGCTAACATACAACTTCTGGAAGGCCTGGCGAACTAACCCTGGCTACATAGAAACTGACCGTACTGAAAAGATCAAAGTAAGATATTGTTTTGTTATGTATATATCACCACATGGTAAATTACATGTAACATTGAAGCCTAGAGTGATATTGGATCATGCAAGCTTTACATTATCACCACACATGTCTAACATACCTGTCTAACTCCCTCGTTTAACATACCTGCCTATCACAACTGTCACACTTACCTATCGGACACACCTGTCTAATTTACCTGTCTAACTTGCCTTTCTAACATACCTTTTTATCTTACCTGTCTAAAACACCTGTCAAACTTACTTTTCAATCATATCTGTCTATCACAACTGTCTACATTACCTGTAATAATCAAATATTTAAAACTCTATTTATCATGACTGTCTATCATACCTGTCTTAAACACCTGTCCAAACTTGACATACCTGTCTAACACACCTGTCTAACAAACCTGTCTAACACACCTGTCTAACACATCTGTCTAAAATACTTGTCTAACATACATGTCTAACACACCTGTTAAACACTACTTTCTAGCACATCTGTCTAACACACCTCCCTAACACACCTGCCTTACTCATTTGCCCATTTTTTTTGTTTTATACAGGTAATACTAGAACTAGCAGAGGACCAGACATTGACTCTGAACCAGTTTTGCAGCACCTGCCTAATTCATCGTCCTATCCGGTCCAAACACTGTAACACCTGTAACAAATGTGTGGCGAAAATGGACCATCATTGTCCGTGGATTGATAACTGTGTTGGTCAGTATGATACAAACAAAAATTACTTATGAAGATTAACTAAAATCTTGTTCAATGAAGCAGAGGAATCTCTTTTTTGAAAATTACTTATTGAAAAAGATTGAGCACAAAAAATGAAAATGAGAATAACAGTAAGTTACATTTGATGGTGGACTGCTTTAAGAGTCTTAAATAAAAAAGAAAAAAGTAATAGGCTTGTAGTATTTATAAGTTTGCTTGTAAATCTAATAAAGAGATGAGAAAATTAAGTAAGTAACGTGAACACAACTTGTGAGATGATAGTTAAGAAACAGAACCAAAAGTAAGCTAGCTTCACTATTAATATGATGAAATCAGATATAATGTTACATAATTATCAGGTAATTGGTAACCAGATGTAATGATGTCCAAAAGTTTGTTGACATATTTCCTTGGTTATAGGTGCTGACAATCACAAGTTTTTCATTGGCTACCTGTTTTTCCTGTTCGGGATGATATGTTGGTGTTTCCATGGCTGTCGGATTTGTAAGTATAGAGATCAAGTATTTCAAAAACTTGAGGCCATAATATCTTAGGTGGTAGAGCATCAAACTTTACTAATCCAGGTGAAAATTCAAGGTGTGTGCTTTGATGATTCCCATTCGGGATGTTTTGTATTTGTAAGGAAGCTGAGGTCTTGGGCTATCCTTTACTGTCAGGATTGTGTCCTTGGACAAGACTCTTCACCCAGGATAGCAGGTAGTGGACCTCCCATATATTGTTCAGTGAGGTAGACATCAGAAGACTCCACCTCACTCTGACTAAGGCTGGTCATGGAATGATAAACCTAGCAAACAAACAAAACATAAAAACTTTGAAATGGCTTTGATGTATTCTATGTGTTCTTCTAATTAAACCACAATTATCTCATTGGATCAAGCTGCCTCCTGATACATCACCATGGCTTTACCCTGATGAACCATGGCATTGGGTCAAAGTTTTCAAAACGGATATAAATTAATGGTTAGATTTTAATGTAATAATGCATTAATCATTGTGGCAATTCTACCTTGTAAACTTGCCTAATAAATGTTCACTTCAAAACTAACTAATAAAACAAGTAAAAAATCCCCTGTTGGATGCCCCCTGGGCACATTTACAAAAACATTAAATCAAATAATCCTAAAAAATTGTAAATGAGCTTATCACCATTTCAGGTCCCTTCAAAGCACATCATCAAAAAAATATTACAAAACCCCATACAGGGTCCTATTCATAACACACTGAGGGAAAATTTTATGAAGTACCCCATATGGGACCTCTTCATTCACTTCAAATCCCTGATGAATATTATCGTATTTTTTTCCATTGTAGATTGGAATCATGTATGTCCATTCGATGTGTATGTGGATGGTATTACAGGAATTATTTATAAAGTGGTAAAGACGTCGCCTTGGGTTGCCTGGATCGCTCTCAATTCTCTCGGCCATATGTTGTGGGTTGGCATACTGTTAACCTGTCAACTCTACCAGGTTAGAATAAGTCTAATCTGTATTTAATTTCTACAATTTTGGCAATTCAGTATTTTGATTTTATGATAAATGTTCACGCGGGAACATTTTTAGTTTCCGCATGGAAATTTTGTTTTTTAAATATGAGTAAAAATGCACCATGATTTTAGGTGAAATTCATAAAATGAATTACCATGACTTACTTGAAAATAAGCCCATGCCTGGTAATAAGCCGACCCATATAAGTTGCTGCTCAGAAAAAAAATTCAAACCCATACTATTTAGTGTATATATTCCAGTATTTAAAGGTCTTACTTATCTGATTTCTTTCCAAAGTCAGAATAATTCTTAAATGTTAAAATATCCTTCTCATGCTAAGATTTGGAATTTCTCTGCATGGAACATTTCATTCAATACATAAAGTTATAGGTTTTCAAACTATTTTTTTACTCTGTTTTGTAGATATTCTGATGTAAGGATTTTAAACATCTTTCTTCATTTGTTTAGATAATCTGGTTGGGCATGACAACCAATGAGAGAATAAACTTCGTGAAATATGAATACCTACATGACAAAGAGGCTAAATTGAAAGAAATGGCTGACATGAAAGGTCACGGTCACAGTGATGGCGGGCATAGTCATCATAGTCATCATGGCGGACCAAAGGCTAAGTCAAAAAACCCATTCCAGTAAGTATGTCCAGTAAACCATGGATCATGATATTCAAATATGTCAAGATGAATCAAAATAGAAGACTCTTCACTTATTACAACCTTTCTAACTGTGTTGTCATTTCAGTAATTGCAGATTGTACATGAATTCCTAGTTAAATTAAATTCTTTAAAGGATTTCATTAAAAATAGATCTTTATGTCTATTGGTGACCTAATTCTAATACCCTCCATCGTGTGTCGTCAATTCATAAAAAATTTAACACTTTCAACTTCTTCTCTAAAACCTCTGATCTGATTTCAATGAAATTTTGCAGAAACCTTCTCTGCCCTAAGATGAACCAAATTTGTAAATTATACAGTCCCCACCCCCAGGGATCTGAGGGGCAGGGCAAAAAGGGGTCAGATTGACTCTGATTTAAAAAATCTTCCTATCAAGACCAAGATATGGTAGAGTCAAATACGCTTCATGAATGGAAGCATCTTAAGGTGCTTTACCAAAATAATGAATTTCATGGCCCCAGGGTCTCACATTTCCCCAAGGGGAGGAGGTAAAGTCTAATGTAGTTGATATAGGAACTCTTAATGTTTGAGCATATTTTGTTTAGTTTCCATTGGAAATATTTTGAATGAAGAATGACGGCTTCATGGTATGTCTGTCCATTTTGATCCTGGCTGACCCCCAGGGGCTGATGGGCAGGGCTAAAAGGGGTCAAATTGACTTAAATTTCAAAAGTTTCCTCAACACCCAGATATGGTATAATCAAATGCTCTAAAACCATCTTAAGGTACTTTAATTACCAAATGAGTTTCACATTTCTTACTTGGGAAGAATTTTTTTGGACTTTCCTGTAATTTTCATAGAAAAATTGCATTTTTGAGCATAACATTGGTTATTTCCAGCTGGAAATAACTTTATAAGAAGTATCAGTATAGGATGACTGTTTTTATGGTATGGATGTATTGATACTGTCTATATTCATTGTCACAATTTCTGTTTCATAACACTTGATAATCATCCTTTAACCTTTATATATTCAATAGTGCTTATCTCAGGTGACCGTCAAGGCCTCTAAGCCTCTTGTTACACTCTAACAAAAACACTCTAAATTAAAAAGCTATTATCTCGAAACTTTTCATTAACAGTCGTGGAATGTTCAAGAACATGGTAGATCTGTTTGGCTGGCGTTTCTGTGGATTACTGCGTCCTAATAAATTGGATTACCGACACTTGTTTGTACTGCCTGGAGAAGAGGCAGCAGTGTCAAAGAGACTCAAGTTCAATGTCAACCGAGAAAACTACCAGTTTGTATAGTGTTGTGAACCAGGAAAATCACCACTGAGCTGGAGAGACACCCAGCCTTAGTAGTGATGTAAACCAGGAAAACTATGTACCAGATTGGGTCGTGAACCGATATAACTACTAGTTTGTGTAGCAAACCAGGAAAATTTCCAGTTTGTGTAATGAACCAGGAAGACTCCCTGTTTGTGCAATGACATGAACAGGGAAAGTTCCCTGTTCACGAAGGGATGTGAACTGTCAACCAGTTTTAGTGAAGATGCGAGATAAATATTATCGTAATTACTACACTCAGGACCGACTCATGGTCTTTTCTTTTTTTTTCATTTTTTTTTTTTATTAATTTCAGTTTACAAAGCAAAAAAAGTTTTTGCAACTTAAAAAAATTCTGTGTTGATCATTTTCATTGTGAAGTAAAACATTTTTATTTTTTTATTTGTCATTTTTTCATGTTTTGATACAAATAGCCTCAGGATACAAAGACAGTTACATATGTCATCAGTTAATTTCATTTGAAAAAGTGAAAAACTATTAGCAAATATCATTGACAGAAAAGAGATTATATATATGTGTATTTAAATGTGTGTTAATATTTATTTATTAAACAGAAGCTTGCTAAATTTTCATTCAGCTCTTTTGTATATCCTGAAGCCAGGCTTTGATGAAGTGAAGTGTCTGAAATTTTGCTAAATTGTGAATCATCCTTTGTTATTTTCATAAGAGAAGTTTAGATGTGAAGATGTAAGCTGTAAAAACAACACATATTGTATAATGTAAGTCTTTTAACAGGATATGTAAATGGTACTTTTTGTCAGAGAGACTATGGTACATGGTTTGTGTTTGTACACAGAGGGAATTGCCAATATTATTTTGTTTATGTTTGCAAAAGCTGATATGACTAACATTTCTGTTAATTTGATACTTCTTGTTGTTCAATTTTTTTAGGGGAAGGGAGAGTACTCTTTATGAAAATAAACGTGTGGAATTCTTCCTCACTCTGATTATAATTATTCTTTTTCAATAAATGTGTTCATACTGAAAGGAGCATGTGTAGGTTTACTGTGTATGAAATATGTATGAAATGTTTTCATTTATTTCATATACAGAATCAAAGCCCCTTGATAAAACCCATTTTCCCTTCAACCCTACCGCCAATTCTAGGAAAAATATACAGGATAATTTGTATTTCCTTTCATTAAAACGTTTTTAACAGTCCTAATGTTGAATAATCTTTAATGGAAACATCAGTTTTTCTGATTTTTTTTCTCTGTTTTAAGTAGTTTTCTATATTCTGGTGAAATGATGTGCCTACTTTTAGCGAAATTATTTGGGTTGTTAATTAAAGGTTTGGCATTACACAATAAATAGTAACAAGCTTAACAGCATTGTATAAAGTTTTAATGTACTCTGCATAAAGATGTATTGTTTAGCTGATTTGACCAATGAGAAGCAGTGTTACATAACTGATTTGACCAATTGGAAACAGTGTTACACATATAGCTGCAATGGTTGAAAATCTGATTGATTTTCATAAGAAGTATTTTTAAACATCAAAACAGTTGTAGATGTATGGTGAGTGATTTGATAGGAAAAAAAATTATGCTATGTCTTATATACTTGTGTGATATAAATGGTTGGTGTCTATTCTACAAAATGGCTGTAGACCTCATTGTTTATGTATTTGAAATGTATCACTTCCATGTTTTGCTTTTAAATTGGCCTTTTAATTATTTAATAATGAGAGCATGCAGCTGATGGAGGATTTAATGAGCTTATCAGTTTTGTTTGATTGTATCAAAGAAGATCGATATAAGAAAAAACCTTTCGTTTTTCATAAACCTTTTTTTTATAATTTTACACAGGAGATATTCTACAACTTCTTAAAACTGTGTGATTCTGATCTGGTACGTCTAATGCTATCATGTAATCACTATGAATTCATCAAATTTCCAATTTTTGCATAATACATGTAATTATTAGCTTCAAAATAATGTAAATACCAACGTAATACATAGAGTGTACTTTAAAAACCAGATGTTTTTTCAGAAAGAATCAATGTTGTGAAAATTTGATTTCATCGATGGATATAGCTTTATAAATGTACATTTACCAATTATATTAGTTAGTGGACATTTGAATTGGTAGATTTAGAGTACCCCTGTAGTCAACAAAAATAGATCCCCACGAAAATTAATGATTTAATAGCTTACCTGACAAGGTGAACTTACGCCGTGTCACAATGTCTGTCATCTGTCCGACATCAACTTTTATATTTGAACGACTTTTTCTCAATAAGCAGGAGTCCCATAGTAATGGTGTTTTGCTGACCGGATCCTTGGATAAGGCCAAACAAAATTTAATCAAAGAAATTACTGTAACACATATTCGAAGTCACAGAGGTCAAATTTGTTAAAACCTTTGAATCACCAAAAGGCATAGAAGGGTTGTATTTAGCTGATTGGTTCCTAGGATGAAGCCTGACAATTTTAAGAAAAAGAAATGACCTTGACTTATAACTAAAGTCACAGGGGTCAAATTTCTTAAAACTTTAAAACCGCAGCAACCAATTTAAAGAAACAGAAAAAAAAGAAAGTGATATATTCCCTTAAATCAAGGTCATAGCTGCAGCTATTTAAAACTAAGTTTTCAAAGCTAATATTTGTTATGAAAATTGGTTAAAATTGATTGGACGTACCCATGTTTAATGCCAATGTTGCATGTGTTAATGTATTTGTAATGAACATTGGTTGTATTTGAATACCAGATTAGCGATGCAGGTCCAATGGGCCTCTTGTTACAGTATTATAGCGGACTTGCCTTTTTAACTGATTTTAAGTTACAACATTGATTTCATTTTTCAGGTTCAAAGTCTTCATGGTTCATTGATATGATCATTCTGACCGTGATTTCATGGTTCAGTGGCTTTATAATTCATGACTTCATGATAAGTTTCATTGGCAACTCTCACGTTGATTTCATGTTTCATTAACTTTATAATTCCTTTATTGTTCAGTGACTTCATTGTTCAGTTACTTTACTGTTCCTTAAAGGTTCAGTGACTGCACGGTTCATTGACAAACTGGTTTATAGACAACATAATGCTCACAATGGGTTTGTAATCTTGTGATTTCATGGATCAGTGACTAACCAATCATTGACATGATCATTCTTCTACCAGTTATTTCATTGTTAAGTGACAAAATTGTTCTGAAATTCTGCTGCTGTTGTGTGCTTTAGTGGCTTATTTTTCCTGATTTTCCTTAAAATTTCTTCAATGATTGCTGAATTTGCTGACCAAATACTTACATTTTACAATTATATGTTCATGTTATGAATGTGTTTATATAAAGCATAGCTCTATATACTATATATGAAACTGACTTTGCAAATGAACAAGTTAAGCTATATACAAAATCTTAACTTAGAATTGTATTTTGTAGTTAGAATGTACCTGAAGCATTTGTAATTTAGTATATTTCAAGTATTATTATAGTACTTAGTATCTTCCTATTTGTTACAGGGAAGAAATCTGTGAATTTGACCTCCAAATTGTGGACAGAAATACTATGTGTCTTCTATCATCAGATGGTCAGTTGCTCTGCCCTTCAGTCATTCTTAAAACAATTTTTATTTCACCTGACCAAAGAGTCTGTGTGGCTTCAAACTTTTCTTTAAATGACTTTGCCTCAATAACTCAAAGACCTAAACTCATGATATTTGGCTTGAAGGTTTTTGGGATGACACCAGACAAAGTTGCAAAAACAAACAAGTTTAACCTTCATTCAAGGTTTCAGATGTCAAATTTGTTAATATCTTAAAACAATTTCTTGTCTTCTCAATAAGTAAAAGGCTTAAAATCATGATACTTAGTTTACCTTGTTAAAACCTTCGAAGGACTTTTTTCATTATCCAAAAGGCTTGGAATCAAAACCTGGGATGAAGCTTGACAAAATTTGAATAGAGAAATGACCTTGACCAACAGTGTATTCAGGCCACTGCATCCTTATTTATTTTAAAAATTTTAATGACTTCTTCTCAATAACCGTAATGCTTTGAATCATATTTATTTTGCTGGGAGGTTCCTGGGCTGAAACCTGACAAAATTAAAAAAATAAATGGCCTTTTCCTACATTTAGGCCAGAGTCACAGTGGTCAGATTTATTAAAACCTTCAAATGAGAAGTTTAAATGTTGATGATGTTATATATTAATGTATTTGTGAAGAAAAATGGAATACTAAATATTATCCTTGTTTGATATAACCTTTCATTGAGAAATAATAGATGCATTTTAAATTCCATATGATTTATATAAGTTACCTCTGTATCCAAATTCTGTTCTCTCTTATTTTATTAATTTGTTTTGTAATAGAAGTTGGAATGAAATAAAATGTTTATACTATGATTTCTCTGTTCTTTTGTGATTGCTTATGACAGCTCTTAATTCACACATTATCACATATCCGGATTAAAGGAGAGAATCGCAATATACAATATGTAATTAAACTACAGTTGTAGTATATGTGTTGTGGATTAGGTTCTAGGCAAGGGAGATAACCCAAATCAGACCACGGTTTTGAAATCAAAGATACTTTAAATAAATTAGTTTTTAGCCCACCATCTAGTAGATGGTGGGTTATTCAAATCGCCCTGCGTCTGTGGTCCGTCCGTCCGTCCGTAAACAATTCTTGTTACCACTATTTCTGGAAAAGTACTGGATGGATCTTTCTCAAATTTCATATGCAGTTTCCCCTTGGTCCCTAGTTGTGCATTGTACCTTTTTTGGACTGATTCGAATTCAAGATGGCCGACAGGTGGCCATCTTGGATTTTGGAAGTAAAAGTTTGTTACCGCTATTTCTGAGAAAGTACTGGATGAATCTTCCTCAAATTTCATATGCAGTTTCCCCTTGGTCCCTAGTTGTGCATTGTACCTTTTTTGGACTGATTCGAATTCAAGATGGCCGACAGGCAGCCATCTTGGATTTTGGAAGTAAAAGTTTGTTACCGCTATTTCTGAGAAAGTACTGGATGGATCTTTCTCAAATTTCATATGCAGGTTCCCTTTGGTTCCAAGTTGTGCATTATACCTTTTTGGACTGATCCGAAATCAAGATGGCTGACAGGCAGCCATCTTGGATTTTGAGAGTAAAATCTTGTTACTGCTATATCTTGGATAGTACTGGATGGATCTTTCTCAAATTCCATATGCAGTTTCCCCTTGGTCCCTAGTTGTGCATTGTACCTTTTTTGGACTGATTCGAATTCAAGATGGCCGACAGGTGGCCATCTTGGATTTTGGAAGTAAAAGTTTGTTACCGCTATTTCTGAGAAAGTACTGGATGAATCTTCCTCAAATTTCATATGCAGTTTCCCCTTGGTCCCTAGTTGTGCATTGTACCTTTTTTGGACTGATTCGAATTCAAGATGGCCGACAGGCAGCCATCTTGGATTTTGGAAGTAAAAGTTTGTTACCGCTATTTCTGAGAAAGTACTGGATGGATCTTCCTCAAATTTCATATGCAGTTTCCCCTTGGTCCCTAGTTGTGCATTATACCTTTTTGGACTGATTCGAATTCAAGATGGCCGACAGGTGGCCATCTTGGATTTTGGAAGTAAAAGTTTGTTACCGCTATTTCTGAGAAAGTACTGGATGAATCTTCCTCAAATTTCATATGCAGTTTCCCCTTGGTCCCTAATTGTGCATTGTACCTTTTTTGGACTGATTCGAATTCAAGATGGCCGACAGGCAGCCATCTTGGATTTTGGAATAAAAGTTTGTTACCGCTATTTCTGAGAAAGTACTGGATGGATCTTTCTCAAATTTCATATGCAGGTTCCCTTTGGTTCCAAGTTGTGCATTATACCTTTTTGGACTGATCCGAAATCAAGATGGCTGACAGGCAGCCATCTTGGATTTTGAGAGTAAAATCTTGTTACTGCTATATCTTGGATAGTACTGGATGGATCTTTCTCAAATTCCATATGCAGGTTCCCTTTGGTTCCAAGTTGTGCATTATACCTTTTTGGACTGATCCGAAATCAAGATGGTTGACAGGCAGCCATCTTGGATTTTGAGAGTAAAATCTTGTTACTGCTATATCTTAGGATGTCCTGGATGGATCCTTCTGATATTTCATAGATATTGGTTTCCCTTGGTCCCTACTTGTGCATTGTACCTTTTTTGGACTGATTTGAAATCAAGGTGGCCCACAGGCAGCCATCTTGGATGTCGACAGTAATACAGCACAGGCATATTGTCCATTATCCACCTGTAACTGACAGCTATCTAATAATACTTTGGGATCTTTTTCAAATGATATTTGCTAATAGGTGCTTAATAAAAATATCTTGTGCCATCATTGAGTACATTCAATGAAGACCAGTTCATGAACATTTACAACACCTGTAACAAACAAAAAATAAACAAATCTTCAAGAACTGAAAACAGATCCTCAAATGGTGGGCGCCAAGATCCCTCTGGGATCTCTTGTATTCTTATAAGCCCATCATCATCGTCATATGTCTATAAGAAGTATAGGAAGGATATTTCTTAAACTTCATACGTATGTTTCCCTTGGTCCCTAGTTGTGCCTGTATGATTTTGGGATTGATTAGAAAATTAGAATGGCTGACAGGTGGCCATCTTGGATTTTGATCTGAAAAATTTGTTATGGCTATTCCTTGAGAACTACTGCATGAACTGTATCTTTCTAACATTTCATTTATAGATTCCAGTTGATCCCTGTTGTTTCTGTTTGATTTTGGAACTGATCAGAAAAACAAAATGGCCATCTTGGATTTTGACTTTGAAAGTTTGTTATCACTTTTTCTTGAAAACTACAGCATATATTTTCCTTAAATTTCATGTGTAGTTTCCCATTGATCCCTTGTTGTGTACGTTTGATTTTAAGACTGATCATATAAAGCAAAATGGCCGACATGCGGCTATCTTGGATTTTGACCTTGAAAGTTTGTTATCGCTGTTTCTTTCGAACTTCTGCATATATTTTGATTTGGTTTCTAATTACCCGCTTAGACAACGCTTAAGCCGATCTACATTTAAAACTTTTGAAGTAGCTTACAGAGGAATGACAGACGTAGGGGACCTTTTCTTACTTGACAAGCAGCAAAGACGAAAAAGTGAAGATTAAGATTTGCTAATTAAGGAGACAGAAAGGAGACTTCATCATGAGGACAACACGGAGATCATAGCAGTCTGCACTCAAGAGAAGTGTACAAAAAGAAGGGAGGACTATAAAAGAGGTAAAGTGGCGCAGACAGCAGAAATGAAGAAACATGAAAGCTGGCTGAAATGGCTGTGAGTTCGAGAGGGAGAACTGCAACATTTAGGCCATGGATAAACACAGCATTATATCTTTTCTGTGAGTCAGTGATGCTTCTGGTAGAAACAACGGAAGTGCAGAGGACGAAGTGGTTAAGGCATCAGTTTTGTAGAAGCATGAGGAATCAGAATAGGGAGAGTCGAGGGATCAAGAATCATGGCAACTGAAGGGAATTAGCATATGAGAGCAAATATGAATGGGCTGCTGAGGTTCCAAGAGAAGACCATCGTCAAAAATCAAAACCCTGGCATTGTTCGTTTTAAACCCGTTTATATCGCCATTTAATTACACGGAGAGGTCATATTAACATATATGTATATTATCAACAAAGGTTAAACAGACATTTCTATGCCCCAGTCATTTCCTGGTCAGAAATGTCAGAAATTGAATATGGCACGATAGATTAGCCGTCTCCGTTTGAATTGTCCTCCATATATTAACTTTAAATCCCATTAAAGTTTATAAATTTAAGTTTTGTGTTAAAAAGTATCTTAAAATTTCTTCCATTTAAAATGCGATTTTATGAAATTCGTCAAAAATACTAAATTTCATGGCTAGATTCATATAACATCATAAGATCCAATTTGTATCACACATTAATTAAGTTATTGTGATATTTCCCATTAACTCGAGCAATAAGGTTCTACAGTTCATAACAAGTATCATTTTGTCTGTTAATGAATAAAGCAATAAATGACGATGAAAAATGAGCATTTGATTATCACAGCTTTAAAATTAATTCCTGTTGTCTCATATAATGATATTGCTGTGATGAACGTTAACACACGAAGGCATTGGTATGTGTATTTCGAAATAATGAAATGTCGCTCATGTTATTAAAAATGTAAAAAAAAAAATCAAATTGTATGTTACCGAGGACGATTCATGTATGATTATGGTGAATCCGCATTGGTTGTAAATATCTTATCATTTATTATATACATGTAATTGAAAAAAAAATGGTATTAAACTTTAAAATTCGTGTATACCAACAAATCACATATTCCTACGTCAAATGTGCGATCCTTAAAATCAGTTATATTTTTCAAGTTTCTTGATATGGTCCTCTGGAAAGGCGATGCGTTTCAGCAAAAGAAGTAACGTATAAGAAAATGACTAGTACATATGTAGTATTCTGAATGGAAATTATTTCTTTAGTTGTCGTCTAAGAATCTTTCCACTGGCGGTTTTGGGTATGGAATCTGTCAATTCTACTCCTCCTCTAAGCCACTTGTAGGGGGATAAATGTTCTGTGAAAGCACGAGAAAAACACAAAGTGTTGATAATAAAATACCGACATCGACGACACTCAGTGTTGTCTGATTCTTCAACACTACAAAATGTCTTAAATTGAAGTTGAAATGGAAAACAATATAGAAAAAAAGGCAATTTCTATTTAAAAAACACGATACAATAAAAAGCCTGGAAGTAGAAAAGAAACTCAACTAAAAAAAATCTATGAAGTGTGACAGTACCAATATAATTAGCTTTTCTGATCATTTCATTATAATAAGCTCAAAGGTTTTCCTATCAAATATTCTACCAAAACAAATAAACGTATTAAGCTATATATATAATGTATGTTGAGTAATAACATACATTTCATTTTCACTGAGGTTCTGTCAGAGGGTGGTTTTAAACAGAGAGGCAGATAGGTAACTAGACAGACCAACGGACTAGAGAAACATCTTAACAGACAGATGTTTCGGAGTTTGGTGTCGTACCTTGTACAAATTGGGAAACCTCGTCCTCCTTGAGCTGACAGTTGGTTTTAGGGACGACAAATGCCCTAGGGACCTCTCCCTGTCCCTCATCAGTCTCTACACCGATCACTGCCACGTCCTCTACCTTAGGGTGTGTACATATAAGGGCTTCAAGCTCAGCTGGCGCCACCTGTTGACAAATACATTTGAAAGTAGTTACCATGTCAAGGCCAATATCTTGTGTTAAGGTCATTCTTTGGTGTCAAGGTCAATCTATGAATGCCAGGATTGTTGTGTTGAATCTGTCTTATTATTCAGAAGTGAACATAAACACAAGGGTCATACTATTGTTTGGAAAGTCATTACCTGGTGGCCAAGGTCAAATCTATTGTCAAGGTATTCCTCACCTGATAGCCTTTGTACTTGATTAACTCTTTCATTCTGTCCGACACAATAAAATATCCCTCGTTGTCATAGTGACCGATGTCTCCTGAACAGAAATTAACACAGAATAAAAGTAATATCAATTAGTATGAAATATGAATAGTAGAATTATCTTTAGTAGTAAAATGGAAATTAAGAACTTTAAAGTCAAATATTTATAAACACAGCTGATTTTCTTTTCGCTGAAATTACAATTACTTGTTATATATTTAGTATAATTTATCTGAGGAAAGAAACATCCTGAATAATTATAAATGATATTCAGCTCTACAATAACACATAATTCGGATTACAATGATGTCTAAGGAATAGAATCTAATGACAGTACTGCTTTCATGTAACACGTTTATTGGCTGGGTTTTCTTGATCGTTCAATAACCAGTCAGTGTGATCTTAAGGCAGTGTCTCCTCAGTACTATATATATCCGATCTTTTGTGTCCTTTGTTCCTAGAAAGCTGAGGCTGCGGACTATCGTGTGCCGCCATGGTGGTATACTTTAGGTAAAGACAATTCCTGTGACCAACAAGGGGCGGCCTCTCGCATGATGTTCCGAGAGGTAGTAATCAGCAGCTTAAAGCTGAACTAGCCTCGATTTGATCTTACACATTTGTTGACTGGGTTTGAGGTCAACAGGTGTCATATAAAACTAGAGGACTAAACTTCGGCCTCTGGCAACAGTTTATTCCGAGGGTTCAACATAACACAAGTTTACTGAAAATCCAATCTATTAATGTTTTGTTATACCTTCTACCGTTGATATATAAGAAAACGAATAATTATAGATAAATATAAATGAAAAGACAACCTTATTTCAACAATTTTAATTCTGAAATAAATTTTCAACAACAACAACAACAACAACAACAAGGATTTGTGTTTTTGCTTGATGTTGGAAACTGTCGAATAACGTCCAGGAAGTACTTAACAGTAATGAGCTGTGACGTAGGTAGTCAACATCGACATGTTGACCGGTCACTCGATGACCGGTCACCATTGTTCCGGGACAAAAATCTGGAATTTCAGACTTTGTTCGCTTTAACATGAGGCCCAAGGGGCTTTAACGGTCACCTGAGGAATATATGTCAATAATCTGGGGATTTTAAAATGTTGCAAAAATGTAACAACACTTTTGCAGGACCGTGCGTAAAACATCTGTACCAAGTTTGAACATGATCCACCCAGTGGTTCTTGAGAGGAAGTCCAAAATGTCTTAGCCAAACAGAGGCCAGGGTGGCCATCTTGAGTGTTGGTTCATGCGAAGAAGATTTTTTAAAGATTTACCTAATTTTACCCCCTTTTCCCCCCTCCTGGGGCCCCTATTAGGGCCACGCCCTTTTTCTTCGCAAATATGAAGCGGCTTCCCATGGGGATGCCTTGTGCCAAGTTTGGTCAAAATCCATTCAGTGGTTCTTGAGAAGAAGTTGAATATGTGAAAAGTTAACGTCGCACGTCACACGACGCACGACGACAGACAAATCATGAGCCTTCGGCTCAGGTGACCTTAACCGTATAGTGAATTGATAGGAGAGGTATCACAATGGTTGTTGACGGGCTAATAAACATAGCAAACAAATTACATACGCATATCCTGTATGAAACAAACTCATGCGTAACACTTACGTGTAGGTGGCTATTCATCCATAACTTTCACCTGTTTGAAACTAGACAACTCTTACCAGCACCTAGCCAGCGATGTGTATCAGTTACCTGTGTGTAACCAACCATGCTAACCCAAACCAATATATAACCAGACATGTGTACCACTGGCCATATTGTGATCAACCATGTGTAACTCTTCCTGGTATGTTGCTAACCATACGTGACACTGACAAGAATGCAGCCAGTCATGCGTAACTTTACCTGTATGTAACCAGCCATCCACAACCATTTCATCTGTAGCCTTTTGATTGTTGAGATATCCTTTCATCACCTGTCGACCTCGGACCAGAATCTCACCTGTCTGTTCCGCTAGCAAGGACTGACCAGTCTCAATGTCCACTACCTGGAACGATAAACATCACGTCGTCGTTTGAGAGCATGTTGACGTCCGATAAATGTTTACAATTACATCAGCATCATGGAATCTTCACAATTTCTTATTTTATAAATATCTTACTGTTGTTGCTACGTGTCGAGACTTTGATTTATCACAGTTATGATCTGAACAAAGCCCGACAATAGAACATTTCCTTGCCTTCCTCCTAAATATTTGGTATTTTTATCACGAAATTTTCAATTCACTCACTGAATGAATTATAAGATAAGAGTTAAACTAACGAGCCTTGTATTTCCCACTTTATCATAAAAGAAAAAATATTAAGACATCTGAATCGTCATTAGACATATAACATATCAAGAATTCTGTTGTAACTTCCACAGTCCTTATTTTGAGATCATTATTTCTAATATCTAGTTTCATCTAGGTTTTCCTGGTTTGTTAAAGAATGTAAATGAAGCGGAAAACGCTCACTATCCCGAGACTGCACGGAAAAGAGACAAGTGAACTTTACTTTTCAGTAAAAAAATATAATTAGACACAGTACAGAGTAGTATGGCATTGAAAACTGCATCATAGAGTGTTTTCGTCCTTGTAGGGCTCGGCAGTGATTATAGGGGGCTTTTTTTGAAACCTTACAAGTGACAACGGAGCACAACTTGTGATTGTATATTTATTCAAACCGTTGTATGATTTTTTCCTGATTTTAACAACTATAAATTTGAGATAGGATACTTTTTCACAATTTAGTTGGGTTTTTTTTCGCTGTTTCTTTGCCTTTTTACCGACACGATACTGTAAGACCTTGCCTAGTTGCCTACCTTGCCCTCAGTGTTTGGCACTAGTTGTCCAATAGTTCCCTCCTTCCCTGGGTAAGTGTCGTAGTGGGTCAGGGGACTGCACTCCGTGAGACCGTATGCTGTAACGTGCATTAGAGGTTATATTGTATGTAGTTCCACGATCACTCCGCCATAAATATTGTAAAACTATTGCATTGTTTATCGCTGCGTTCTAACTTTCAAATCTTTCGTTGGTACTCTTCTTCATTCGCAAGTATAACCCCGTGAAAATTAGCATAAACATTAACTACAATTTTATTTATCCGCGAAATTAAGTGCCAGTAAAAAGTGTTGATTTCGAAATTCGAACCTTGATATCCTCGAAAATATATATTGGTACATAATGTTGCAGTACTGTTAAGAACGCGTCGTTACACAAAGAAAAAAACCAAAAACAATAAAAGAATAAAGCAAACAAACAAACAAAGAAACAAACAAGTATGTCTACAGCAATACACTGACAGGTATGTAAACTTGTACTATAAACTTACAAAGGTTTCGAATAAGTCAGGCGTGTAAATATTGATGATAACACAATACTTGATGGTTTGCATTTCAAATATGGATCAATCATAAGGTTTGTTTATCAAAGCCTTTTAGATCCTGTGAGCACATCACATAACTCACTATCTGCCAAATATGGTACCTGTATTTAATAAGCATTTTCTCCAGATTGGTTTAAACAATATTTATTCTGTTATTCAATTAAATATACCAAAACATACATACATATATACATACCTACCTCACGAAAAAGGTGGAGAAAAAAGGCTAGAATGTATTTATACAAATCTATATATATGCGTGACAAAAGAGCTTAGGACAGTTACATGAAATATCTAAATGTTAGTTTGACGATAAGATAATCCTCTTATTGTAAGAAATTCTCTTGGTTTAAATTAAAGTTTTATTACCCAGCGATGTAATGATTTTCATGTGCTTAATAACAAACAAAGAACAAATCTTTATAAAGCTGCTGGTAAATAACAAAAATGACTATAAAAACAAAAAAAATAACCTTCGACAAAAAATAGATCTCTTGGCGCTCTTATTACTGCAAAACTACCTTGTGTGATATCCACGTTGAGTTTGTTTCTTGTCTCCTCCGTCAGTCCTATCCCAAGCGGCGCTGCGGCACACACCAACGTCTTCAAACTGCTTACATCATATTTCTCCACCAGAGGGCTCTTCGCCAGGAACAATACAGTGGGTGGCACGATGTGCATATATGATACCTAGAAATTAATAAGACAGTTGAAATACCGTGTTTGTTCACATATGAATCAATGTTTTGTTTCAGCTCTAGTGATTCGCTGTAAATAATTGCTGTGAAATCATATAATTTTGTCCAACGTACCGTAAAATCTGTGTAATTTGCGCACCTACGTAAATTGCGCAAGTATCTTTTGGCGCTGAAAAACTTCTATCCGTATATTTCACACATCGAACCATTCCGTGAAAGGAGAAGTAATTACAAAGAGATATTTCTAGTTGGCTCTCAAAATGTTAGCGATTACCACGACAAGCACGAGTTTTAATCACAATAGATAATTATCACAGAAAATTAATTCATTGACTTTATAGTATTTGATTTACATATAACAATGTAGACAAATAATACTGAAAATAACACTAATACTAAACGATCGATTGATGTTTTGGGCAAAACATTTATGGCATTATGTGTCGAGGTGTCCACAAAAGCGAAAAATTAAGTCAGTAAAACTGTACAAAAGACTCAATAGCAAATACCACCTTTTAATGCAAAACAAGTAACTACCAACATGGTAAAACTAGGGCAAAACATGAACAAGATTTACACGGAGACACCTGAAAAAGGAGAAAGAGACCAGGTGTTCCAAGCGTCTTCTGCTTCATTGACGACACCCGCCATGTACATTTTGGTCAATCCAGGTAAGTAATGTCACGTTCTCAAATGAGAACAAGGTATAAAACAACGGAACCAACAGGCAAACTAACGAGCATCAAACACGTCCAGCGTCATGTCGCACGAAGAAATAGAATATTTCTCATGATGACGACTGTAAAACTACCTCATAATTTTCATCAACCTGTATAATTTGAATCCTTGTGTTACGAATTTATCCGTCAGTTGACGAATTTTTCAATCAATTCCGTCATTTTCATGTTTCATATTATGTTAAATGTCCTAAAACTTATTGATTAAAGCCTATCAATTATTTTTCATGAATTTGTAAAAAGGGAAATAAATTCTCATGAAGACCAAGCACAGTTAGGTTTATTAAAGACTTCCTGAAGATTGACATCCCAGCTGGATAACCAGCAATTTCACCAGACACAGTTCCGATTACTAGTAAACATACACTCTGATCATCGTCGAAAAAAATGAGTATTTTGCCAAGGTGTGCATAGGACGGGATATCGATTTTATACCAGGGTGCAGTACTAATTGTAACAACGTTGATGAGCCTGATGGAGACACAGGTGCACGCTGGGTTGTCATGTCATGGCTACACAACGTAATTGTTAAAATAAACAAAATAAAGGTATCCAGTTTACATCAATGAAAGCCAAAAGGACTTTAACATCCAGAAACAATGCTAGTTCACTTTACCTTGTGTTCCTCAATGGCTCTGAGGAAGGACTCTTGTTCAAACTTTGGCATGACAACTAGTTTTGTTCCCAAACATATAGCACCAAGCTGAACAGGGACCATACCGTAGATGTGGTAGAAAGGTAGGAAACCCATAAGGCATTCAGTTCTTGGGTCCAGTTTCATTGGCCCTCTGTCACAGAAATAGAATAATGTTACATGTATAGTGATTCCTTTTTCGTGGAGCATAATTTCAAGGATTTCTTCGAAAGGACTTGACTTCGTTGGGGTAGGGGGAAAGAATATGTATCCATTATTTACTCTATTGTATCCAATTGCAAACTCCACTAATACAAAAAAAAACTTGTAGTAGCTGATAAATTCATGAATATATGTTTATATCGTAAATTACTTACTTTGCAATAAGTCATGGTAACAGTCTTACTTATAAAATATAAATACGAAATGTTTATGTAATCCATATTTTATTTGTATTTTTCAATAGATCTACCGCATTGCATGATATTTATATTGATGAAAATAGTTTATTAAGACAAACGGAAAGTTTTATGTGCCTAGTTATTATGATCAAATAATTCGATATCAATATGTTCAGTGCTCATTAAAGGCGTGTTGAGAAACCTCCAAAATTATTAGGGATAGCTGCATGGATTGATGAATGAAGACATGATGGGCACATACCTGATGCATTGGATAAGATTTGCTACTAAATTATGGTGCGTTAGTTCTACGCCTTTTGGGAGCCCCGTAGTTCCACTAGAATATGGTAAGGTCAGGACGTCCGTCATTGGGTTAAGGTCAACATTTTCTGGAAATGCCTTTCCATCATCCTCAGTTAGAAGAGAAAATGGGACGCATCCTTCTGCTTCCCCTATAGATATCACATGCTGAAATATAATGGGGAAAAAAGATGAGTAACAATTTAATATCTCACGGATTAGCAATTAAAAATGAAGATAATGATATTGGTAATTTGTTTAACTTGCTAAATCCTTATTGTCAAAACGTCTCTCATTGTTAATCCGTACTCATATATCCCCGGCTGTTGTAAGAACGTTGAAACCGCGAAACAATCTCTCAATTCCTTGTCATTGCCACAAGGTTTCTTTACAGCAATTGTCGCTCGTGATATATCGTCAAATCTTTTACAACGTCGAAGCTCTCTTTACTCTTTACAAATGGGTGCAGTACAGTGAGGGTTTGTAGAATGAGGTGAATGATTAAAAGTAAGTTAAATTGATATATAAACACACAAAACTGAAGTAGAAATGCACACAACCATTTACAAAGACACAGAAAAGGAAATATTAAAGGTTTTGCTCCAACCTTGATATTCTGTTTGACCTCAGGGTCAGACTCCAAGGCTTTCCGCACCGTCTCAAGCATTGTCGGTAAGGTTACTATAGCAATACTTCTAGAATGTTTTAATTGACGAGCAAGTTCACCTGAAAACAGATACATTGTACAAGAAAATAGTCACAAAATCAAATTTAATACGTATATATAGGGGAGTCTAACTTCAGTAATAATCTCTGTGAGATTTATGAAACAAGTTCAAGAATTGTTCCGTATTGTATACGAAATGATAAATCGCATGTGAAATTAATTTGATATTAGTTTTAGTTTAAACAATATTTTATTCAATGTTTAACATTTAGATATACATATAATTCAAATCTTAACTAAGAGGATTTTTTGCTTAAAGCTTATGTAAAACCATCTCCTAAAATGTTATACCATTCACATATCGACAGAGTGGTCCAACTAAAAAGGAATGCTGGTGGCAGCTATAAAATTACAAAATTACAATCCGATATATTACAATATTAGTTTTATCATATGACATATTGTTTTTGCAAATACTTGTATTGCATGAAACGTATTTTTCTGTTTCATTTTCATCATCTATGACCTATGACCTATGTGATGTCATAACGTAATGTTTGAGTTATGACGTCATTTCATTATCATCTCTTGACGTCAGAATAAGTCGTGTCAGGTTTTATGAGAAAAAAAGTCAAAATTACCCGAAAAAAATACCAAACTCCACATGGAGAGGTGCACAAGTATAAATTGCGGCATCTTTATATATCTGGTTACTTTATAAGAACGCTAAACACTATTCAAAGGATTTCAAATGTGGCACGTAAGGCCACTAGTGGTGTCGTACACAAATGCGAAAATGTCACATGACTATTACAATAGTTTGAAGGATGGATATACATGAATATTTATCAATACTTTGCTTTCTTTGTCTAGAAACGAACTCCAACATCTTCTTGATATAGAATACTCACTCGGTGTGTAGATTGGGTTGGCCGTGCTTAGTATGATTCCCGTCGCACCACAGGCAAGGAACATGACAGGATACTCCATACAGTTTCTAGCAAAAATAAGAATTTTGTCCCCTTTTTTGTACCCTAATCTCGTCAGTCCACTTGCCACGCGCACAGTTATATCCTTTAACTGGGCGGCAGACTGTTCTCTTCCTGTTGTGCAGTCTACCTGTCGGTAGAGTAAATTTATCATATTGTGACATGAAAATGGATGTTTGAAGTGGAAATGAAATTTCACACATGCATCAAAGAAACAACAGAAAACAGGAACATTTTAATTGGAAAAAACAAACAAAAACAAAAAAGCAGAAAAAGGAACAAACAGAAATATATATATATATCTTGCATCTTGCACTTTCTTACTCCCAAGATCTTTTAATTATCAGTAAGCATCGGCATTGATTTATTTAGGATATTCCGGGCTAGATTTGTTTCACATACTTTATTAACCTTAACTATTTAACTTAAACAAACTTACAAGTGAGCTTTTAGCAATACAACCCATTTACAAAACCACTGCCGGATACAGCAGCTGTTAGAATTCATGTTATTTCCGATACCGCCAATACAATGTATCCTAATGTTCGATTTTATGAGAATTGAAGCCACATTCATTCATCAGAATTCAGGTACGATGTTTACCGTTTTGAGACTGACAAAATTATCTTCATCTGAGTGCATCAACATCCGTTTAACAAACGCATTGAAATGAGACCGAAATATTGGAAAATGTCATATTATTATTATTATTATTCCTTACCAAGGACACTGGACTTTTGTGATCATCTAACTGTGAGAAAACAAACTCAGTAAAAGTGACGTTCGGAAGCTCTAGGTCAGCGTAGGGACTCGTAACGATGTTCTCTCCATCTTTCTGTGTAAAAACATCCTGTGTCCTAGGTGCCCCGTAGTACCATTTTACAGGAACAATATTGGAAGCTGTCTTCTTTTTAAGAAGTCTCTGCTCTTTGGATGCCATACCTGTCACACATCTTTCCTTTGAAATCGTACAAATATCTCGCTGTGCTCCTAACGACACGTTTCCATATTTACATCGTCTGGTAAGAATCCCCTGTGGTATTTGTGTCTTCCAGCAACATCTAATCAGCTTGGGATTGATCGCCATCTTACACGACAAAGTCTGCTACCCCTATTGAATATAGAAATAAAATATTATTTCTTATGATCCAAAATTTGTCGGTACAATACCGAGATATTGACGTGTAAAATGAACGATTTTTAACAGTACGTCTACTACTGATCAGACAGGGTCACTCGTGTAAAACGATGAAGACAAACAATGTATAACATATAATGTCTACATGGAGATAGTATTAATAAAGCGAATAGTAATCGTTCTTCTGCTTCAAAGACAACACGTGTCATGTAAAATCTAGGTCAACATAAGTTATGTGACGAACTTTTGAATATTGAGAAATGTCAGTGCAAATGTTCATTGTAAAGAGTAGAAGTATTTGATATCACCTTTTAAACATATGCAGCAGATGTGGTACATAACAAAATATAATTCAAGTATCATTTTTCACTATATTCTAGGTTGAAATAACGAAAACAGCGCATCTTGGAAATATAACTTTTTGTTGTTTTCTTATTACCTTAACGTATTGGCGATGATCATATGAGGACTGGAGTCAAGAGGGACACAAACAGCGGGAAACAAAGCATAGAAAAAACTGCAGACAGGAAAGAAAGGAACAGGATCAACATCGCAAGTGTTTAGGTGGATGCCAAAAAAATTGGTCCCTTAAATAGTCCCGTGGAAGAGGACACGGGCGTAAAATAATCTTTTTTTTTTTTGGTCGATTATTCTGCAGAATAACACCCTATTATCTTGGTTTGCTGTGTCCTCTAAACAGAAGACATCCGGGAACCATCCCGACCTGCAAGGTCCATTCATATATCGAATGCAAGCAGACTTTTCCTCTTTATTTCCATGAAAAAGTTTCATTCATAGAAAAACAACGTGACTATATATACTTAATAATAAATAAACCAGTGTATATTTGTTCAGTGACACAAGAGGTCAACTGTACTGCTAGCTCACCAAGACCATTTCAAAATGAAAATTTAAAATATGGTACATCAAAGGTCACACAAAAATCATAATGATGATGTTACAAATAATAAAAAATATTATGAAAACGGACTTCAAAGGAAATCCAAACACTATTCATCAATATGTCGGGCTTTATTTACATGGACGACTCAGTATTTCAAATTCGTTAAAGGCATAAGTGAAACATATCTAAAATAAAACGGCAGATATGTTTCCGAAAAGAAAACATTTTTATTCATTAGGTACTTCATATTCTGTTAGAGAACTTGAAGTAACACGCGTTATATTTCGTCACCATTATCAATATTATTTCAACATTCTATCAAGGGTACTCAAAGCTGTCTTTCACCGTTATGTTATATATGCAAAGTCATACACGACCGTGTCAATGTTTACCTGAATGGTTACATGTTTAGTCAGTCGCTCTAACACACAACACCAATCATGCTAATACTTACTCTACCTAACACTGTCACTGCGGGAGAGTGATCTACAATGATTCGATGGAGGTCCTATATCAAAACACATTGTAGTATTTGAATATTTTCATTTGCTATAAGAACAGCCAACTTAATATTAATATGTTTAATATGTAAAATCAATAACCTTTATCAAGGTTTTGTTTTCGTTTTATCAGTCAGTACGTCTGTAAAAGTCGTGTTTCCGGGGGAATCAACCACACAACTCAGGGTTCTCAATCATATCATGTTTATTTTGCGAAGGGATGAAAAGCCCCTCTTCTATAACTGGAGGGTTTCCACACACAGGTGAAGTACATATACGTGAGGTTAGAACCTTTAGAATATTCACGAATTCAGGAATTGATGGTGGATTAATTATTTCCATTTATCAAGGAAATCACGTGCATTTTTTTAGTGGACAAATGAATCAATGAAAATAAATTCACAGGAAAAATATTGATCTTAAATTGCTTTATTTCAGCAAAGGATTGATTAAGAATATCAGTATTATTATTTGACTATCTGGGTTTCTTCAGTGAGTTTTTTTTTTTTTTAATCAATATATTTCTAAAAATACGTGTGCAAGATGTGCATAGTCATATGCTACTCTGCACGGAGACGTAAAAATTCACAACGCTAATGTCCTGTCCTGTATCCTAGGCATCAACTAGTTTATACGGTAGCTCGATCAGAGAAAAAACCTACCTTACTTTCCATCCCCCAAATCCTTGGTTCATAATGTGTTAAAAATTATCTTTTGCATAAACGGATGGAAATATTATTTCAATTTTAGTCCCTGTATGGTACCCCTCAAGACTCGATGGACGTGACTACCTGTAAATGTACATATGACGGGGCCACTAAATGGAACAGGTGTCCTTGGATGTGTCGGTACCTTGTCGTGTTAAATCATCTATTGTAATTTACAGATCCTTAAATCCTGCACTCTTCATTATAGTTACATCGGTTTGAAGAAATTCGATAATTTACATTAAAACATCTTCTAAAAAATAAACTCTCATTTACTTTTTAAAAAGAAATCACAGACGCATGAGCACACCAGTATTAATATAACAAGTTTGTCTCTGTGATTTGTTATATACAGGTGCAGTTGTTTACAGAAACTTTGTATTTAAGTATTATGTCTGTCAATAACGTCTTAAGGGTAGAGGTTCATGGAAAACATTCAAATCATTTTTAGTTTAGATTGTTAGGGAACATGTCCCACATCAAGTGGCAAAAAATCTGGAACCTAATATAAGAATTAAAAAGTTGGTAAATCATATAAACCGACTATATAAAGAACCTAAACAGTCTGGTAATCTACAAACAAAAGAATAATTCAAATAATTAAAACATCAAAATAATTTCAGGCATGCCTACTGGAAATACGCAGGGACAACAGCCAATTCTAATTCAGATATATACACCAATGAACAGGTTCTGGACAAATACTGAATACTTAATAAACCAAGATGTTTACAATGGGGCTGGTTGACTGAAACAGGAAATACACACAGAGTTTACAAATACTGCTGACATACCAGTCCCAGTCTGTTTCTCGAGTGCTGACAGAATTAGTTCGGACAATTTTACTCGACAATATCTCATGCGAAATTGTCACATTCCTGAGTTGCGGAATATGACAATTAGTGTTATTTATACACTTTTTCACAACACTGATACCACTAAAACGGCTAGTCCAGATTACATAAAATAAAAAAAAAACTAGCAACAGAAATTTCCCCCATTCTCTTATCTTCAAGAAGGCTTTAGATACCAGCCATGTTCTATCTGACTGGAGAATATTACCCCAATACGTGATAGCAAATTGATTGAATTTAATGATGTCATCTCGAGTACTCTTGGAGAAGGTCAACAGACAGATATATTAATTATGAACTTCAGTAAGACCAATGTGCTCCTTATCCATAAACTTAGGGGTATGGAATCAATGGAACAGCAAACAACTGGATAACAAATCGCATATGTGACAGAACTCAGACGGTCGAGTAGAGGGGAAAATATCCGATTCTACCCCAGTAAGACCAGCGGTCCCCAAAGAATCGGTCCTCAGACCAAGTCTTTTCCTATACTACATCAACGATATCACCAAGAGTATTTTCTATCGGACTCTTTACAGACACGTATTTAACTGTAGCATCACAGAAAGATGTTCATTCACTGCAAAGATATCTTGAGCAGCTAACTCTCTTGGAGACAAAATGATGAATGGTTCTCCATCCTGGGAAAGCCAAGATCTCTCAGTTAATAGAAGCAGACAACCCATCTTCTATGCTTCTTATAGATCGAAGAAAAGACGGAAGACTGATCCTTCTAGATAAAAGAAAAAAAGAAAAACCAACATGTCGACATAATCATAATCAGACAAACTAAAAATCATCAAACATGTCCACCTTCATATCGCACAAAGAAATAGAATATTTTTTAATGAGATCACTTTGACGACCGTAAAACTTGCCCGTAATTTTCATCAACCTACATGTTTTGAAACTCCATGTTACGAGTTTGTCCGTCTGTTCACGACTTTTTGCATGAAAATCGTGATATTGGGAGCAGACTCTCAAGCATCGAATCAACTGGGACATGCAACACCATATGTCAGTGATGCGGGAGTGTTGCAAACCAGAAATAGAAAACTAACGGCAGGGAAATCGAAATAATCACGCTCTTCATACAGCTTGACACGCGCTTGATATAGAAGAGTCTGACGTTCCTTTGATTTCCAATTCTGGTGGGTATATACAATGGACGTGGTCAATAAATTTCTTGATATCTAAAGACAAAACGTCATCACAAAAACTGTTATTACCACTAAATATGAGACCATATTACCAGACAAACAAGGTTTAGTCACCAAACATATTTCATTTAGGACGTCCGTTTCTTTCTTTCCTAGCGTTACAACAACACATGACTTGATCTTCACGATGCTGAAGTAGGTCATTCACCGGTAGGAGTAGAGGAAAGCAGGTGTCACTAGTAGGGTCAGTGTGATATACATGTATATATACTTCTCATAGAAATTCATCTATTTTAACTACTTTCTAAACGTGGATAGATTTAAAGGGTCAAAATTACACCCCAACCCACAACCCCCACCAAAAAAATAGAACGAAATTACTGATATAACTGTAAACCGCTTATCGGTAAAAGTTATTCATCATCTTATGATATTTTTGTTAATATGTTAAATTCAAATATTTATTATGTTATTAATTTTGGGAACAAGATACAATTAAGAGATTTTTAAAAAAATGAACTGTAAGAGCGGACATATAATGCATCTAATGTAATTGTTTGTTGAAACCCAAAGAAAGAAGACGTTTAGGAACTCTTTTAGAAAATGGGACGATTTTAGATATGGAACTGGGGCAATATTGTAAACTGCGAAACATGGCTGCAAATGCAGTTGAAATGTAGTCCAATAAGCAATGTCATATTTGTCTGCGAAGTGACCGTTCCGTCTCATTTAGATATATTTAACATAAAAGCTGGCGAACTTGAAGAAAATTAAAACTTATAATATAACTTATACAAGGAATAGCATGCAAACCGTATCAGATCGCAATGTAATAATAAAACTAAAATGCATATCTTGGAAAGTCTAACATATGTTGCAGCTATGAATTATATATCTACAACACCATATGCATTTAATTGTTTCAATATCCAGGGTAAAAGACGATTAGTGCAAGCATTGTAACATTTATGAATTGAATACACGAAACTGGTCTTGATAGCACAAACCATTTTTCAGCTAGAAGACTTGTGGTAGACACATGAATTACAGTTAAAGTAATGGTTTGTAGTTAGTATCGAAATTAACACACACACACACGTATATATATATCAACTGGGGTATATCAAACTACGACAGGTATTTCCAATCTCGGAAATTCGGATCAGCAACAACATTACTGTATATGATGCATTGTGTTACTCTATTGATATTTTGGACATTGTCATAAAAATTGACAAGGAAGGCAATTTTTGGCTCGCGTAATACACAGGAGTGACTTCTGATATATAAAATATGATTTACGAATTCTAAATAAGTCGAATTGCAATTTATAATACCATAATTCGCATGACGTTGTAGCTATATATAAACTCACAAGACAGAAGAATGAAGTGCCACATTAGACCGAAATTTTCCCGGCTCTAAAATAATAATTTATACCTATTGTCGCGTTTAATTATTTAACATTTAATAACTGTCTTTTATTGGTCATGTTTATTTTGAAAATAAGCATAATCTATAGACTATCAATGATAAATATCACATTATCAGAATATTTCTGACAACATATGTTACATTTTGGCATAATGTATGATCATTAATTTTACGTCTATATCTTATTGCTGATTGGATGGGTACACTTTATACACCAAATCACATCTCTGCAAATTTTTAAAAGACATTTTAGTAGCAATGTATGCTAGGAGTTCTTTATCTCCAGAAAATCAAGTGTCCATGAAAAATCATCGAAATTTTAGCCCCACGAAAATGTAAATTTAAAGTACGTATACTTATTGTTGGCATAGAAAAGATTGCCTTCTCATGGCATTTATGTTCGTTATAAATGAACGACAGAGTTTGTTCAAGCTAACACGCTACTTTCGCTGTTGCAAGCAAACACCCTGCTGAAGCATATCGAACTAGCGCGCAGTGTTTACCTACATAGCTATTGCATTTATAAAGACCATAAATGTCAACAGTACACAACAAACAGTAACGTGTTTATATTATATATACACAAAAATATTGTATTAAATTTTGCGAACTAATGAACAAAACTGATATCATGCTGCTATATCGTCTTTTGAGAACTAAACTAGATTAAACAATAGGTATTATCAAATCCAAGTCATACAGATATATAGGTCCTTCTAGAGCTTATCACTGTTGATAGGGACCTTAAACGAGACATGAATTGGTCAGTAATAATATACAGTATATGCTGAGAGAGAAAAAAATAAATTTTATCACACACTTTTCACTATAGCTCTTTAGTAATCCGTTGTGTCAATTTAGAATTGTACCTGCAGCATTGCTTGTATAAAGAACCACTTTCCACAACATGTGCAGTTCAAATGTCATGCAATCAGCGTTTGTTCCAGTAATGCAGAAAAACCCCAAGCATTATCTCCCTCTAAACCCTTACACCCTTTCTCTCCCTTTCCCCGCACAAGTTAAATGTATTATTTGTCAACACTTTCCCCATAGCTATTCTATATATATATAGGGAGAGAAATTTACATAAGTACTTGTACTTGTCTCTGAATCCTTTCACTGATTGTATCATATATATATCATTACAATATACACCAATAAAGTAAAACAAAGCTTACACTAATCCGAGAGGAAATTTTGATATAATTTTGTTTCTATAACCCTTCAGTAATCCAAGAGAATTTATATATATATATATAAATTAAGGTCAAGATTCCCATGTTGTTTGTGAAGCAAAGAGACATTATAAAGCTTAAATGCGAGAAACAGGTGGGAGATGTATCGATGTTTTAAGCAACAGGCAATGGTAAACGATAAAATCACATTGAAGTACTTATACGTCAACAGGTCAGTGACTCTGTCCTACTTTAACCCTAACAATGACCAAATACAAAAAATAAATGATAAATAAATATTAGTAGTTTATCAGGACTTTTAGGCTTTAATTCTATATCACAAA